ACCTTGAACACCCCCCCCCGCCACCATGGCCATCCAACCGCAAGAACTCGCCATCCCCATCATCGACCTCGAACCAATCCGCTCGGGCACTCCCGAGGAGGCTCGCGCCACGGGGAAACTGGTCTACCAGGCCTTTCGAGACGTGGGATTTGCCTATATCAAGAACCACGGGGTTCCCCAGGAACTGGTGGATCAGGCATTTGACTGGGTGAGTCTTTTTCCCTTTACTTACTGCGCGGGTTTGTTGCTGGAAAAGGAGGGTGCCGGTCAGACTTGACTGGGGCGGGCTCGCCTGGTCCACGATGTCTTTCTTCTCGTGCTGACCATACGTGACACTCGTGTGTGCATGTTTAGAGCTCCAAATTCTTCGCCCTCCCACAAGCCGACAAGGACAAGGCACCGCACCCGCCCTACGGCTGGTGGCACCGGGGCTACTCCGGGGTCGGGCGGGAAAAGGTGGTGCAGATGGTCTTCGACCAGGACTCGATCGACCAGCTGCGCAAGTGCCCGGACTTCAAGGAGTCGTTCGAGCTGGGCCGCGAGGACGACGAGCGCACGCCCAACATCTGGTTCCCCGAGGAGGTGCTGCCCGGGTTCCGGGCCTTCATGACCGGCTACTTCGACACGTGCTACGGCACGGCGCTGAGCCTCCTCCGCGCCATCGCCCTGGGCATGGACCTCCCCGAGGACTTTTTCCACGGCTACCACACCAAGCGGGACAACCAGCTGCGGCTGCTGCACTACCCGCCCGTGGAGGCGGCGCTGCTGCGCGACGGGGCCATGGAGCGCATCGCCGCGCACACGGACTTTGGGACCATGACGCTGCTGTTCCAAGACGAGGTCGGCGGGCTGGAGGTCGAGGACGTGCACGTCCGGGGCAAATTCAACCCGGCGCCCTACGTCCCGGGCACCGTCGTCGTCAACATCGGCGACTTCCTCCAGCGCTGGAGCAACGACACCCTCAAGTCGACGCTGCACCGCGTGCGCGCCCCGCCCATGGCCCGCGACGGCCTCACCCGCGCCCGCTACTCGATCCCTTACTTCGTCACCGCCGACCGCGACCGCACCATCGACTGCATCCCCGGCTGCTACGGCGACGACCGGCCCAAGAAGTACGACCCCATCAACGCCCGCGAGTACATCGAGATGCGGTTGAACGCGACCTACTGAGTTTTGGTCACATTCAAAGATTTCGTGTCTTCTCATCATCAAGACCAGAACAATCAAAACTCGGGAGACAGTATCATTCATTGCCCATCATCGTGGGAATGTGGCCGTGGATATGGATGATCTCTTCTTTCTTTCTTTCTATATATCAAAAACGTAACGGCTCAAGTCTGAATTGTGATTATGATACCCTTGTAATTAACCCAGTTTGGTTTAATTTCTTGCCTTCAAGGAGGCAGAAATGTCTCTCTGCGAATGTATTTCTTGTCCTCGGTACAGCACGTAAATTGTCGGGAGTTTCCGATCTGGTGTCGACGCTGGAGGATGGGCTAAAGAACACGGTCTAATTGCTGGGAATTTAGACACTATGCGCACCTCTACACGAGAAATGCAACGAGTACTGGTTTCAGCCACCAGTTGGTCTCCCGGTATTAACAAGGAACAATATTCGTTATAGAGGAACGATGTACCCTCAAACATTCGACTGCATGTCTCTACCACGTACGTCTCTCGAGTCTTGACTGCTCCTGACATCAGGCCGAAGCCATTCTTTCCCTATCACGTCCATGGACACACCTCCGCTGTCATCAATCGCAAAAAACACCTGCCAATACCTGAGTGGCGGAAACAATCTAGACGGAAACCGTCGCCACAGCACCTTGCTTGGAATCACCGCCGTTGAAGGCCACGTTCTTCTCATCCGTACTCTCGGAGCTGCGCTCATGCTCGTGCACTCCGTACAGGACGTCGTCTTCGACGAAGGGAGCCTCTTCGCCCAATCCGGGCGGCGGGAACAAGACGTTCAGGCCCCAGAAGACAAAGAAGCTGATCGCCAGGCCGACGATGAAGGTGAGGTTGTACAGGCGGATCCAGCCGACAAAGGACGCGTCTGTCTTGTTGTTGACGGTTCCCACGAGGCCAGCTAGAACCAAAACTGTCAGCAAATCTCTTGTTCAAGTCTTGCGAAACCAAGCACTTACGCAACAACGGCCACACGCCAGAAAAGAACCCCACTATGGCACGCCAGTTCACACCCTTGTTGAACCAGTAGATCGACGAGCTGTCTCCCGTGTACAAGTCGTTGAGCTTGAGCTTGGCGCGGCGGACGACGTGATAGTCAGCAAGCATGACGCCACTGCCACGAGAAAAGGTCAGCCAATTCTTGATCGGCATACAGAAAAATAGGAGAAAGGGCTCACGTCGCAGGCGCCATAAACACGCCAAAGCCACTTAGCACTTTGAGGAACTTGTCGGCCGTGTTCAAAAGTTGCCATGGCTGGGTGGCAATACCAATCACCGCCATGATATAACTTCCACGCACGATGTTGATGTATTTGGGCCACAGACCAGCCATGTCCATACCGGTCGACACAGAGTTCAACACAACAGAGATCTAGGATCTGTCAGAATTGTCCGCAGTACGATGGGTGAAAGCGTCCAAGGTCAAGACTTACCGCGAGTTGTGAACTGACGAGACCCAAGCTGCCAAAGAACACACCTGCTCTGGCTCGCGGGCTGGAGTGGTATTCCTCCTGGATATCGGCCAACAGGTAGATAGGGTTCCAGACGATATCTCCCAGAATGTCCTTGGAAGCGCTGGTGACGATGATGCCAATGATGGCAGTGACAGCGATAGTAATTGGAGCCGCAACCAACTGCGACAGTGTCGGCGCGAATTTCCGGTTGGCATACCTCGTCCAGTCCGATTGTCCCAGGGTTCCAGCTCCCCAGGCGCCTAAAATGGCCGTGATGCCAAACATGAACGCCCAGCCCACATTGTCGGTTGATCCCGGCTCATGAAACATTTGACCAGCTCCTCCTGCAACGTGGACGGCCCTGACATCAATCAGCAAGGTATCTCCACCCGGGTATAAGGCTCCAAAACCTACCATATGAGCATACCAAAGCAGGACCCGGCAAAGAGGACGAAGGAGATCGCAAAGGGCACCTGCAGACGCTCGGGGCGGACTAAGACGAGCGGAATGAAAGCGGCCATCCAGATGAGCAATCCGATAAAGTCGTTTGTCAAGAGGTGTGAGCCTTCACTGAAGAAATTCTTCATGTGTGCAAAGCCTGCAGAACATCTCGTCAGCGTAGACTTTAACCCACCACGGACAGACGTACCTGGAATGATAGCACCCCATAGCACTCTCGTAGCTTGACCTCCCCAGTATGCTTGCATTCCGAACCACATGCAACTGGACACCAAAGTCAGCCCATAACCATCATTGCCTTGGGTCGCGAGGAGCTTACGCAACAAAGATACGAAGCACGACCGGGAAGTAGCTTCCCTGCATGCCCCAGGAGAACCGCGACGACACGGTGAAGCCGATGTGATGGTTCTCACCCATCCAGCCACAGGCCACGGCCAAAAGACCAGTCAGGACACCTCCCAAGATCTAAGTTCCTTGTGAGTATGTTCCTTCTTCAAATCCTCCAGACAATGGCATACCACGACGCCGATTGCTTGTTGTGGGCTGAGCCCAAAGGCCAGTAGCGTGCTTCCTGTCGACCATGCCGAAATGCAGGATCCTGAGACAGTCCAATATCCTGGGATGCATCAGTAAAAGCATCTTTCGATCTCCATCTGTGTACACTGACCACAATATCCCCAGATACCCCAGGTCCGTCTCTCTGGCGGCATGGGGATAAGATCCCGGTTACACCACCTGGTGTTGTCGTAGTACGAGTCCTCATCTTTCGGCCTAGAAACGTCGATCGTCAGTAAGTCGACACCCAGCGGTATTTTGCAGTTTGTTAGGACCAATGCTCACACTTGCAGCCGCTCTTTGAGCTGTTCCCACTTAAGCCCCATACTGCGCTTTGGTTAAGAACTCCTGTGGCCGGGCCGCACGTGTCCGCAACAGCGGAATCTGTTACGAAAAAGAATGAAACGTGTAGTCGCGGGAGGAGATGGATGGGGCAAACTTCGATCTGGGTGGGAGAGGGAGTCGGAGACAGTGCTTATACATATTGGTTGGTCAAGTGGCACAGGCACATTATGCTGGTCGCCCTGCTGCCCCAGAGTTGGCCGATAAAGTGGAGAGCAGAGTTGGCCGATCTCTGCCAACGCTGTATCTTTTCCCTGTATGGTCTGGTCTGGATTCGGCGAACTGGATACAAGTCGATCTGGGCCCTTCTCCGCATGCACGTTGCCTCCTGCGGTGCCACAAGGCTTCCCAGTTGTCCGTCCAGAGGTTAACTTGTGGACCAGGCGTTGATAACGAGTCTTATGGCCATGGCTGGGTTGGTACAAAAGCTCAACTCGATAATGCGGTCCCGGCATCATGTCTCTGAGCCGCCTTGTTCGTTTGTTATCTCTGCATTCATCCCGGAGGTCCGGATAAGCAACCATGGCGACTATCAATCACACGTCGCAGAAGTTCACCTTGAACACTGGAGCAGAAATTCCCGCTGTAGGTCTTGGAACCTGGAAGTCACCACCAGACCAAGTCCGCAAGGCTGTCTGCCACGCACTCCAGACGGGTTATCGCCACATCGACACAGCTCTCAATTACCAGAATGAGGTCGAGGTTGGCCAGGGTATCCGAGACTCAGGAGTTCCGCGTGAGGAGATCTGGGTCACTACGAAGCTGGACAATCCATGGCACCACAGAGTTCGGGCAGGATTCGACAAGTCATTGGCAGACCTAGGACTGGATTATATCGACCTGTATTTGGTGCATTTCCCTTGTTCCACTGACCCAGAGGATCCCTCGAAGCATCTGTCGGATTGGGACTTTGTAAAGACCTGGTAGGTTGCTGCAGTTGACGGGAGTGAGACCAATAGCCGCTGATTTGGCCGCAAAGGCAGGAAATGCAAAAACTGCTGGATACCGGAAAAGTCAAGAACATTGGCGTGTCCAACTTCCAGATCCGACACCTGGATAGGCTCCTCAGTGATCCATCTTGCAAGGTGGTTCCTGCGGTGAATCAAATCGAACTGCACCCTGGCAATCCATCGTGAGTTTTTACATCTCGTCTTGAACAGTGCTTGAAGCCATGCTGACCCACGAGCAGTCCTAAACTATTAGACTATTGCACATCGAAGGGGATACACTGCACGGCCTATTCCTGCCTCGGAGGTGCAACAGACAATCCCCTCTTCAAGGAGCCTGTATTATCTGAGATAGCCCAGAAACTTGGCAAGACTCCTGCCCAGGTTTTGTCAGTGTCCATCACTTGTTATCAAGACAGGGTATTATGCTGACCTGGAACAGATTGTTATGGAGCCTCCAGAGAGGAACCAGCATCATCCCGAAGAGCGTGACACTTTCAAGGATAGAGAGCAACTTCCAGCTCGATGGCTGGGAGCTGAGTAAAGAGGACATGGACGCTCTCAGTGGTATCAAGACCCGCTTCAAGGTCGTCAACGATTCTTGGATGCCAATCAAGGTGTTTTTCGGAGACGACGAATGATAGCCGTGAAGCTCTCGGCTGATCCAGACGTGTCGCTGAGAGGCTGTTGAGGCCGAGTGACACATGATGGTGTTACGGTACGTCGTGAGCGGGAACAAGGAACGGAAGTCGCCGACAAAGGGGGTGAGCAACTTCAGTCAACGAACCCTTGTTGCGAAGACTGCTTGACCGGGTACAGGAACAGCAACCTTGACCCTAAGGAGGCGTCTCCACCATCGTCACCTCCGAGAAAGAATCCCTTGTCACGCCTCGCCTCATAATCTGCGCCGCCTGGGTGAAGAAAGAGTCAATTCTGAGCGCTACAGGCCTGATGAGATTCACGGATTCCTCGTCGACGAGTTCACCTATCCTCTGAAGGGATTCATGGAATTGTTCCAGCAGCCGAAATGTGCCGGAAACTTGCTCTGGACTGGTGGATAGAAGGAATAGATGTATCAAGAAATTGCCAATGAGGATCAACTGCGATCGACCATCTGTTGTTCTATCAGTTGATATTTTTACTGGGTGATCACACGAAGTAATGGACGACTTACGTCGGCCCCAGAATGCTCGCAGAACCTCGAGTGTTATCTCGTTCATGAAAGCTATGAATGCGCGAAGTTGCTCTATGGCTGCGCCAAAAAACCGTCTTAGGGATGACAGCGGGTTGTTTTTGGCGGCCATCGAGGCTGGTGTCATCAGAGCTCGGAAGAGGAGGACTTGAGTTGCAAAGTAGGCAAGATGGAGTGGTGCTAATCATCAATCAGCCAGGACACCAGATCTGCATCTCACTGACCATACCATTGTTACGGAACTCGGATGTGGCTGTGTTGTAGTTCATGGTGACACACACTGGCATCAGCGAATGCCAGGACTCAAGTTCTCTCTGAATCTTCAAGAGTCGGGTTTCTTGACTCGCAAGGTCCGTCATCGCGACTCGGTATGCGTGATCGGAACTGTAAGGATGGTCAGTCTGATCGACGCTCGTCCTAACAGAGGGAAGACGCTTACAACGCAGCGTCCAGAAGAGTGTGGAGTATTTGGGTAAGCTTCACAAGCTCGAGGAACCGTGCGGCTGTTGAAATATCAAACCTTTCACTTGCGACGTCAACCATATCTTTAAGATCATCGGGAATATCCTCATCGAATCTCAAGTCATCCATGTCCAAATTTGAAGTGGTGTATGATGTGGAGTGAATCAGAGAGGGATTTCCATGGCTCACTGATGCCCACATATCCGTTACGAACGTGGCCCACCACAACTTCTTCCTCAGACTCTTCTCCCACTGAGGGATTTTCCAATGGGTCGGGTCGCGGTGAAGACCTATCATCTGGGCACACGCCACGGCTTGTGCTGATAGAGTCCAGGTCCGTGGAGTCTCAAACGTGCCATTACCGGCCGCCTTCTCGTGAATCATCAAGAGGCAGGCTTGTAACTTCCAGAGGTTTGGTGCGTCGAGCTCCCTCTCCAGCGAAGCTTGGGCGGCGTGGAACAATTCGTATTGTTCAAACGGGCGATGGAGTGTCCTCAGTATGGGGTCTTGTTTCCAGTAGACCGCACCCATTCCATAGACAACTCCTCGGAGGGATGCCGGAATGCTCAGCCTGTCCTCCTTGTAGGCTCGAAGGAAACGGACTTTGGATACGACACAGTAGACAGGGTGGACATGTTTGAAATAGAGACGGACAAGACTGGGTCCATACGTTCCCACCTTGAATTCGATTTCTCGTGAGGATTCCTCCTTGATTCTATTGTCGTATGGCATAAACCAGTCCCTCAGTATGGAGAAGTGAAGGGGTGGTGTTCCAGTGGCAGGATTGCCGGCGTAGACTTGAATGATGTCGCCGTCAACGCGATTCGTCTCGTTGATGATGACGGATCGAAAGGATGCAAGGAGATGAGTATCCTGCTCCGCTGCCAGTCCCATGCAATGTGCTGTTAGGTTCTTCCCATCCTCCAAAGTGTGGACTTTGGGTTCTAGACCAAGGACCCCATTGCTACTGGGTGGTCTCGGGTGAGTGGTCGACAGGGGACTTCGCGTGTCCACATCACCGACGTGAGAGTCTGGCGAAGGGAGAAGATGTTGGCCCTCCGTATTCCCCGGGCTGATTTGCATCTCTAGCATCCCATTTCCACAAGCATGTGATTCGGCCAGCGACTCTAATGACTCTCCCCGCTCGTCGTCTGGATCGGGTTCTTGACTGCCAGAATGGCGCCGTGTCCGGGGTTGCGAAGTGGATTGGCATTCTAGTCCTCTTCCTCTACAGAAGAGACCTTCTCCAATGAGTGAGTCTGTGAAGCGAGGCTTATCCATACAGTAGGTCACTCACATGGTGGCCGGTCTTCGATGACGCAGGCGCTCTTTCGTCTCCGGCAGGCATCACATGGGCGATTCTTACGACTTCGCCATTGTCTTGCTAGGCCAAACTCGCTCCGTATCCTGAAACGCCGTCTGCGGGAGGAATCATGCTCGGTGGCAGCTTCTTGCATGGTAGGTTCGGTATCAGAACTGGAATTTGTGGCTGTGTCCTGCTAACACCGAGCCGGGGACATTTCAAAGATGAATGCGATAAGATGATATCGCATTTTGACGAAAGCCATTGACATTTGAACCAGCAAGTCCCCCACGTGACCACAAATGGGGACAGGCTGCGCTAGACTGTTTTGGGTGCAACACAGGGCGGCATCAAGTTGTCCCGGATAGGAATTTCAGCCAAGGCGCTAGCTGTCAAGATGTAAGAGCAGCATCACCACCGTTGCTCAGGGTTGATCCAGGCTGGCAAGGCTGGCTCACCATCCTCCACATCCATGTTCCGACCAAGTATGATCTCTGGGTAATTGTTCAAGGAGAACATCTCAGCCACTCAAGAAGAGGGGTCTTAAGTCTTCTTCGGCTCCCCACAAAGCGTCGGTCTCCGACACCCTCGGACATGAGCGCTTGAAAGGTCATGTCCGAAGAGCTATGGAGACCTGGGGAGCTCCATGCATGAGAAACATGTGTAGAAATATCTTGTCCCTGCAGCTACATCGCAGAAAGTCATCGAAATCTGCATTGCAGTCTCCAGTTGTCGACAGCCCTCACTGTTGATCACCCCGAAACCCCAACAAGATGGCCATCTTACCAGCGCGGAAGGCGGTTGCGGTCTCTGTCAAGGCTGGACAGGAATTGAAGGTAGTCAACACGTATGGCAAGCAAGTGGTAGACTTCTGGGCTTTCAACCCCAACGACCCAAATGACTTCCTGTCGATGGTTCATACCAGAACCATCTTGCTCAAGGTGGCTCTTTCAAAGGGCGACAACTTGTACAGCACTCGAAGGAAGCCCATGCTCGTTTTGACCGAGGACACGACCAAGGGCGTTCACGACATCATCTGGTCAGCCTGCGACGCCGAGAGGTATCGCATGCAAGGCTTCGACGGGTATCATGATAACTGCACCGACAACATGCACAAAGCCTTGAAGGACAATTTTCCAGGCTTCCACATCGCAGATGACTGGGTGCCTGATCCATTGAATCTGTTCATGAACGTCGCCATTGACCACCGTGGAGGATTGGATATCAAGACTCCAACCTCGGAGCGCGGCCAGTTCGTTACTTTGCAGGCTCAGACGGACCTCATCATCGTCATGAGCGCTTGCCCTCAAGACCTGGCACCAGTCAACGGGGGCATGCCAACAGACTGCGAATATTTCGTCTCAGACGCGGGGAGCCTGGCTCAAATCCCACTAACAGTGGCACCACCACGTCGCCGCCGCGTCAAGGTCGCGTTGTCATTTGACTTCGATGCCGTGTCACATTGGCTCGGAACTGGGTGCCACAAGGATAACAACATGGCCGATTACTCATCCGGTATCTTCGCCGGTCAGGTCGGTGCCATCCGCCTCCTGGACATGCTCAAAAGATGCGGCATTGCGGACAAGGTGACGTGGTTCATCCCAGGCCACACGGTCGAAACGTTTCCCCACGCTGTCAAACAGGTTGTCGAGTCAGGGGCGGAGATCGGCCTCCACGGCTACTCACACGAAGGGATATACCAGATGACCGAGGAGCAAGAGCGAGACGTCCTCCTCAAATGCATAGAAGTGGCGACGAAGCTGTGCGGCAAGAAGCCCCGAGGGTATCGGGCCCCGATGTACACGATCAGGGAGACGACGGTCAAATTGCTGCGACAGCACGAGTTTCTTTACGACACGTCGCTCATGCACCACGACTCGCAGCCATATGTATGTTCTGCTAAGCCTCCCCCTCTCTACTAGTCATTCTTTGCATTTCCCAGACGATTTTTCTGATTGTGGTTCCTGCAGTTCACGCCGAGCGACCCGCCTATCAAGGCCATCGACTTCTCCCAACCAGCCTCGTCGTGGCTGCACCCGACGGAGATCTCGCCGCAGACGTACCCTGTGGGGCAACACCCGCTGGTCGAAATCCCCTGCGGCTGGTACAACGAGGACATGATGCCGCTGCAGTACCTGCCGCACCTGGCCAACAGCATGGGCTACGTGTCGACGCGGGTCGTGGAGCAGATGTGGAAAGACAAGTTCCTGTGGCTGTGGGACCACTCCAACGAGGGCACCGAGGACACCGACTTTGTCTTCCCGATCCTCATGCACCCGGACACGTCGGGGCTCGCGCACATCATTGGCATGTCGGAGCGCTTCATCACGTGGTTGAAGGGGTTCGGCGACAGCGTGACCTTCTCGAAGCACGAGGACATTGCCCGTGGGTGGTTGGCCGAGCAGAAGCAGAGACAGGGGCTGGCTTGATCTTTACAGACCAGGTCAGACCAGGTCAGGACAGGGAGTGTTTTTTTTCCCCTTCTATCCCTCTTTTTGGGAGACTGGCATTGATTGAATAAAAACAAGAGTACAGCGCGCCTGCGGCAATCGAAGCAGGCCGTTTTCAAATCCCACTCGTGCCAAACAGATCAGATGTCCAAAAGTGAAACTAGTGGTGCTTACACAGACACTTGGTGCACCGGAGAATACATTCGCGCGTATCGATCGAACACGTAAATTCCGCCATGCAGTTCCTGCACTGCCTCGTCCTGTTCAGCATCCTTAGAGAATCTTTTAGCTTTGCAATTTCCGTGTCCTGTTCACCTCGGCGCCTCTCCCAGTCCTGCAGGAGATACTTGTTCGACTGGTCTTGGAGGGAAAGGGCATGGATTTTCCGCGCGCACTTGTCCAGGACCGTCAGTGAGAAGTCCGTCAGCACGCTGAGGCGCCGGAATTGCTCCATACCGAGGAGTGAGGAGATGTTGGGTGCGATCGCCGTGGCGAAGATGCGTAGGACTTCCTGGTCTCCTGTCGAGTGGGTGGCCGCTTCGATTGCGCCGGGCAGAGTCTCAACCCAAGAGTTCTCCGCCGGGTCGTCTTGGAGAAGTTGCTCAATCTTGCTGTTCGCGAGGGAAACGAGTGCTTCAATGCCGTAATAGTCGCCGATGGAATTGACGTGGATATGTTCAAGAAGCGGATCTCTTGCGCTCACCTCGGGCTGCGGTGCCGAAGGGGAGCCTGTGCGATTGATTTCGTTCTCGTCAGGTTGAGATTGCCCATCCGACAATGAACCTGTTTTCAACCATTTGGTCAGTTGTGCAAGGGATGTACGTGATGTAACACACGGAGCAGTTCTTCTTACCTCCATCCACCACATCACCGACCACCTCGGAAGTAGCTTCTTCGGAAGCGTCGCGTCGGACCTCTTCAATATCGTAGTCGCCAGTATACATGAATTGGACCAGCTGCTTCACGACTTTGGGATCGAAGTTGTCCATTTTAATGACACTGGTGTGGGATTCCTGCCATGCCGCGTCAACACACCAGGCTCCTCCCGAGTATATTACCACAGAGAGCCGTACCTCAAATGCTCCTTGGATGGCAGCTTTGATCACCGGTGACTGCGTACACACGATCGCTTTGTGGACCTTGAACTCGTCGCCTTTGCAGAGGAACTTTAGATCGCTGAACTCGCCCGACTCCAGCAACCGTGCCAGGATTGAGCTTGGGTTCTTGCCAGACATTGCTCGCTGGTGTGAGATGGCATGCATACATGCAGTACCAAAGACTGATTTGATTCTGGCCTCACGGGCAGAAAAGGGTCAAGTGAATGAATCGTCTCGATGGTGGCAGAATGTCACAGTTTCATCTGATGACACTAAGCCTAAATGGGTTAGTGCATTATGGTCTTGTCGACGAGGCTGTGTGCAGGACTCGTCGTCAAAGGGCTGCTGCCTGCTACTCCTCGTACATGATTTGAGTCGCTTCGTCAAGCGAGCTGGCTGTTGAAAAGATCAGATTACACAAGATACAAAACTATCGCTGGAGAAACAAAGAAAAAGCCAATTGCGGCATGCGTACCCTATGCATCTGCCCGCTTCCCTCCACGCCTCACCGCTACCCTCCCCCCAGCGAGCCTCTTCCCTTCCCTTAAACCTTTCCGACGACAGGAAAGTCAATCTCATCACCAGTCAAGCCTCGCTCCCACACAAAGAGAGCCTTCTTGTCTTCCCATTTGCCTTCCTTGTCCTTTTGAGCCCAGCGTACAATCAAGGTCTTCTGAACACCAGGGTTAGGATCGCAGCCGAGGACTTTGTTGTCTGCTCTGAGTGGAGTGGCCTTTGAATTGTAGAAGCGGTCAAGAGCCATCTTGTATGCCTTGTGGCTGTCCGGGAGACGCATTGTGCCGTAATTGATGTTCTTCACCCAGATGTTGCCTCTCACTTCACCATTGCCAGAATAGTTCTTCATGGCTCCCTTCTCTTTCTCAAGCTCGCCAGCCTTCTCTTGCAGCATCTTATCAGTCTCGCGCTCCTTCTTCTGGGCTTCTGCGACGTTGTTCTTGAGATCCACAATCTCTTTGTCAAGTTTGTTCTTTTGGTCGGCAGCCTGGTGCTTCGTGTCTTCGAGCTCTCTGATCTTGTTGTCCCTCTCGCCTTCAGCCTTTGTACAGGCCTTCTCGAGTGTGTCGATCTTGGCTTTGAGCGTGGTGCTCTCATCTCCGCTCTGCACCAACTTGCCTTCCAGCTCTTTGATCTTGGCCTGAAGCTGCCTCTCCATCTCATCTTTTTGTTGCTTCAGTGTCTTGTTGAGCTCTTCGGACACCGATAGCTTTTCAGCCATCTCATTCCGCTCCCGGAGTGCCTTGATCTCGTCTGCCTTGGCGTGCTCGAGCTGGTCAGCCATCAAGGCCTCTTTCACCTTGGCAGCTTTGAGCTCGGCTTCAATGATCTTGAGTTTCTCATCAAGGATAGCGCGCTCTTTGTCGGCCTTCTGGTACTCATCTTCCATGTCCTCATACTTCTTTGTCATCCTTGCACACTCTTGGGTGGCTTCAAGAAGTTCTTCAAATGCCTTGGATTCCTTGGCAATTGCTTCGTTCCGTCGAGCCTCGGACTCCTTCAACTGAATGTAGAGCTGTTCTCGCTCGATGACAAGGACGTCCTTGTCATGGCGTAGGTCTTCCATTTTCTTCAGGGTGCTTTGGACGTCATTCTGGGCATGCTGCTTAGCCTCGACAGCCTTCTCGAACTCGATCTTGAAGTGATGAGCCCGGCCGTCTGCCTCCTTGAGTTGCTCAACAAGCTCGTCCCGAAAATGCTCAAGGCTGGATTGGCTATGCACGGCATAGTCGCGCTCCTTGATGACAATTTCGAATCGATATTGTAGCGTTTCCAAGTTCAGCTGGTAGTCCTTGAGCAAGGTTTGGTCCCGGACCAGCTCGGTCTTTGCACTCTGATAGTCGAAGATGGCACTGTCCCGCGCTCGAATAGCACCATTCCTGTCCTCGATCGCCTCGTCCATACGTTGGACCGCCAGGTCACGCTCATGGATAGCCTCCTTGCGCTCTGCAATGGCCTTATCTCTTGCCTCTTTCGCCTTGATGAGTTCTTCCTTGATCGACCTGAGTTCCGTTTCCAGAGAGCCACACTTGTGCTCGATGCTGATGAATTTCTGTTTGATCACTTCAAGCTTGGAGGAAACTTCCTTGAACTGCATGCGTGTGATTGCGAGCTCCGTGGCCAAGGTCTCCTTTTCTGTGAAGAGGACAGACATGGAAGCTTTCAGGATCTCGAGCTCTTTGACGGCGGCGTTGTACTCCTCAAGGCGGATCCGAGAGGTGGCTTCGGCCTCAACCAGTCTGGAAGTGATGTCCACCAACGTTGCCTCCATGGACACAATCTGTTTGTGGAGAACGCTCGTCTCTTCCTTGAGTTCCATACATTCGTGCTCCTTCTCGAGGAGGTGACCACTCAAAGCTTCGAGCTCGATCTCGGCACGATCTCGTGCTTTTGACATCTCGTAGAGTCTGGTCCTCAACGTGACGCACTCTTGAGTGGAGATCTCAAACCGGGCGGTGACATCCTTGTATCTCTGGCACAAACTGTCGTACTGCTCTTTGTGGAGGAGCTTCTCATGGGTTGCTTTGTCGAGACTTTCGACTATCTCCCGGATTCTGAAGAGCATATCGTCGCTGGTCTTCTGTACCGATCTGAGATGCACTTGGATATCCGAACGGAAGGAGACAGCCTCCCTATGATAAGTTGAGCGGACGGGGGCATGGGCGCAGATCAAGGTGTTGACAGCATCATCGGACGCCTCTGACTTGCTTTCTTCGGGAACGGACTTGATGGAAACTTGCGGAATCAGTTCAAACTTGGGCCGACTTGCAAGTAAAGGATCCTCCACCACAGACTTGACCTCAACTTTGGGCAGCTTGTCAAAGCTGGAACCTTCGGCAGTGGTAGGAAGAGCATTGGGTACGATGATGGAGGCCATATTGTCCAGGACGGAGCAATGTATTGTGACGTAGGACTGAAAAAAGAAACACCAAGAGAGGGCAGAAAAGCGTCGGTAGTGTTACAGAGTGTTTGTCAATATGTTAATTCTTGAGAACAGATGCTGTCGAGGAGAGGAACGAGGGTTACTTATACCAACCATTTGCTCAGAGTTCCCTATTTCCTTGGAAGGCTCTGAGAGCTCAAACCTTTGGGTGGTTCCAGACTGAGCTCGCCCACCTCTTTTGCGGTATTCGTGTCCTCTGCGTCAGCTCCAAGCCAGACATTGCCAGAGACATATCCACCATTTCAATCGAGACGCACGAGGGTAATTGCGTTTCCTGTAACGGGAGCAAATCAGATAAAGTGCATGCGCACATTGATACTCCAAGGCTGGCTGAGGACGGGTCTGGAGCTTCAGTTCGCGGCCTGAGGCTGAAGGCTGGACTGTCGCATGGTAGGCCTCAGCCAGCCACCATCACGTGGCTGAGACCCTGAAGCACCTTTTCTGTACTCAAGCCGAACGGAGAAACTTAGTGGAGTCAGTTGTTGCGAAAAAGGGGGATCGACTCTAATAATGGCTGGCAGATCCTTGACGAAGTCAGTCTTCTGTCAAGCACCCGGCACCCTGTACAGCACGACTCTCAGCTGTATCAAGGCAGGAGGACCAGCACCTGAGCACCAAGGGTCCTGGACTATCATCTGAGTCGTTTTTCGCTGCTTTGGTCACTTCATTGATCTTTCGGTCATGACTAGCAGTCTTAGTTGAACGAGTGGATGGACAGCTGATGCACCTGCACCTCGCTTGGAGCATTTTGGCTTGAATCTGGGCTTTAGCCAGGAGGTCTGCCAATAGATGCTCCAGCGACCACTTCAGCCACGTGTTGCCGACCGGGTAGACTAGAAGCTGATGGGGATGAGCCGGACATAATGCATGTAAGCTGTTGTCTTTCAGGGCTTCCTCGATGCTAATCAATGAGAAATGAATTGAAGCGATGAATGTTGAAAATGATAGAAGCCCAGATTTGCACTTGCTACTGGTACATTGCGGGCCGCTCCTTCCGAGCCTAACGGCAGCCATGCACGCCATGCCGCTTTATACTTTGGCTTCCCGTGATCGCCAAGACCAGAATGACGTTTTGCTCCAACCAGCGCTTGGCGTCGTCTTTCGAATGCATCGTCTTGTCATTTGAAACGGACACGCTCGCTCACCATCTTATCACCTCGAATTACCACCAACTCACTCACCAGAGACTTAGGAGATTAGTGCATATCAATCAAGCCACAGTCCTGCTTGTTAAAGACACCATGGCCCTGCCTATGCCCGAACCAACTAACCCGCCACTCCCGCTTCTCGATTACAAAGTCATCTCCTTTGACGTGTACGGCACTCTGATCGAGTATAAAGCGCACATTCTAGACTCGTTTCAGCCCCTCCTCTCTCGTCTCCCGGCATCGTCACCCTTTCTCGATCCTACGCCTCTCACGACAACCGTCCCTGACTCCGCCTCCGTTGGCTCCATCGAGTTTCTGAAGCTGTTTCAGCGCCAGGAAGACGCCATCAAGCTGGAGAAGCCCGTCAAACGGTTCGATAGGATCTTAGCCGAGATATGGAGACGCATTGCCAAAGAACTGGGCGTGGAAAGTAGTGAAGATGAAGCAAAGCAATTTGGAAGCGTGGCTGTCATTTCTGGGTGGCCCACGTTCCCAGGGACCCTCGACGCTCTGAAGAGATTAAGTAGGCACTATAGGCTCGTGGCTCTCTCGAACATTGATACATTTGCCTGGCACACTACTTCAATCTCGGCGGCAAGTCGTCTCCAAGAGGTCGGTTGGTGGAAACTCTTTACTGCAGAGAACTTTGGCGACGATCCCTCCCGCGCGGATGACGCAAAACTGGAAACCCTGATCCAGTTTTGCACTAGCTATGGTGTCAAGAAAGAGGAAATTCTTCATGTTGCGCAGAGTCTCGGCCACGATCAAGCTCCTGCAAAGCGACTAGGCCTAAGTTCGGTGTGGCTGATTGGAGATGGGCCAAAATGGGGAAAGGAGGCAGAAAGCAAGATGGCACTCGAAAAGAAGCTGGTGGGATATGCGTGGAGGTTCCAGAATCTCAAAGAGTTTGCGGATGAGGTGGACAGGGAGGCGGCGAAGTAGTGTCGGTTGACTTGGAAGCCTCGTCTACAAATTAAACGATTCCGAAGGAGCAAGGTCTGTGCTTTCAGCATTTATGCCTTGCTCACGGAAGAAACACAGTTGTGCTCATCGCCTAGAGGCACCATCATATGGGGACGACTTTTTAGTCTCTCGAATTGTCGTGTTGTCACCAGAATACGTATCAATCATTCATGGACAGGTTGAACAATCTCTTTTCATTGCTATCGGTCGTGAAAGGCGGTACTGAGGCCAGGTGACTTGACGACCCGCTCTACTAAAGTTACAGGGCTTTCTGAAGGCGAACTCCTTGCTATTGGCATGTCTGTCAGCGGGCGCGAAGTGAATTGTAAAACGCGCACGACCGTCGATTGTGCTCGGGAATATGGGTCTATCGGTGGAGGGTTGTGGCTTGCGGAGGCGTCGGGTCTCTCTTTGGCGCGTCGACTGCCATATCAGAACAAGCCACCTCTTTAACGATTGGACAGCATTCTACTCCCAAGAATGAACTCAAAGTGCCGACATTACGAGATTCACCGATATTGAGAGCCTCATTAACAATACAGAAGAACTGATTACTCACCGATAAAATGATATTTAGGCCACCAAAATCCTTTCTCAAGGAGCACAAGAAATATCAGGTCACCAAGTCCCAAAGCACTCACAGGAACATCCCCAGAGAGTCGTCTAACTTTACCATGGCAAGCCAAACCGCTGTCGTCCTCATCGATCCTTACAATGACTTCCTCCATCCCGAAGGGAAACTGAACCCACGCCTGGCAGAGAGCATCGCCGCCACCGGAACTATTGAGCATTTGAAAGAGGTTGTCGCCACGGCGCGCAAGAACAAAATCCCCATCTACTATTGCCTACATTGCCAGACGGATAAATACTCGTTTCAAGGGTGGCAGATGATGAATTGGTCACTGACAGGCCTCAAAGAAAACTTGGTCTTTGAGAAGGGCTCGTGGGGTGCAGAGGTCTATGAAGGGTTGGGGCCGAATCCTGAGAACGGGGACGTCGTCGTCTCACAGCATCTCAATTCCAGGTTTGAGACCGTCACCCTCGGTGTTTTCCTGCTTTCACTCAACTGAAGCTACAGCTCTTTCCAAAATACGGACCTCGACTATCAACTCCGACAGCGAGGGATTCGCAACTTGGTCCTGGCGGGTCTTGTCACAAACACATGTGTCGAGGCCACGGCACGATACGGATATGAGCTGTAAGTTGTCCCTAGAGTAACTAGAATACAATAACGCACAATGCTGACCGAGTCAAAGTGGGTACAACTTGACCATGCTGTAAGATTGAACTTGCCTACTCTCGCATCGTTGAGAAATCTCGCGGCTAAGCGTCGAAACAGCTCGGACGGGACAGCTGGGTTCAGCACAGAGCAGAAAGACGTGGCCACCAAATTGATCTGGCCGTTGTTTGCCAATAGGATCTTGACTGTCGGCGAATGGGCGAAGAGCCTGGAGTGACAAATAGCTACTTGCTACTGAGATGACATCCCTGTGTGCAGAGTTCCGGATGGAGGAAGGGAAGGGCAGCTGGGTCCACGAGGAAGAAACAGAAAGATCAATAGACAATATCAAGGTGGCAACAGACAAGAACAACTGATGACAAGACTTGGTCCATATCAACACAATCCATATATACTGGATTGGTAGCCTCGCAAAGTGTCATTGGTTCTTGCCGGGCGCGCTGACTTCCCAATTGGTCCTAGCGTTGGGACAGCGGAGACTTGGACGGACTTAACCTCCGCCACCTCACGCTTCATCAATAACTGTGGAGGTCTGGTTCTGCCTTTGCCGCTTCTCCATCAAACCATTCGTCCCTCATGATTACTCAACAGTGGTACTCTACACCCTACACCTGTCGATAATGAAAAAAGCTGTCATGGAGGAAGAGGGTATTACAAGTTCCATCTTTCTCCTGTCGCTCTCCCTTCCCTTTTGGTCTCTTGGAAACATTAAATGGCCACCAGTTCTCCTGGGACATCGCGGCGCTGTGACGAATGTCGCCGGAGACGCAAGAAGGTAAAGGCGTTTTGTGCCCCAAACTCTATCACAGGCGCGGGATTCATGGCTAATCTCTCATGTCGGACGGGTAGTGCGGTCTGGAGGAACCAGAGTGCCACAGATGTGTCGCTAGGGGGATCAAATGCAGCGGAATCAACAATGCCCGCATCTACGTCCACCGTAATGCACAGAACATGCGCACACAATCTCACCGCGGTGCTCTCAGGGTTGCCATGCAGAGACGGACCGCACACTCTCAGTCTAACCTACCCCCCGAGACGCAGACCGTAGCGGCTGCTACTCCTCCCACAGCTCTGGAGGCTCTTCAGCAACTTGTACAAAATAGCCAAGCGGCCGTGCTCACTGCCGGTACATCCCTTTCGTCGAAGCCTGTAGAATTCTTCTACTCGACTATTTTGGATGCGTTTCAACCGGGAGAGCACGTCGGAGTCTTTAGCGGCGATCGAGTGCCACAGTCAACCACTGAAGGAGATTGCTCGAGCGTGGCAGTATGCATCCGTTCGTTGCTTCCTCTCGCCCAGCAGTCCGCGCGGCATATCATGGACAAATCAATCTTCAGCCTGCTGACCATGTATCTGAGTCTCTTGGTCAAGGACTCCAAGCTGACGGAAATGGCACGAGCGGCCTACACCTCGGCGGTGCGAGAATTCCGCCTTTTCATCGGGTCTCAGTTCCAGCGAGGACTGGCACATGGCCAGACAAGCCAATATCAGCTTTTCCTAGCGCTCTCTACAGCTCTGCAGCTATTCGAGGTATGCATAAGCCTTGGCTGGCCCCGAAGGCTCTTCTTTCCACATTATGTTAGGCAGCTTGGCTTATAATGCTAGTACGTGAATGATCTGGGAGAAATGCGATCGGGCTTCCTGGCCCATCACGAGGGAATGCTCCAAATCCTCCAGATATCCGGACCCGAAGTGTACCAATCACCTTATTTGCTACAGTCCTTCTCTGGACTCCGCGGTATAATTGTAAGGAGAAGCCAGTTTTTTGCCAACCCAACATCGAGTGCCGCCCTTATATTTCTGTACCAAGTCTTACGAATTGCCAGATATTTGTCGCTCTGCAGAGACGACGCCCCATCTTCCTATCCGAACCGACCTGGATCTACACTCCATTCTTTTATCGGCCAAAGACGAGGCGGGAAATCCTTCACGATCTCGCCCTGAGACTTCCAGACCTGTTATATCGCACGGATGACCTGATCCCGTTGCTCGTGCAGACCCCTCGAGGAGATGCAGACGGTCGAAGCAACAACTTCCGGGAATTGATGGACGTCACCCAGAAGCTTGTCGCAGACTTTACACAATTGAAAGCTGACCTCGAAGCATGGTTCCAAAACTTCAAGCAATCGTACTCGCCCGCGCCTATCTACTGGACCACCGACACCGTCTTGGACAGCGCCCATTCCTACACGGACCCGGTCTGCGTCCCGGACCTGCAGGATCCAAAGTACCAGCTGCGATTCCAGGACGGCCAAAAGGCCGGCGTGTTGATCTGCTACTGGAGCTTCATGCTCGAGCTGCTCATGAGCGTGATCGACGTGCAGGCTGCAGCCTTGTTGTTGTCTACGAGACCAGGCAACGACGGAGGAGATATGACCATAGATGCCGTATGCGAGGACCTCGACGCCCACCGCGCTACCGCAGATGACTGCGCATTCCTGATTCTACAGTCAATGCCGTATTTGCTGTGCTGTCTGGAAGGCGTCTTTGTGACGCAGTCACCACTGAGTCTTGTCCAGAGGTATTTCGCTCGGCGGCAACAGTCGTCTCATCCGCTCGCGAGTGAGTGAGGTGGAACCATGAATTAACGCCCTTGAAGGTCAAACTTGAAGAGAAACGAAATCTTCAAAGGGTAGAGAAAGAAGTCAAGAGCTGTGTTGTGTAGGGACTAGGGAGGCAGAAGTGTCACGAAGAGAGAGAGAGAATGCAAGCTCGCCGTCGAGAACACCTACACAAACGCCTTTGACGCTGCCAGAACAATATCTCGCCTATCGATCATAAACCACAGAACAATCCCCGAGATGGAAGGGAAAACGAGCATATCCCAAGCCCTCGCTTAGGTCAAGTATATCCAAACGAAGTCCGAACCCCCTTATTCGCACGCCGACTCCTCCTCACGGCCGTCCCGTCCTTCTGCGTGAGACTCTGCTCCTCATCTTGCTGTTTGACATGTCGTTCGATCCTCTCCACCGCCGCGGCGACTTTACCTCCGTGTTCTGCCGCCTTCTTGTTCGATAGCAAGGGATGCCGCAGGCTAGCCCCTTGGACCTGTTCTGGTCCCGTTCCTCCTCCTTCTGCAGCTTCAGCGGCAGCTTCTCTCGTCTTCCTTTTGGCCTTTTCCACCAACTTTCCCACCGACGCCGTCGGCTTCCTGGTCACGTTCCGACTCTTCGGTTTCGCCGGCGAGCCCGTCGCCGAGCGCTTCTCGACTTTCGCGCCGTGCACCGCCGACTTGCGCCGCTCGCCTCGCTTGGGTTGCTTGATGATAACAACTCCGCCGTCGGGGATGGGAGGAGGAGCTGGTCTTGTGGGCGCTGACACGCTAGGTTCAGAGGTTGGCGGCGGGAGCGACAGTTCTAGTCCAAAGTCTCCTGGCAAGAGTGTTGGGGAAATATCTTTCATCTCGACATCTGTGTTGTCCCGTCTAGACAATGGAGATGGCGTCAATGAGCGGTCGACATATGCGGGTGTCGACTCGCGTGCCCAGTTTGGTGGGGGGAGCTCGGGCTCGACACTCTGGCGGATCTGATCTTGTTCTGGTGCTGGTGCTGGTGGTGGCAGTCTCTGCTCGATGCTCTGTTGGACGTAGTCCTGAAGCACATCTGCTGCGTATGGTGTCGAAGGCGTGGAATCGACAGGAGGCCGCGGAGTGTCTGGACGACTCGGGGGCATCGAGCTTCGCTGGCTGAACGCTGGCGTTGTTGGCTGTTGGATCGTTGGGGGTACGGACCCCTTTCGACTGTATACTCCCGCACTCCCCTGCGGCGACGACGAGACGGGTATAGGGCTTTCAATCAACTCTGCCAGCTTGAGGTGCAGCGGGCGATGGTCCTGGCGCGATACCAAAGTCGGCGTTCGTATCACTTTGACAGCTTCCTCTCCGTGCAATGCCCTTTGGTCCGTTTCATTCTCTGCTTTGCGACATGTGCAAGTTCCGGGAAAGCAGGAACAGTCGCGTCCATCTCTGCAAAGACAGGGCTGAGACGGCGAGTGTGGTTGATTGTTCACCTCCCTTCCCCTGACTGCGGAACATCCTTCCTTGCATCCACATCGGCCAGCCGGACAGCAGCACGTTCCTTCAGATGTACACCGGCAAGGCTGCGGCGTATGGACTTCCGGCACTGTCTGTGAACCTCCAGCGAAGGATTCTCCCTGTTTCCATGCTTGGGTCTGTGATGGTACGCCCCCGTCAACCGGCTGAGACTCCGCTTCTTGTCGCTGTCCCAGCTCCAGCTCTTTGGAGGCATCGCCTATTTCACAACCAAGCGCATGCACGTCACAGTCGGCACAAGCACACCTGCCCGGCCGACACTCGATCTTTCGACCCTTGATCGCACAGGCGCAACGGTTGACAGGCTCCGGGACCATCTCACCAGTGTGCTCGGCACATGTCTCGCAACGACACAGGCCCGGGAGACATGAACACGGCTTCTTCTGTGAGTCTCCGCCTCCGCAGCCTTGGTTGTCAGCTTCTCCTCCGAAACCCCATTTGTTTTCCGCCTCGCTCTTCAACTGCCTCGCCTGCTCGGTGTGGTCGCAGCCCGAACATTCGCAGTACGCGGGATGACAGGCACATTCAGCAGTGGCGCAGCCGCAGGGGCAATTGTGAAGGCTTCCAGATCTGGTTTCTGGATACGGTCGTCGTTCTTGAAGCTGATCGTCCATGTCACATCGCCCCTGACCATGCACAAGCTGCACCAGTTCCACCCCCGTCTCGGACGACGACAAGACGTTCAACTGGCCCTGCAACTGCTGACTGAGTCCGCAAGGAGAAGGCTGCTCGAAACTATCGCCGTCGTGATGATTATGATCAGAAGGCAAGGCACCGACATCCGCTGGACTGTCGTGCACTACTCCCGCGGCGACATGCATCATCAAGACCTGATCCTCCTCGTCTCCGAGATCGCTGCTGTCTTCAAACAGCGAATCGAGGTCCGAGGTCCGCCTCACGCCGCGGTGTCCGATGCTCGAGATGATGGGCGAATCCGAAAACGCCGGGCTGTAGCTGAGGTCTTTGGGCGGCTGGGCCTCGTGCCACCGCGACCGGTCGATGTCGTCGGGATACTGGGCCGCGGCCGCAGCCATCCCAGCTGTCTGAATGCGTTGCTGATTCGATGTCGGGGTATTAAAACCCCAAGCGTCGTGGGGATTGTACGTGCCAAAGCTGCCATGGCTTGATAGCCCTTGCGCCGAGTAGATTGTGCTCTGATGCTGATGCTGATGCTGATGTAGCGGCGGAGCCGGTGGTCTTGAAAGAGCATGCTCGCCATGTTCTTGAGCTCCGTCCGTGTCCGTGGGAACCTGTACTTCGTTCAGCTGATAAAGTGTCGAACTGCCCATTTCGTCGTAACGGAACTGCTCCCCGTCCTCTAACCACGACGACGGCATATTTCGCCGTTTTCTCCTGGTGTAGGACTGCCTTGTAAAGATTCCACCCTCACTCTCGGCTCAGTACGGCGCTCCTACTCAAAGAGACCATTGTATATCGAAACACTTCTGATATCAGGTCTCACGAGGCACGAGGCACCATGCAGTGTTACTGGTACAATCCACAAAAAAAATGAGTTGGATCGCAACAATAAATCAAGCAGACTTTCCGAGAGAAACCTTTGTTGTCGAGGTATGCAGGTATGTATGCAGGCATGTATATGAATGCACGTATATGAATGCACGTATGCGGGTATGTATGTATGTATGTACATGTGTATGTGTATGGTACCTACCCTGGCACTGGCACCTGGATCAAGGGGTTCAGGAATGTGGTGTGGACGGTAAATTAATTGTCGGCCAGCAACGTGCATTCCATGGAGAAAAGAGGAACAAGGCGCAAAGGCCGACGTATGCATGCGCGGCAGGCAGGACATGGAGAATTGGATGGAGAGTTTATAACTAGAGACCGCTTCCTGGTGAGGAGCGGAGGGGTGTTCTATGTGGAATGGGCAGAAGATGGATCATTGCGTTAACTGTGATGGTGATGGTTGGTCTAGCATGCATGGCTCTAGGAAGGTTGGATACTAAAGAGGTTGAAAGGGTCAATCAATGCAAGGGAGGTCTATCCAGGGTGATCATCAGGCTTTATTCGCGGTCCGGCAAAGCAAAGCAGTGTCCATCCAAAGCCTCACATCGCCCAAGTAAGACCAGCGCTCAGTCTTCTGTAGCCAGCTCGCCTACCACCCCCCCTTAATGTCGATATCGTGTCGAAACAGGAACAAGGCAGGAGAAAAAGAAAATACAATCCACCCGGGCTGAATCACTGCAAATCTCCATCAACAGTGTCTGGCGGCGACAGATCTTTCCTTGCAGCAATGAGCGTCCACCGCATGCAGTCCGCCCAATACATTCCACCAACCCTGGTCCACTGGCCGAGGCCTCTCTTCTTCGCTTCCGAATTTGAGAAATCACCTGTTGATGGTTAGTAAAAAAAAAAAAACATCCTCACATAAGTCAGTCTTTGGGGGGCCGAGCGAACTTACATTCTTTGGTGATGTGATTCCAGAACGTCGAGACGCATTTGTCCTGGCCATATTTCTTCATTGAGACACCGTTGACCAGTGGCGTGCCTGTCGGCGAAGGACACCCATTGTAGTCGAAAGCGAGACCGATGGTCAGATCATAGTCGAACGCCGAGTCCCCGTTCGATGGAAATAAATCACATTCACCTGGGGACACCACCTCTGAGCTCGATGTGGCGGCAAATGAAAGTCCCTGGTAAAGAACGATGTCGCGATCCACCAGGCTCTTGCAAAACTTCCTAATGGGACCCTTGTCCAACTGGAATGGCGAGAAAGGGAGACCCGAGTTCCAGACGGTTGCGACCGTACTTGTGGCTTGCCCGCTGACAGGGGTAGCACAGTTCACAACCCCGGCCTTGGCCGGGCTTGTAGTGGTGGTGAAGGCAGTCCAGTGGGCACAATACGAAGTCTGCTCGTCTGCATTCAGAACAGTGGTTGACACAGTCTTGAGGCCCCACGAATCTGTACAGCTTGCACTACCAAACGCAGCCTCTCCGTCACAGGTGAAGATCGAGACCTCGCTGTAGCTTCTGGCTATACTTGTGAGGGTTGGATGTGCTCCGGTCCCAGCAGAGATCGGGGAAGTCGAAGTGGTTCTGCTCACCAAAGAGACCCCAGAGGAGCCAAACGTCCAGGGTCCACTTGGGCCCAATGTGGGAAGTAGCCTCGACGAGACTATTGTAGAAGAAACCATTACACCTCCTGAGTAGACTTCGCTAAATACATCGCCGTCGTCATCGGTCACTAACACTGTGAAATCCCGCAGGCTGCTTGGAAGGGTCGGCGTTGTGATAGGAGGGCTAGAGATGGTCGAACTATGAGATGTCAAGGATGTCGAATGCGACGTGCTCGTGATAGTCCTCGAAGTGGTGTTGCCCATGGTCTGCGTGGTGTTTGACGAGAAGCTGAAAGTACTGAATATCGTCGTTGCGTTGTCAGGGATCGGTGGAAACTGAGTTATCCACGAGGCAATCTGAGCAGATATCGCTGGGTCATTCCACCAGGGACTGACAGTGCAGGCTGGAGCCGTCGTTGAGGTGCTGACAGTGGTGGTCGTGAACGTGTCGGTCCCAGAGCACTGTGTAACAGTCGTGCATGACCGAGTGCACGATTGAGTGCCAGAGGCTGTACCATTCGAGGTCAATGTCGAGCAAATGTCGAGGCAGGAAGAGAATGCCGTGGACGAGCAGGAGCTGGACGAGCTCGATGAGCTGGACGATCTTGAGGTATCCGACGAGCTTGGAGAATCTGTGGTCGGCGTAGATGATAGACTTGCAGAAGGGTTGTTGTTGTCAGTACAAGGCGCCGCTGAACAACTGGTCGTAGGCAAGGTCATAGATGCCACAGGCGCAGGAGGGACTGGAGGAAGAACGGGAATCTGCATCAATTAGTCTCACAAGAAAGACACAGGTTGAGATTTGGAATACGCACCGGTGGCAATGGAAATCCATTCGACCCATGATCACTGCACGGTCTCTGACATCCCAACCCGAAAATGCAACTAGCCATGGCCGCCGCCCAGTCGAGGACATCTCCACAATCACCCTGGCACAGAGGGCCGTCACAACTCCAGGACCAGAACGGAAAGACAATGTAGCCACCCTCGATGCTTCGAGTGCTCTGTGAAAGCGTAGCACTCCATGTGACGTCCGTAGTACTGCTACTGCCGCTTGTTCTGGACACGCCCCGCTCGGTAATAATGCTCCACGGTTCTGGTGTTATGGTATCGGAGGTGAAGCCACTAGGGAGCGAGTGCACAACGCCTGATGAACCAGCAGAAGTAGTCACGGAGCAAATCCAGCCATCCGCACAGCTTGATCCCGTTGGCGTTTGGGCGTAACACAGCGGGTCTGCAAGCCAACAGTACGGGCAGACGCAGTTCTCTGTACTTGCCGCGACGATTGCCCCCGACATCACCGTGGTGCTCTCCGCGACAGGCCAGGGCCAGCACCATGGAGGAAGATTGTAAGTGCTTGGTGCGGATTGATTGGCTGAGTAAGAATAGGAACATGGCATGTCGCCAGTCAGGGACAGCATGGGAAGGGCGGATGCAGAGGTAACCGCGGGAGGAGTCATTGTGATGCCCGGAATAAGGGTGACCGTGCCACTAGATGATGGGCTTGACCCAGATACGGCTGCTGAACTAGCGATAGTGCTGGAAGAAGAGCCGTTGCTGAGTGAAGTTGAATTTGTTTCTCCTGCAGAGAAGCTTGACTCAGATACAGATGCTCCAGAATCTGACGACTCAGGAATCACGGGCACAGCACTGGAACCAGTATCCTGTGTTGTTGAAGAAACCTGCACAATGCTGATTGTAGTTCGGATAACGGTCACGAATGTCGTCGAACTTAGATCAATCGTACTGGTGAATGAAGTCGTGATTTCAGAGGCAGCAGTGACGTTTGAAGTCAAAGCAAAAGGGACTGAATTCACAGTCGATAAGCTCATATTGGTGTCTGGTCCTTGTGCTGACAGTGTACTTCCAGCCAGTGTACTTCCAGACGGGCTGCTATCGCTGGACATGGATGGAACGATGCTCGACGTTCCATTAGCAGGGAAAGGCGGAAACATGGTCAATGTACTGTCTGAAGGGACAGGTGGAGTCGTGCTCGATGTACCATCAGCGGATAAAGGTGGAACCATGGTCGATGTGCTGTCTGAAGGGACAGATGAAGCCATCGTCGATGTATCATTAGCAGGTAAAGGTGGAACCACAGTCGAAGTATCGATACCTGGAACAGGTGGAATCGCGTTCGAGGTGTTGTTTGCAGGGACAGATGGAGCCATACTTGATGTGCCCTCGGCGGGTGAAGGTGGAACCATAGTCGATGTACCGTTATCTGCAACAGGGGGAACAACGCTCGAGGTGCTGTTGGCGAAAAAGGGCTCACTTGTGCTTGATTGTGCAACAGGTTGCGAAAAGTTTGATGCGCTCATCACAGACATTGTAGCCTGAGATTCATATTGAGTTGACTGAGAGACGACAGACAATGAGTCTTGAGAGGCAGAGCCGGCAGTGGAAGAGAATACTGAGGCTGCCTGAGTATCGGATGTTCCATTCGTCGAGACACTGGACAGAGACTCGCTTGACATAGAGAGAGCACTGCTGATTGATTGTATACTAGAAGGCTCCGACGTTGAAGAAGACATATTGCCAGATGGAGTGAATCCTGTACTTGTCGAGCCAGTCGAAGACGAGTCCGACGAGGAGGAAGGTGAGGTCGAAGATGACAGGGTGAAGGTGGAAGAACTCTGCGAGACAGACGTGCTAGAACCAAAGCCACTCATGGACGACTGATCCAAAGGCACTGACGAGGTGTCGATACCGCCATAAGTAGGCTTTGAGGAAGGAGTTGAAACAGCAACGGAAGAACTGCTTGTTGAGGTGGTGGTAACGCTCCAATCTCCCCAAGGGTGCGGACCTGGTCACAACATTAATGGACGACTTTGAAAAGAATGGGAAGACGTACCAAAATGAGGGGGTTCATTGTTGCATGTAGGACAGTCACCTGCCAAATCGACGCGCTTGATGTTCGATCCAGGCTGCGCCGCGTGAACAGAGTTGCTCAGACTCGCGACAAACCCGAGCAGAACGAAATTGATAAGAGGCGCCATGACAGCGCGCGACCAAGTATTTGTACCGGTCTGAGAATCTGACTGACAAGTGTCGATCTTCAAAGCTCACCAACCACGTAAGAGAGACAAAGGATTGTAAGGTTAAATTCAAGAATGTTGTAGGATATATATGCGGCAGGCCGACAGTCCATCTTCACTGCTTGTGCAAAATTCACGGCATGTCACTGAGAAAACAAGTAACGACACAGAAGTGCAGAATCTTGGTGGTGACGTTGTAGTGAAGACGCGAGAGAGACAAACCTACCAGTGAGGATTCTGGAAATGGTCACTTATCTTGTCCAGGTAGTTGTTTTCACTCTGAGTAGAGTCCAAGTTTGCTGCCGCTTGAAACATCTGGTGAAGATTTTCACGACCATCAAAGTTCCTATCTTGATGAGAATTGTTCCGGGTGACTTGACTTGATCTTTATCTCGGTCTTGTGCTGCCAGTAACTTCAACTCTCAAACTCACCAAGGCCATTCTTGTCTGTTGGGAATATGAACAACATATCCCAGGGATGTCTCAAATTGAGTAATCTCGGTCTCGTCCCGGGGGAACTGTTAACATCATTTTCCTGGTCACTAATGATGTCGATAGTGCGAACTTTGTCTCTGTGTTCCGAACGATTCCCATATGTCGTGGCGTCGTCCCCATCGAATGCAGACCGTCGTCCACCCTCTCTAACATCTGGTCGAGAGGAGTTATGGTAGAGTGTTGGCCACAGGGAAACATGCACGTCGACCGGCATGACAGAGAGCACACCCAGGTGCACGAAAGGCCGAGGCCATACCAGAGCAGTCGTCAGAGGTCCGGTATCCGAAATGGTATCCGATTGCCCAAGCTAGAAGCATATGCGGAAATCAGCAGCAGGTGATCACGAGTCACTTCAACCCACCAAGGCTGGCCATCCTGTGGCTATGTATGGAGTACACTGGCAGGGTCGGACTTCCCCGAGCATGCCAGGCCCGGTATGGCTTTCGTGGGTGTTGGGAGGAGGTGTCTCGGTGTACCGAGTATCACTTCTCCATTGCCTCCATTTGAAACGATGGATCTTCCCATCTTTCCCCGCACACTTTGTCCAGCGTCTTCTGTGGGGAACCCCAAGGCTGACCGTCTCGAGAAGTCATGAGAAGTGGACATGGGGCTTCGGCAGATGTATCGAAAATGAACGGAGAATTGCCGAAGTCTGCTCTGCAATGTGACAGTCCTGATCGACAAGATATAAGACAAAATGACGGCCTGCCCGGTGCCAGCTCGTTGTAGCCCCCTTGAACCCCATTGAACTGCTCCTCACCACGAATCGACAGTGAAGCTTGCAATTCGGAATCTTTCTTTGTCGCCACGATGCCCGGCCTTCTCCTAACTCCAGACACCGAATTCAAGAAGATCCAGATCAAGAAGCTGCATCCAACATTCGCGGCCGAGATTGAAGGTGTTGATTTCTCCAAGCCAATTCCGGACGACGTGTTCAGCGAGATCCTGGCTGCTTCTGCAAAGGTAAACCCCTGAGATAGAGGCCTTTTGCCTTGCCGCGACTTACAAGACTCTGACTGCTTCGTAGTATGGAGTGATTGTGTTCCGAAAGACCGGGCTTGACGATAAAGGGCACGTTGAGTTTTCTCGCCGGTTCGGGGAGTTGGACGATATCAGGCCGTACATGACCAACGGGAGAAAGCCACGATATGAATACTATGAGCTTTTTGACGCCGGCAACATCGACCCCGATACGAACACTGTTCTGTCACCAGATAGTCCCCGCGCACAATACAACAAGGGTAACGCCCTATATCACGTTGATTCGTCGTTCAACCCCCGGAGGGCGTCATACTCGATCTTGAAAGCTCACGAACTGCCACCACCAAATACAGGAGGCCATACCGGATTTGCTGATACGCGGACGGCATTTGATGAACTGGATCCTGAGTTGAAGGCAGAGCTTCTAGAGAAGAATTATATCGGTGCCCATTCCCTCTATTCGTCACGCAAGAAGGCGGCACCGGAATACTTCAAAGATGTCGATGTGAACAATTTTCCGATGCACAAGCATCGTATCGTGCAGAAGCATGAACCGTCAGGTCGAATGAATTTGTACATTGCCGCCCATATGGACCACATCGTGGATGTATCACCGGAGAAATCGAAGGAGCTTATGGACAAGCTTATGGCGCACGCCACGCAGGACAAGTATACCCTCAGTATTCCATGGAACGATCCTGGTGACATGGTCATCTGGGATAACACGTAAGCCCAATCATTTACCCCTTGACATCATCTAAGCCGCAGCAAACGCTGATTCGAAATACAGCTGTGTTATGCATCGTGCCGAAGGCGGTTCTTTCGCGGGGAAATACCGAAGAGATCTGAGGAGGACCACAGTGCATGACGACAGTTCTGAGGCCTGGGGTCTTAACAAGGCGGGACAAGATGAAAGACCAGGCTTCGTATTGTACGACTTGTGAATCACAAAATCCTAGGGACCATACTGACTATTGACAGTTTCAACCAGGCCTTGCCACAGGCCGTAAAGGCGTGAGAAGCATTGGAATGAGAGACCAACTCTGTAGCGCGAGACAGAGTTGGGTATTGCAAGCAGTCAGGACTAAGAATCTCGTATAGCGCAAGGCTGCAGCTCAGCCTTGGAATGTCTTGGCATGTATTATGTAACCTCAGCGGGCAATTCACAAGTATCTCGTCCCGCATTGCTGCTTGAGAGCATCCTGCATTGAATTTCTCGGCCACACAACTACACTACGATTTCTTCCTGTAACTTCGTTAGACCTGAAGCATAACCATCGACGCCACAATCTGAGAAATCGTACTTCGTTCCCGTCTTCTCAGGTTTACAGCCGTCGACATTATCCCAGTCCGCACCACTCCCCCGCCAACAACCAGGCATAAGCAACAGGACTGCACCCGTCCCCTCCAACGATGGCCAACATAAACTGGCGCACGATAAACGTCGACGCCTACGACCCGGACTCTGCGTTGAACTTTCCCCTTTCCACCCTCCTACCATCCAACCTACCCGCACCCTCCACATCCTCCGAGTCAGCACAGCTAGGCCAACAGGTCCGGCAACTCCTGCGGGCCGGGGACAGCCTGGGTGCTCTACAGTCGGCGCTGGAAACCGCCCCTCTGGCAGGCGACGAGGGCGCAAAGCAAGTCCACCTCACCACCGTCTTGGAGGTGCTGCAAGGCATCAGGCAGAGCGATGTCAGTCGGATATTGACGGAGATGCTGAAACAGCCGGGCGGCGCGGCGCTGGGAGATACCCTGATGAAGTACATATACAAGGGCATGGCCAGTGGGAGCAGCACCGGTAGCAGCAAAGGAGTGAGTCCGCAGGTGACCGGGACGGGGTTCAGTCAAATTCAATCGCGGAACTTTGGTGAAGGCGGAGGTGGTCAGGTCATGAGCGTGCTGCTGAGCTGGCATGAGAAGCTGACGGAGGTAGTGGGCGTGGGCGGGATTGTGAGGGTCATGTCTGATCGACGGACGGTATAAATACATGTCAACAAGCGGGTTTACCCTTCTACACTCTCCTCCAATTTGGAGGATGTTATGGACCTGCCGTATTGGCCGGTGGCACGTTGAAATGCAAACACACCCCTGGGCAGACCGCAAAGATAGACGAATGGCACGGTGCTCAACACAATGGATATTGGCCGCAAAGTTCGAATCATTCCAGGACAGGATATCTCTTCGAGACCTGGTCGCTATCCACAGAGGATTTTATCATCAACAGTCAACTCTCCCAATACCAAGGACCATCCAGTAACTCAACTCTCTCTTCCCATCATCCGCGTCCTCTCCGTCTTCAAGTACCTTGTCCCTGTCGCGTTTCCTTCTTTCCACAATGCCCGCACTCTCGTCCTCAGTGACGGTCCATTCCAGCCTGACTCTAATAGGGATTTCAATGACATCCTCATCCCCGTCTAGATCCTCGCTAACGCCTCTCAATATGCTTGCGGGAATAATCTCAATTACCACGCTCGCCCAGTTCCGACCCTGGTCGTACAATTTGCCTGCGATTTGTTCTCCGCCTGCGGTATTGGCACCGCCCACCGCCTGGGTTGGAGGTTTGTTGAGTGCGTCGTCCCAGGCATCGCTATTCTTCCCGATCTGAAACTGGGGACACAATATGGTGACCCGATGTCCATGCTTTCCAGGCGTCACACTGGGGCTTCCCAAGCTGACATTGACGTCGTCAAACAGCGGATTGCGCAGTGTCATGATAAACTGGACAGGCTTACCGGCGGCAAGGATAATGTCACTTCCATCTGGTCCAGGAGGAGACAAGCCACCCGGAACTGGCAACGGCTTTATGGTCACAAAGGGGATATAGCTGAGCGCGATTAACTTGATGCGGTATCGTGCAGACGATATCTTCAGCTCGGGTCGAGTGAGGATGTGTTTGCAGGTCGCACAGCGCTTGGATCGTTTGGTACGCATAAGTGTGGGCATCGGTCTGAGATCTGAGACTGTGCGCGCTCGAGGATTGCCAATAAAGGAAGGGTTTTGAGAGGTTCTTTGTGCCATGGTTGTGGTCTCGTCGTATTCGCAAGGTGTAGCACTTTGTGGGTCATACAGTTTGAGCCCTTCGCCCACCGCGCGAGCCTCTCGCATGATCGTAAGCTTCTGTCGAGCCCGTTTAAGCGAGTTCTCTCTGTTGGTATAGATGTTCATGATACGTTGGAGTGACGATGGGGACGAGTAGGCCATGTCCAACGCCGAAGTGGGAAAGCCCGCATCCATTGCTGAAGATTCGGCGATTTGGTCCTTGTAGAACGTCTTCAGGGCGTTGAACCTCGCCGTTGAATCCAGAGATGGCTGTGACTCGGTTGGCTCTTTGGCCTCCACGGCCTCTCCTATTTCTTCCGGCAATAAAGGCTGCCGCGAAAGCGATGATTTGCGTGCGGGCTCATCATGGTATGGTGGTGATTTCAAGGTCGAAGGCCTGCGTTTGCCTCCATTTGCAAGTTCATCAAGCTGGCCACGGACTCCGGTCGGTTTATCAAGCTTGATACCAACATCGAGGGTGCTCCACATGCAATAGTTGCAGTTGAGGATAAATGGTCCGTCTTTTGGGTCGCCAATGGAAGTGGTGATCATCTGGGACGTGCATATAGGGCAATGAAAGCAGTTTCGAGGACATCTATTCCCTTCACCCCTAACCATTACCCTGGGACTCTCAAAGAGGCAGTCTGGACAGTAGGTCGCATTGATCTCCTCGGTCACGCAACGAGGGCATTTGATCTCGTGGCATTCTTCGCAGTACAACAAGTGCTCAGGAGGAAACAGCGAGAAGGCAGAACGTGGATGTCGCGGATCAAAGGTCTCTTCACCGTCTTGGACTCCCTCAAAGTCGACATCGCGGGAGGATCGCTTCGACTTCAAGGCTCTATTGGATGCATCTGAACAGGGGCAAGAGACGAAAGTGTAAGGGAATGTTGTTGTCATGGTGCAGGTTTAGGTCCCGTTCTGCGCTCAAAGCTGCCACAACTTCATGTGAGAGCATATCATTCTGCGACAATAAGCTCTGTTTCGAATGATAAAGATCATTGACTTACCTTCTCTCCGTCCCTTAATTCGAGGCCTTGTCTTGCTGTCCAAATGGACGCGGTCGGACGCGGTCGCGGCTGACCTTCCCGCTACGATGCACAATGGGCGCAGATATTGACATCATGCCGCAGATGAACCAGGACAAGAACGAACGATATTATCACTCCCCAATGTCAACTTAACTGGTGATCTGGGCTATTCTACCAGGATATCCCACAATGAAGCCTCCAGCGCTACGGCCGTGGCTTCCTACTTCAGCTCTACGACGGCGTCCTTGCTTCCGCAGGCCTTACGCTATACAGTCGCCGGGGGGGCCAACTCTTCAGGTCTTCAATGAGAACGTGAAGTACCTTCAGAAAGAACGGGCGGCAGCAAATGCAGAATACAGCCGCAATGTCGATTATCTGAAGGACGAGGTGGCCCAGCGACTAGTCGACCGTCTACTCGACATCAATCGCCGGTTTCCCCATGTACTCGACTTGGGTGCCAATAGCTGCAACATTGCACGAGCGCTCTCTAAGCCGCCTCTGATTGCGCCAGAACTGCCAGAAGGAGCTGCAGAGGCCAAGATTCCGCTCTCGGACCGGATAGAACACCTCACCTGCGCGGACACCTCTCCCACCGCCCTTCATCGCGACGATTCACTCCCTGAACCCGCAGTTCCAATCACTCAAGAAGTCCTCCCTTCGCTTGAGACTCTTCCTTATGAAGCCAACACTTTCGATGCTGTTCTCTCTTCTTTGTCCCTCCATTGGATAAACGACCTCCCCTCGGTGTTATCAAGCATAAACAACATTCTCAAACCCGATGCCCCCTTCCTGGCAGCTATGTTCGGCGGAGACACCCTCTTTGAATTGCGCTCGTCGCTACAACTAGCCGACCTAGAGCGCCATGGCGGCGTTTCGCCGCATATATCACCTTTAGCAGATGTCAGAGACGTGGGGAACCTGCTCGGTCGAGCTGGATTCAAACTTCTGACGGTCGATGTCGACGATATAATAGTCGAATATCCCGACACATTCGCCTTGATGACGGATATCCAAGCCATGGGCGAAGGAAATGCGATCCTCAAATCTATGGGCGGTCCTATCAGCCGGGATGTGTTGCTGGCAAATGAAGCCATATACAGGGAATTGCATTGTAAAGAGGACGAAAAAGACAGGATACCGGCTACCTTTAGAGTGATCTACATGATTGGGTGGAAGGCTAGTAAAGGACAACCACAGCCTCTGGAAAGAGGGAGTGGAAATGTCAACATGAAGGACATACTAGGTGGGGGAGAATTCACGTAGCAGTAATGCTGTACAAAAGTCAACGAAAAAAGGGCACATGGGTAGTTTGAACCAATATTTTGTCGTCTAATCGCCGCTTGAAAAATGTCTGCTAGGCAGTTTGCTTCAGGCTTCAATCCTCATTTGAAAGGCACTCCATTTTTGGCTCGAACCAAGCCACAATGCTCCCTGTAGCATACCGCAGAGATCCGTTTCACCCATACAACGAGACTTCATAGGGAGGGTTGAAATAGACTGGCTGACCTCCGCCCGCAAGGCATCTGCGTACTCTAGTCTCTCTCATATCATAGACATGTCACCCAGCCCGTCCTGCATTTTTCCGATCTTGCTACACACCACATGTCGTCTAGAAGTCGGTGGCGCTGCTCATGGGGAACTCGAAACCGCAAACCCGCCCAGTCAATTTTCGGTACACCTCGGAGTAGGTGTCGAGTCTGTAATCCACACCACCCCGCTCCTTCTCATCCAGAATGACCTTCAACACCTTGCTTCCGTCCTCCTTGGTCCTCAATCTCTTGCCCACAATTTCAACGGGGTAGACCACATCGGCGAGGATGGCGTCGTGGACGGCAGTCAGAGTGCGGCTTCGGGGACGCTTCTGGGTCTGGCTGGTGCGAGAGCGGTTGGAGCGCTTGGGGCGGGGAAGGATGCGGCGCGAGGCGAGGATCAAGACGTGGCGGTCAGAGAATTTCTTCTCGAGTTCACGGGTCAGACGTTGTTGGACCTTGTGGAAGCCTGCGAGCAGGGGGACGGGGACGAAGACGACGATAGCGCGCTTGCCGTGGCCAACTTCGAGCTGAACGCAGAGAAAAATCTCGTTAGCTTTTGATGTCTTTTATCTCCAGGTCTCCAGGACTTTGTAGCAGGGTAAATTCCCGTAGGATACACAGGCACTCATACCTCGCGAGCAGAGACAAACTGGAGCGGTCTCAAAGCGACCTTGAGGTCTGGGATGTTGGTCTCGAGTTCATAGAGAGCGGTTGCGATGCTCGTTTCCAACTCGGAGGGATGTTGCCTCGAGGGGCTGTTGTGGGCGATCTTGTTGAGGGCAGGTTGAGACATGATTGCGACTTGAGAGGTGTCAAGTGATTCGCAATCTGTAGTTGTCCCAGAGGTTTGAAGGTTGGTGGTGGCAGTGGTTGAAAGCCTTGCGGTGTGTGTGTGTGGACAGTGATCGGGGCTCTCAATCCGCAATTTCTGGGAATTCGCCAAGATTTTCGTGCGTTGCCCTAAACTCCGAAAGGGAAGAACGTTTGTGGGAGAAATATCTCACCGTATGTCCTGCGTTTCATGCATTATGCTTTGCCGTACTCACTTCTGCTGCAACCACAACCCAAAAACTACCACCACCTCACGACTATCAACGACCAGATTGCCACACCTTATAAATCATGGAGTTTAAACCTGTCTCTTTCGTCTACTGATAAATTCTGAATCCTCTTTTAGATATCGATTAACTCCACTAGCGACAACGCCGACACGCTCTGCCCTTTGGAGAAACATGGAGCTTCTACGGAACGCCTTGTGCTCGGCGGAGTTTGAGGGCCAGAGGGCCCAGAGAACGATTTCATGACACGGCTTGGGTTTGTCATGCAGATATGGCCTTAGCCCCATAAGTTTCCAAGCAGCGTTGCGCTGGACACGGAAACGTCAATATTACCACGACATTAGGAAATTCATCCGACAGAGACGACGGACGATTTAACCCCACCGTTTAGGCAATGAGCAGACCCTAAGCGACTTAGCTGGTATCCCGAGCTCTACCGAACATCCAACCATTCATACCCCTTCTGTCCGGAGATAAGCAGCTGCCTTGGTCATTGAGGTTTGGTGCAAGTGGAGCATATAAAAGGTATGTAAAACGACTTGCGTGACTTCATATATAGGTCCCAGGTTTGCATGTGGCTTTCCTGTAGTCTCCTCAAACATCAACCTCGACCTTAAACCTATTTTATACGGTCTTGTCATCTCTCAAATTCCCTGTGCTGCTCTGTGAAATACTTCCACCAAACCACATCCAACATGTCCCTTCCCAAGACTACCCCTGCCTGGATCATTGAATCCACTAAAGCCGACACACCAGGGTGGGGAAATCTCAAATATGTCGAGGACTACCCTGTCCAAGAACTGGGCGAGAACGATTGCTTGGTCCAGATTCAAGCAGTTTCTCTAAACTATCGAGACCTGATCATCCCAAAGGTAAAGCACATTACCTCTACGAGACCCGAAATTGAGACATGATATACAGGGCCTCTATCCATTGCCGCTCAACATCCCTTGTGTTGCGGCCTCGGATGGTGCAGGCAAAATCCTAGCTGTGGGCTCCAAAGTCACGCAGTTCGGAGAAGGTGACAAGGTGGTCACCCAGTTCACCCAAGCGCACCAATATGGACCTGTTACGGCGGACATGATGAGCACGACCTTGGGCGGCACTGCCCATGGGTGTCTACGCAAGTATGCCGTCTTCCCAGCTTCGGGTCTCGTGCATGCACCGTCCAATCTTACTCCAACTGAGGCGGGGACCTTGACTTGTGCGCCCCTCACGTCGTGGAATGCCCTTTTTGGCCTTCAGTCTCGAGCCTTGAAACCTGGAGACGTGGTTCTCACTCAGGGAACAGGCGGTGTGTCGCTTTCGGCCCTTCAGTTCGCCAAAGCTTCTGGGGCGACGGTCATTGCGACAACCTCGTCAGAGGAGAAGGCCAAGCGTTTGGAAAAGCTGGGAGCCGACATTGTCATCAACTACAAGACGGACCCGAACTGGGGGGAGACGGCGAAGAGCCTTTCCCCCGGTAAAGTGGGTGTGGACCATGTTATTGAGGTTGGTGGGCCTGGCTCGATGGCTCAGTCCCTCAAAGGTGTGTTTTTCTCATGTCGCCTATACCGGCGTCTTCTGACACTTCCTGCCTAGCTATCAAACCCGAAGGCGTGATTTCGGTGATCGGATTCCTGGGTGGCCCTAAGGCGGAGGACGTGCCCAGCACGCTGGCGGCCCTGTCTGCAGGCTGCATCATCCGGGGCATCTTGATAGGATCCAAGGCGCAACTGATCGAGATGAACCGATGCATTGACGCGAACAACATTCACCCGGTGGTGGACGAGAAGACGTTTAGCTTCAAGGATGCGCACGAGGCTTACGAATACCAGTGGCAGCAGAAGAACTTTGGCAAGGTTGTGATTCAGCTCTGAGCGAATTTTTGGTCTTGATGCGAGAACAGGTCAAGCCATGTTAATGAGAACCACCTGCATACATACATGCGCAGGGAGACCACTTACCTAGTCACACGGTTGATAAGTCTGGGAGCCAATGAGTACCAAGTTGATTAGCAAGTGATTCACTCACTCCCGTTAGTATGTTACATCCGTACCTATTACATACCTATAGTCCCAATGCCTGTGCAAGCCCCCAGCCTTCTGGAATATCTACTAGATATCCAGAAGCGACATTCACGAGTCTACTTAACCGAAGACACGACAGGGATATTGCACAACACCGCATGATATTGCCATGTATATGCACGCCCAACACTAGTATGCTCTCGAGCCCTTGACCTTACCCAAGTCGTATCGGCCTCTCCTCTTCCATTGGCGAAAGAGTGAGGGAGATTGAAAAAGGGAAAGTTAACCATTTCTCTCCTCGGGAAAAGGTCCCCCCTCACCCCTTCCTTGTTAACCCCCCTTTCTTCTCTTCCCTGCATCGCATCATCATGTATTCGTGCAGGGTATTATTATCCCATTAGTCGCACCCGTATTGGGCTTTATAAGCAAGCACACTCTCTCGCAGAAAACCGGCATCGGCCATTGGGTATTGCATCTGGTCTGGTCTGGTCTGGTCACATACCCCGCGCGGCGAATGCGGCCGTCGTTATGTCCTCGTATGGAGGCCCCCACACCGTTTGGTCCCCCCTGTCTCCGTCCTCTGTCCCTTGTCCTATTTTATGTATGTATGGACATGTACTTGCTCGGTATATTATGCCCTAGACATGCCGCGCGGAGGAGGGGTTTTTTGTTGTTGTTTTTTGGAATCCTTAGAGCAGCGCATGAAAACATTTACCATTCACCATTCATCACACTTTGTCCACCCCGCCACGGGCTGATGAGTCATGAGTAATGAGCACTGAGCACTGAGCACTGAGCACTGAGCACTGAGCACTGAGCACTGAGCACGGGTTCGTAATGAGCATGGGTATGGGCATGTGCATGAGCATGCAGTAGTATTCAATTCGTATTCTAATCGTATTCGTATGTAGCACGCAGTACGAGGTATGCATACGCGAGGTATCAGTGTCGTGCCCTAATTCCTTAATGCCTTAGGCACTCCCTTCCCTCCTGCCCACGTCCTCACTACATCGTTGTCGCGATTTGTAGCGATTTCTATCGATTTGTTATCCGCGGTCAGCGTCGACAAGGGTGGCCACCAGGGGGGTTTCAAGGCTATGTAACTAGCGTCGGACGCAGAAAAGGGAGGGGCTATTCCTGCATTGAGAATGTGATGGAATTGCTTTCTCTGGTAAAAAGGCGGGGGAGAGGTCAGTGGGGAGGTCAGTGGGTATATACATAGATAGTACATAGTCCATAATGCTATACCGAGTACTACACTGGAGGTATCTTCTTTAGTTATTTTAAATGTTTAGATGTGATGACGGGGAGTCAGTCGACACCGCGGATGAGGGACGAGGATATCAGTCAATTGGTTCCATAATTACCTCCTAGGATGGCAAGGTGCTAGGTACTCCCTGACTTACTCATTCAGATATAGACACACACACACACACACACACAGATACATACATGAACATGCACAAGATGTATGTTCTCAGCACCCTTCCCTCCTCTCCTCCCCAGAGAGGAACACCCTGAGCATCCCTTCATCAGTAAGAATCCCTCTCCAGCCACTTCGCACTGGCCTCATACAACGCCCTGAGCTTATCACCGCCCTCGAGCGCGAGGAACCTCTCCTTGTGGCCCAAGCGGTCAATCATGCGCAGGAAGCCCAGGACCATGATGTCGGCGTACGAGAGCTGCTTGCCCAAGAGGAAGGGCCCGTCGGGGTTCTCGGCGTAGAGCTCGCCCAGTTCCTTGACCGGGGCCTCGACGTCCTTCCAGGCCTGCTCGGCGTTCTTGGCCTCGTACTCGTCCAGCGTCATGCCGACGGATTTCTCGCGCGACGCCACAAAGTACGCGTGCGACGGTGGATTCAGAAACGTCTTAGGCACCCCCGGCATGAAGATGGGGCGGAACGCCGTCGCCACTTTGGGGAGGAGCTGCTCCACCCGCGCCAGGTACGGCGAGTCCAGGTACAATGGCGGCGACGGGTATAGCTTCTCGAGCTTATCGACGATGGCGCGCGACTCCATCACGTACTCGCCCGACGGGAGGCGGACGGCCGGCGAGGTGTATTCCCATGGTTGGTTGGTGTTGGGAGGGATGCCACTGGAATTTTCAACTGAGTGAGTAGACGTTTTCTCGTTTCTCTTTTGGTCTTTTCTTCATCATTTGGGCTGGGGCATGAGGTCAAGCATCAGGCGATGTCGAGTATCGAGTATATGCAACACTGACACCGACCAGTGCAAAGTACCCTCGCAACAATGCCCGGAATGCACACCTCTAAACTGAGAGCGCCAGGCACAGATTTGACTTACAACTTTGTAAACGTCGGCTTCAGATCCGGATATTCGATCCACTCGGTCTTGTACGGGATGCCCTTGTAGTTGAGCACAAGACGGGCTGTCTCATGTTGTCAGCAACAGGAATCGACAATGCCTTCTCAGCGGTATCACAGAACATGCTGGGGGTGGGTTTCAGGGTTTGCGGGAAGTGGCAGCGCAGACATACTTTTCCACGGATTCAGACTCCAAGAGAAACCTCCCTTGGAGGGGAGATCGTAGAGGATGACTTCGTCGGACATGGTCGTGGCGGTAACTAGTGACGAGAAGAAGAGAGCAACCTGGCTTAATTCACGAAAAGGAAGACCCGAGTTGTAGAAAGAGTTGGAGAATGGAAATCAGGAAATCCTCAATAGAACGCAATAGAATAGACTCCCAAGAAAGGTACTCAGTACATGTAATGTATATATTTCAAAGCAAGAACCGCGCCCTATCAAAGAAAGAATTTCTCCACCCCATGTTTCCATGTCACGTCTCGGTTCCTTCTCCGAGAGCACCGAGAGCGTATTCGAAATCACGTACTCGTAATAAAGGACTTCGTGCCTAAACGCGAAGACGAATCCAATCCGATCCGATGATACGATTTCTCTCCTAAGAAAACATTCCCCGCATCGACTCTTTCGAGCTGTTTGATTTGTAGACCAACAGGAAACTTCCAACTATACCCCTCCAAATGAGGGATCGAACTAATAGGAGAAGAACATCCATTAACCGAGGCTGCCGTACGATGAGGAGAGAGAGGGAAAGATTCCCGATCTTGCAGGAATAGGCAAAGGTTGAGCGGTTGATTACTGATCGCCAAATATGTCTCTCGTGCGGCTGATATAAACATGAAGTTGACTTTGTATAGCTTTTATTGTTTGTATAGACATTAGATAGGTATTAATCTTTGCTAGAGCTTATACCTCGCAAAGATACCAATCCCAGATACAATACCGTATACCAGTCGATACAGGCTATTGCTCGTTGCTATATACATATCCAAACCTTTCAGGTTTCATTTCCCATAGTCCTGTCCATCAAGACAATAAACTCCACGCTTGGATACCCATCCGCCCAACCTTAATCCATCAAACCAGTTTTTCCATCCCGATCAGCGTCTACACGAGGGTTCAATCGGTCGCCCAAACTGGGTTTGACACCCTCGTCATGCCGATTGGCAGAATCAAGTCCATTTCCGGCCACGTGGTGGTGTTCTTTTCCCAGAGCACCAGCGTTACCGTGCTCGTGGCCAACACCACTCACCCCAGAGTCAGTAGGTCGATGAGTCTTGTTGGTGGTAGGGCTCGAAGAAGTGCCATGGAACTTTTCCTCTAGCTTCTCAAACGTCGTAGAAAGTTTGTCATTATATGGTCGCGGCGCACCCTGATACTCTTCATGCGCAGAATGGCTTCCGCCGGTGAGAGACCCGCCAACCTTTTTAAATTCGTCCAAGGTCTTCATTGGCAGTGCCGAAAGTCCGTGATGTTGAGCTGCAGCATGGTGTGTCCTTCAAAAGGGTCAGTCAACAACACTAATCACTCTGAGAGGGGACTCACTCGTGAATGGGAACGGTGGTGTGCACGACCTCGGGCTGGATGGTCTCCTTGTGCACGACAGGCACCACGGTTTCATGGACATGATGATGGACATGCTCTCCAGTAACGGTCGGTGCGGCGGCTTGAGTGTGGTGAGTCTCATGAGTCGTCGAGTGGTCCTTGAAACGACCTAGGTCGGTGGCAATCCTCTCCTTGGTCTCGGACTCGTTGTCATGGTGAAACTCCCGGTGCTCGACGGGCAAGATGTTGTGGTGATGCTTCTCTGGGAGTCTTTCGGTGTGGGTTAGAGGCTGCACCGTGGTGTGGTAGTGATGTTGATGCACCTCGCGGTCGACGGCTTGGGTGGCTTCCTCATGCCGGTGAGGCTTGACAGTTTCATGAGTGACTGCTGGGTTGACCACTTCTTCCACCGTGGTGTGGTGGCCCCGGTTACCGGTGATCTTCTGGACGGCTGCCTTTGCTGCTTCCATTGTGTCTGGTATAGGCTTTTCAAGGTAGAAAGTAGGAAAATAATCTCGTTCAGGAGGGATGACGAGAGGCCTGTTCCCAGACCCTCAGAAGTGCTACGTTATATACATCAAAGATCCATGGACATCGTATGAGACAACCTCAAACCTTGCAGGAACCGTGATATCATCTGGAGATGCGCTAAGCTTGGGCCATCCACTTCAGGTGAGGTCAGAGGGGATCGACTTTTTTGCCGAATATCGCAAAGCTGTGGGCGATTGGTATCTGATCTCGGCAATCAGGGTCCCTTTTCGCATGTCGATCTGATGCTGGATGGGCTGAAACTCATCCAGATGTCCTGAACCAGTCTTAGCGGGGTCAGCGACCAAAGATGGAGTCTGAAGTGCAGTCCCATTTGGGTCATCTGCGCAGAAGGTATCCATTTCCATTGTTCAAACAACCCCATTTTGTGACGACAAGACTGTTCGTTTCTGTAAAAGCACAAGGTGGGGGGATGGTCTTTTGTCCGATTTGAGTCTTTGTGCTATTGCCCTCATACGAGTGCTGAGTGTGTTCGAGACTTCGTCATCGCACGGGAACAGACGTGGAGCTGAAGAGCTGCTGTCTGCGTCATGATGGGATCGCGACACCCCATCTAATCGTTCGAGAATGTGGCTCGTGAGGTCCAAAGAGAGGCTTCACAGGGCCCCCAATCCCGTGGGTGATCTGACGTCTGAGCGTCAAGCCACAGTGGTGACAGACCGAAGGCCTCTCCTGACCTGTTCAATTGTTGATGGGGGCCGAATCCTTGATCTGCCGGCCCAATCCTTGAACCCCGACAAGCACCCGCCACCGATTCCACTGTGGCACTCTCTGACCAGCTAGTGCATGTGCCTAAGACCCCTCCACGCTCTTCCCCTAGAGCCCTAAGCAACCAACTCGAGGCCCTTCTGCACTCCCGCGTGGCTTGGGGTTGGTCTAGTTTGCCCTGGTCGAACCTCTGCCAAAGTTGCCATGGGTTATCGCCCAATCGCTTCCGAAGGCGCAGGTGCTGTGGATTCTGGATCACTCGAGGTGAACATCCGCTTCATGGGTCTTCCCTGACGACCGTTGTTCCTTTGCGCCATCTTGGGTAAAGTCTTCAATATCGTGCTTGTAGACGAGGTGGACCGGTCGTGCGGTTCAGGCTTAGCCATGCAGAAAAGCTGTTTTCCTGTCGCTTGAGAAATCCCGTTAATGGGGAAAACAAGTAGGGTTTACCCAAGACTCAAACAGGAGGTGAGTAGCGTGGGAAGAGAAAAAGGGAGCTGGGAAACCTGGGAACCTGGGAATGAAGGTAAGGTGATCTGGGTGATTCCGTTCTCGTTCGCACCTCTCCAACCCCGATCTGCCTCTCGTGTCTCCTTTGACAGACCTGCAATTGTACTCAATAGGCTGGAGCAAGAGAGCCACTTTTTCTTGTTTTGTGCAGTATGGCCATGACAGCGACTCAACGGCTCAGGAATGCCGCAGACTGCGACCCGAAGTGCTTCCCCTACGTCATGCATACAGGTAGCGACACCACCACCGCGACGGGGAAACAAAGACATCGCAGCCAGAATCCCAACCACAGTCGGAATCTCAGCCACAGCCATAGTTACCACGGTGCCCCTCTTCAATGGCAAGAGCCATTCCCACGGCCGGCCACAGCTAACCCAACCCTCAATCACAGTCATGAACCTGCGCATGCCGTTCGTCCTACTCGCTCAAGAAGCCGTCTGCAAAAGCGCCCTTCACAGCACATGTTGAAGAAGTCTGCCAGTGTTTCTGCAATGCCGCCAACTTCTCCCCACCCCCGGAGACCATCGCTGGATCCGAAAGATGCAACAGTCTTGCCCCAACTGCCAGTTCATGGAGTCCCCGGTCGGTCGTCCTCTCTCCGAAAGAAGTCACTTGGAACCACTGATCGTCCCAAATCGAAGAAGGGCCTCTCGGATGAGCCAAAACCCACGGTCTCGACGACGACTCATGCGCCCCTCTCTCTAAGACCCAAGTCCTCGCCAGGAGAGCAGAGTCCAAAGGCAGATTCCGACAGCGAAAAATCATCCTCAGCTGGCTCTCCTGGCCCTCCCAATCCCTTCCGGACGGCACGCTATCAACCTCTGGCCCCCAACGACCCCTCCCCACTAAATCCCCTGTACCACATTCCCAGCTCATACTTTTCGCACGTCCACCCGACCGACACGACGCAACGCACGACGTCCCCCAAACCCAACGCTGACGCCGAGAAGAACGATCATCCACTTCTCCCGCCCGGGTTCAAGCCGGGGAAAAGTGAGCATACCGAGGTTGAAGAGATTCTCCGACCGGCGGTAACACACGAAGTCGTCAAACAGGACACAAAGGAGATAGTGCAAGAAGAAATCACCCGCGAAATCCACGTGCACCACTACTACACCTACACGCAACCCATCAAAGCAGTCGAGATCCTCCCGGCCCGACATTTCCTGGTCGACTCAGAAACGGGGGAGAAGGTCGAGATCCCGGCACCTGAAGGATGGGTCATGCCCAGCAGCCTGCAGCCCTACAAGCCAGATCTGAGTGGCATCAGCGCGGTAACCCGGCATTACCTGGTCGACGACGAGCATCCCGCTGGTACGCCGGAGCCGGAGCCAGTTCCACCACTAAATGCCAAAAAGAGGGCGTCACAGCAGGATTTGAGGACCAGCAAGAAAGCCAGCGGTACGGGCAACTGGACGCCTTTTCCGAGAGTGAGATGAGACGACGACCCCAATCCGTCGTGTTGCATTGCATTGTGCTGTGCTGTGCTGTGATCCCCTTCTTTACCCAATCTTTTTGAGGGTACCAAATGAGTGAGATACTAAACCTGTCAGGGAGGCCTTTTCAGAACAGGACTTGGACAAGACGCAAAGATGTAAAAGGTGCCATATACCACACAGGAGCGTGGATGGCTATCTGACCCAATTTCTACGTTGGCTCCATCTGTCTGGCGAGCCGAGTTCTAATATCGATGTACTACTAGATAGCCTTGTTGAAGAAATACCCCGTGAAATGAAGATGATTCGAGTGAAAATTGGCTTCTTTTGGTCGTTGCTCTACTGAGCGCTTTCTTGAGGGATTGTAACCTCGATTCGTAGGCTTTGTTTTTGTCGAATGACTAGGGATGTAGTATCCTCTCCTGCCCGGCTAAAAAAAAAAATACAACTACAGACGCTCCTTGTTGCACAGTGTTCATTACAGTCCCCGGACTCAGGCCGTCGTCATGGTTCCACCTGCGACAGACAATATAAAGTGATACCCCGTGGGCACCATACCCAAACTCAGGCTCGCCCCAGTTAGGCCAAAGGTGTGACGACGAAGCGGGATCATGATCTCACTTCCTCATGTCCCAATGCCAGTCGCATCCATCCTCTGCGAAAAATACCCGATTGTGGAGACAAAGGAGGAGCTTCGACATCCGACATCCGTGATTGAAGCAACACCAAATGCATATCCTATCAAGGTGTGCGGCAACCAGGGAAACGTAAACCAGCTCACCGGCTTCGGTCTACTGGTGTCTGTCTCCAGAGTGTGTCTCCACTGAGTCGACCAACACTTGCAGAGACCATATTCCTCCACATCGATTGTCCTTCGCGGTCCCCACGTCTCTCCGTACCCCTCGCATGATCCTGGCGTAGTCTCTGCGGTGTGATGGTAGTTTCCGAGCTCAGTGATTCTGCTCCGCCCAAAAGAGGTACGTCTGGGTCCTGCCCTCTTTCGACATCCTCATCATCTCTGTTCAAAGAGGGAATCGGAATCGCTGCACTTGGTTCCCGGTTCACAGTTTGAGCCACACGGTTTTGAATATCATCGCTGGTTCTTTCACCTTGCCTCCGCCCGATTCCGAAACTATCACCGCTGATATCATCTTCTTCCTCATCGTCCTCATCATACCGCTGTAGACCCTGCCTTGCCATGCTCCTCACAACATCACCCTTACATATCGGACAGGTCCGCCTCCTTGTAATAAGCCAAGGCGTGATGCAATCAACATGAAATTCATGCCCACATGGTAAAGACATGACTTGACTTTCGCCATCGACGTATTCTTCGAGACATACCACGCATTCGACTTGTCGACCTGTATATCGCTTCCGTTTAGCCGGTTTCGAAGTAAGTTTCTCTGTGTGCGGACTTCGAGAGTGCGAAAGTTGACTTTCTACGCTTCCACCGGAGAAGATTCCCGTAGTTGTCTGCGAGCGCGGACGAGGTCGTTGTGACACATTCTGGCTCGCAGAAATAAGTAGTGGTGAGGTGGCCGAAGCATTGTCTGGGGATTCCACCCGCGAAGTAGTGGTAGACGAGGTCGTGCTCATAGTGTGGTAAGTACGAACTGGCAGTCGGTCGACCAGGGATTTTGGTGCGCGCCATCTCCGGCGTCGAATCCTCGAGCGGAGAAGTAAAAGGGCGTATACCACTGTCAATGTTACTAGTGGACTGACCACCAGTACCAGAAGTGTGTCGACGAACGGACTAGCAGAAACACTTGTGGGCGTGAGGGTAACCCATAGACCAGGACGGTCAGGCTCGTCGTCTGAGCCGGTTATTTTCGAGCTCTTTTCCTTTCCCTGGTTGTCGTGTTCGTCAAGGGGTACGTTTCCTTCCGGAATTCTATTGGCTCCCTGGCCAGAGCGGAAAACATGAAACCAAGATCCCTTTTCTTGGCCCTGATGGTTATCGGAACTTCTGTGTCCCCGGTCCGATGGTACATTGCCTCGTTGGAAGCGATTCAAATGCTCTGACTTTTCATGGTCGTATTCTCCGCTGCCAGGAGTGATACTGCCACCTTTTAGAGTTGAATCTGGACTGCTTGAAGCTTTCGCCGAGCTCGCAGTATCGGTGGGCAAACCCTTGCCGGCTTCTTCAGGAGCGTTTTGTGAGGTGGTGGTGGGTTTCGGTGCCACGAGATCAGTGTCTCGCCAGTCTTGGACTCCTATCACAAAATCATCCGCTCCAGTCCGTTTGGTACTCGTCGACTTTGCCTTGAGAGCCGAGGTGGCCACCGGAGCGACGTTTGTCAATGTGTTCTTACTATCCTTTAAACCTGGGCCAGCCTCCTCCTTCCAATCTTCCAGAAGGACCCAATCGATATTGCCGCTGCTAGGTGGACGACGGCTGTCTTCCGAATGAGAAAACGGAGAGTTATCTCCCAATCCCATGACTGACAAGACATTCTTCATCCAGCTCTCAGCCCTCTCCTCATCAGATGTAGCTGCAGAAAGAGATGTCGGTTTCGTAACTCCAGGTTTGCTGGACGTAAAGATGGGCTGGTTGTCGTGTTGTTTCTGGTCTGCACCAGAATTACCCGTTGTGGCCTTATCGTGAGCCTTGGGGTTGGCATCCTCGTCGTCACCGTCTTCTTGAGGCACCAGTGAAGATAAGAGATGGGCTGATGTGTATGAAGTGAACAATGCAGGGATCGTGATATTTGATGTATCGCCCTTCGCATACATGATTGTCAACTGCGCTCCCTTCTCGTTGTCGCCGACAATGAGGGCAATACCCCCACGGCGTTGAGCCCACTTGACTTTCTCCAAGAATCCGCAGCCGCCACGGCTCAGCATGACAATCTTGCCTGTAATGTCGGCGCTCTCTTGCAGTGATTCAATGTCCGCGTGAGTAGCCTGCTTCTTGTCCGAGAGATCGGCGTTGGCAGGCTCGCCTGGTTCGCCAGGGGTTGCAGGGTTCGAGTCAGGTAGAGGCCGGTGTAAATAGTCGTCGGTACCGTCGTCTTGAAGGAAAGCCTCGTCGGAGAGGGGTCCGGAATCGTCACGAAATGATCCATCTTTGTCTATGCTTCGTGGTATTTTGGTCCTTGCCTGACTTTGGTCGACTGCAGGAAGATTCTTGATGCTCTTTGCCTTCTCTTCAGCCCATCCTGGAACGTCGGAGCAGCCCAATTCCCACCCGGCCACTTGAATGTTCTCTTCCTTCAGCAAAGCATCGTCCCCAAAACCCTTACCGACCCACAGCCGGCCACTTAAGCCCTTGGACGGAAGGCTGGGACCAAAGGCAGCCGGTCTGGCTAGGAAGAAGGTCGAGTTGTCGTTGGTTAGGCTGATAACCGCAGAAGGTGGAAATAGGGAGGAGGGGGTCGAGAAGGAGAAGAACGCCCTAAGGCGCCCAGATTTCGTGTCGAGGCCGGGTTGAAATGAGTCGACAGCGTTCACGCTCGCAGCCAGCAATGACCAAAAGGTCAATGCTACAGGAAGGGCGACAAAAAAGAAGAGTAACAACAAGAAGCGGAGGGGACGCATATTGGGCTAATATAACTGGCTATTGCCACAAATCAGGGAGTGGCACAATCCTCCATGCGGTTGAAACTGGCTGCAGTTACGAGAAGGACGACAATAGCGCAACAGAAGATCTAACTCGGGACGAGCGTTCAAACGAAAGTGGAGTGGTGCTCGAGTTGTGTAGAAAAGATGTTCTTGTCACGGAACAAAAGTGCCAGTTGCAGCCTGATACTGGGCAGGGCAGGATACGAGTTAGTTGGTAGACCCTGGCCACTGCCACTGAATGAGCCGGAAAACCGAGTGCGGGATTGCCGCCAACAAGGGCAGCCACTAGGCAAGGGTGAGTGTCACGTGATTAACATTCTCCTTGGTGGGCGCTTTACGTGTCGCAGGGGGTTTGGTTCACAGACACCAACTGATGCCAGCACGAAGCGAGCAAAAGTCATGATGACATTGAAGATATTGTTGACCCGCTACTATCTGTAGTTCGAGCATGTGAGCTACCAGGAGGTATATATTATTCTGTTCGAGCTACGTGTGTTCTATATCCTAGAGTCTTGGGCTGTGCTTGTACTCGTACTCGAGGGTGTTCCAGACCATCAATCTTGGCTTTCGAGATCTTTTGACGAGTTCTCTCCCCAAGTCTGTGCTTGGTATTTACTTGTAGGCTTTGGGCTTCAATTAGCGGGCCAATCTAGGGCCTCTAGGTGGCTCCATTTCCGTGTGATGAACACCCCAGCGCCCCCTCTCTGGCCCCCATTTCAGCTTAGCTTTGGCCCTTTAGGGGTGATTGGCCCTATTAACCCCATCCAAGACTGACCTGAGGGCGCACCATGCCCAGTTAGATGTTTCCTGTGGTGCCGCTTTCGTCATGTCTATGCCAATACCGATGCCACAACTTCACAAACCGAAGTCTCATCCATGTCAATTCATCGACCATTCGCCTACTGAACGTCGATCGCCATATCAACCTCCCACCACTTTTTACTTCGATGGCGTCTGTGCCGTTTCCCAAGAGCCGTATGACCATCCTACAGCCTTCGTATGCGGCTGGGAGACCACCATGACTTCTTGACACGTAGATCAACTGACTCTTCCTTATCTCCTCTATCCTCAGCAGAAATATTTTCACTTCTCCTCAAACCCCTCTATCTTTTGGGCCTTGGGCGCCTTGTTTGTTTCGCGTGCTGTCGTTCTTCTTAAACTGGGTGGTGCAAAACAAGTTGCGTCTGTTGTATACTTGCGATCTGACGCGGCCTCCTCAGCCTCGTATTCGGGCAGCACCTTCCTCGCAAAAGAACCCGCACCTTCCCTCGCCATCTAGTATCAGCGGTGTGAGAAAACTTCAACGCGGACAACGATGGATAGAATCAGTCCCAAGTCCGGATTCCTCCCCGGTATCTTTGGACTTCGAAAAGGAAAATCAAGGACTGGAGCGACACCTGCTGGTGAAGACGAGAAAATGCAGGGCCCAAAACCCAGCTCCTTTTTCATGAGAATTCCAAACAAGCCCCGAAACCATTTCATTGCCATGGCTGGCGAATTCGTTGGCACATTCCTCTTCCTGTGAGCATCCTCTTCTTATCGCAAAAGGCCTTGTTACTGACTTTGCTCTAGCTTCTTCGCCTTCGCCGGCACCCAGGTGGCCAACACTCCCCAGACTGTTACTGGCAACACGAGTACAGACCTTCCTCAAGGTCCGAATCCTACACAGCTCCTATACATATCCCTGTGCTTCGGGTTTTCCCTTGCGGTCAACGCGTGGATTTTCTTCAGAATTTCCGGTGGCCTCTTCAATCCTGCCGTACGAAAACTAGAGCAAAGAGATGTGAACAAATGGTCTGACAATATAGCAGGTCACTCTCGGTCTCTGCCTTATTGGCGCCGTACCTTTTGTTCGAGGTGCCCTGGTCTTCATCGCACAAATGCTAGGGGCTATGGCGTCCGCTGGGGTTGTCAAAGCACTTTTCCCCGGGCCGCTCGCTGTCACAACTTCTCTTAGTGGGGGAACAAATAAGGCCCAAGGACTCTTCATTGAGATGGTCTGTCTCTTGACACAATGGACCCGGGGCGCGCTGCTAACATCTTTTATAGTTTCTCACTGCCCAACTGGTCTTCACCATCTTCATGTTGGCTGTGAGTGGTTACAACGATGATCCATGCGTTACTGACTGACACTCCCTTCCAGGCTGAAAAACACAAAGGGACATTCCTCGCCCCAGTGGGAATTGGCTTGTCTCTTTTCATCGCTGAGTTGGCTGGTAAGCCGGAGTCTGACTGCACAACCTGCCTGCCACTGACAGAATATTTAGGCGTGTACTACACCGGCGGATCTTTGAACCCGGCTCGAAGCTTTGGCCCCTGCGTTGCTAACCGCTCGTTCCCAAGTGAACATTGGATTTACTGGGTAGGCCCTCTGCTCGGTTCGCTCGTTGCATCTGGGTTCTTCTGGTTCATCAAGAGCTGCGAATACCAAACTGCAAACCCTGGCCAAGACTTCGACGACCTCGAAGCTTCTGCATACAACCCAGAAGAGGACCTGACCCGCCCTGTCGTCAGTCCAACCGCCGTCATCCCCGACCGTGCTCTGTCTCGCACGTCGAGAACTTCCAAAGAAAGAACTTCCAAGGACGAGAGGTCAGGTTCCCTCCAGGCAACCCGGATAGGCTCTGGAACCACCAACACGACTCTAAGTAACAACAACACAAATGGCAATGCAACATTTCATGACAGGACCACTATCCCGAGTCAATCTGCTACTTGACTTATCTTACGACGAAAAATTCGCTCATTTCATTGACTTATCTGTGCAATTCTTGGAGGCATGTCATCTTTAGTCTGCACGAAAGTTTGTCTGCGATGAGATACCCTGGGTGTTTCTTGTGGGAAATGCGTTCAAGCGAGTTTATTCAAATTGTGGCTGCTGCAACCCTTGGTTTTCTTGCTGAGGATCTCAACAGTGTCCTGTACGTTATGTGCTTTAAATGACTGGATCCAAGAATATGTAACAGGCAATATCTCACAAGGATCGAACGGTTCTGGGGCGGACGGACGACGATCTACCAAATACACGGTGATTACAATAATATATTTTGTTAATGTGTTCAATTTTGTATCGTTTCTCTCTATAGAACTCGTATCGTCCCAGTCATCATTTTTGCATGTGGCATATGGGTGGCATATGTCGGTCTATCGCTGACCTGAGATAGCTAGCACAAACTGACCGTAGACAGCCGTGGTACTCGGAGAGCCCAGCGCCAGCATTACGTCGGTGGAGAGAGCCCTACCGTCGACCCCCGGAGCTGCTCAGCTGCTCAGATCTGGTGAACTTGATACAGGCCCAGAAAGCATAGATCTGGCTGGCTCGCTCCAGAAAATTCTCTCGTGGTTATTCTTATCCCAACCTCTGCAACGGGCTATTGCACTCACAGAGGCGAAGAATCCTCTCCACGGCAAAGACGCTGGTCTGGGGGGAGATACTAGGAAGGTACTACTGTACATACATTTTGCCCAAATCATCACGACTTGTACTTGTTGTGGATCTGGCGTATTTGCTCCTGCACATCCATGACGTGCTGCCCGCCCTGGTTCTGTGCTCCCGCGGCGGAATACGCTGTCGCTCCGGGCGGACCTTCGAGTTTCATCCTCTTCCTCCTCTCCTCCTCTTCCTGTTCGCCCAAGACCCTAGCTGCTGCCTCCGCGACAGGGTCGCTGGTGACTCCATCCGTCCTCGCCCTCAGTCTCTTCAGGTTTGCTGCAACATCCGTGCCGCCCAGGTTCGTGGTCGAAAACCGTGACGCGGCTTTGGACTGTTGCTCTTTCCATCTCGGGTCCAGCAACTCGATCCGCAGATGGGCGTCGAGCTCAGCAATGGGGATTTGCTGCCCGCAATTGGGACACAGAGCCGTAGCAGACCGAGCGGTAGCCGCACGTTGCTGGGCACGTGGTATATAGTCTTGTTTAATGCGCATTGGAGGTTGGCCTGGAACTGGAGCTGGCGAAGCGGTTGAAGGGGGCGGTTGCTGTGGTGGCATTGATGGGGGTTGTGGAGACGGTACGAGAGGAGGTGCAGGTGAATATGATGGTACGGGTGTCGGGACGGCTGGTGAAGGTGGTTGTGGCGCAGGTGAAGGAGTATATGCTGACATTGTAGCCACTTCCGGCGGTGGTGCCCACCCATTGGCCTGAGGGTATCCTCCAAACTGGTCATTGTACGCATAACTGCTCATATCGTCCGTAGGCATTGCTTCTTCGATGCGCATATCTGGTCTAGCTAGACTCATCATCGCTTTCTGTTCCAGACTTGCACTCTGAAGATCATTCAGTGTTGTGGGTGGGGGAAGATCGGCCTGCTCATCTGCCTCAGTGAACAGCACTGTTTCGACTACAACGAAGTCGTGCCAGTCGATTTGGGCATATGCTATGCGTTCGGCCTCTTCCGCCTCTTCTTTCTTCTGTTTCTGAGTCTCTTGCCATTTGGTGTACTCAGATCGTTGCTTTGCCAGATTTAGAACTCTAAATCGGTCTTGAATGTTGGCTTGGAGGACTTGGATGCGCGCCTGTTCTGCTTTTTGGCCTTCCGGTCCTGTCTGGAGGAGGAGTGTGTATTGGTCAACGAGGCGCTGAAAGAAGTTGTAAAGCGAGTGTTGAGGGCGCAGGAAGTCGAACTGGTAATTCCGGGCTTCCCGTTGTGAGAGAGCAGTCATCCAACTCTTGCCCTTCCGAGCAACATGGAGAGCTGTTAACTTGACAACCTCCAAGTCCAAAGCACTGATATTTGGCATGCGCGCACTGAATTGAAACTCGGGGGGCGGTTCTGGTCCTTTTGGCTTTTCTGGCACAGGTGTCGCATCTCCTGCTCTTCCCGCGGACACGGCAGTGCCCCGTCCCGATCGCACCTCAGAGAGTCGCCACTGGTAGAAAGGAGCGTATGCATCCTGAGGAGAAAGGAAGGAGAATTTCGGGTTCGCTTGTTCCTTGTCGCGGATGCGGTCTTCGAAGACAGGGCCATTGCGCGCCACATAGCCGGCTGTCTTTTCGATGATGGCTCTTATGTCCTTGGGCGGTAGGACAACACCTTCGGGAGGTTTTGAGACCGATTCTGGAAGTTCAGGAACTGCTCCATTCTGTGCCATAGTTGCTGCTTTCCACCAGCTGGATGGGGCCAACCCACCACGTCTGTCGGGGTTCGGATTGTCAGTTGAGTGACCGCCTAGGGGGGTTTTGCGGAGGTCTGTTCTTCGTTAACAGGTCTGTATCGAGTCCGAGATACTCGCGCGTGCCAACAGCTTGTCGCTTGGAGAATATGGGGTTGGCTGGCCCTTTAACCTGTTCCCAAACAAAATGCGAAGTTTGGGGAGAAATCTGAATCTGTGGCTGGTACAGCGTGTGGCTAAGGCAGAACTGTGGAGTTGGAGGCTCGGTTCCAAGGGCACAAAGGGGAAAGGAGGCTGCCGCCTTGCACATGCGCGTCGTGCTAAGATTGGGACGTTGGCCAACTAAAAGTTACTCTGTGCAGCTGCGGAGACACAAGCCATCAATGAACAAGTTGTCAAGTGTTACTCCTGAACTTCTGCATGCAATTCAGCCTTCAACCCCCTTCCTACATTTTCCCTTCGTGCTTGTCTTCTTCTTGTCATGATGCTTATTTGACCTGCTAATGACCGACCTTTTTCTTCTTGTCTCTCGTTGACCCATCCTTCTTCTACTTTGAATTCCAACCTAAGGGGGACTGCAGACACCGTCGACCGTGTCCTCTGCGGTTCAGCCTTTCCGCGCACTTCCTCCCAATTTTCCACATCTTCCTCGAAGCCACAGGCCTGAATCCCTCATCATGGCTCATGCTACCTCGCGGAAGCATACGGCTTCGCAAAAAGCAGCTTCTCCTGCACCGGCCTCGAGACAAGCCAATAGCGATATGATCCGGACGCAGTCGAGCAAAAAGAAGAGCTACGCATCAGAAGGTGTGACAGACAATGATATCTTCTTGCTTCCCGCGGGAGACTATCAAATCATGGCGCTGTTGACTCTGCTGGCTGGCGTTGTTCGGCTGTTCAAGATTTACCAACCTACGAGCGTTGTCTTCGACGAGGTCCAGTAAGTTAGCCACCACATCGCACAAGGACATAACACTCATGCCAATCATAGCTTCGGCGGGTTTGCTACCAAGTATATCAAGGGCAAATTCTTCATGGACGTCCACCCACCTTTGGCCAAGCTCCTCATCACCTTGGCTGGCTGGCTGGCTGGCTTCAACGGCGACTTCGATTTCAAAGACATCGGAAAGGATTATCTCGAACCCAAAGTCCCTTATGTCTCGATGCGGCTCCTACCTGCTATCCTCGGGGTTCTCACTATTCCCACTATGTTTTTGACCTTGAAAGCATACGGATGCCGAACAGTTACGGCTTGTCTCGGTGCCGGGCTTTTGATCTTTGAAAATGGATTGATCACACAATCGAGGCTGATTCTCTTGGACTCGCCCTTGGTCATTTGTACCGCCTTCACTGCTCTAGCATGGACTTGCTTCACCAATCAACATGAACTAGGCCCTGCACACGCATTTGATGTGACTTGGTGGTTTTGGCTTGCAGCCACTGGACTGGGTTTGGGTGCCACAGTCAGTGTCAAATGGGTTGGTCTCTTCACGATTGCGTGGGTCGGCACCTTGACCATCCTCCAATTATGGGTTCTGCTTGGCGACAGCGTCAATGTCACCCCAAGGAAGTGGTTCAAGCATCTATTTGCCAGAGTCTTCTGTCTGATCGTCATCCCGGTTGCGTTCTATGTGGGAATGTTCGGAATTCATTTCCTGTGCCTGGTCAATCCTGGCGATGGCGATGGTTTCATGTCCTCTGAATTCCAAGCGACACTGAACAACAAGGGCATGGCCGACACCCCTGCTGATGTGCTGTTTGGCAGCGAAGTCACCATCCGACATCACAACACTCAGGGTGGCTATCTCCATTCGCATTCACACATGTATCCTGGTGGCAGCAAGCAACAGCAGGTCACCTTATACCCTCACAAGGATGAGAACAACATTTTTCTTCTCGAAAACCAAACCCAGCCGATCACTGCGGACAATGTCACCGTTGCAGGTCCCAAAGCGTGGTCGAATCTCACCGAGTTTATCCAGGATGGTGATGTTATCAGACTGTACCACCTCACAACCCATCGGCGCATCCACTCTCACGACGTCCGGCCTCCCGTTACTGAGGCCGACTGGCAAAACGAAGTAACGGCTTATGGCTACGAGGGATTTGAAGGCGACGCAAACGATCTTTTCCGGGTGGAGATTGTCCAATCCATGTCCGATGGTGAAGAAGCCAAGAAGAGGCTGAGGACGATCCAGACGAAATTCAAGCTGGTCCATATCATGACAGGCTGCGTTCTTTTCTCGCACAAGGTCAAATTACCCGACTGGGGCTTCGAGCAACAGGAAGTGACTTGTGCTAAAGGAGGCACCCTCCCCAACAGCGTATGGTATATTGAACAGAATCAGCATCCTATGCTTGGGGAAGGGGCGGAAAAGGTCAACTACAGAAACCCCGGCTTTTTGGGCAAATTCTGGGAATTGCAGAAGGTCATGTGGAGGACCAACGCCGGCTTGATCGAATCGCACGCCTGGGACTCCCGACCGGGATCGTGGCCCATTCTCCGGCGTGGGATCAATTTCTGGGGCAAAGACCATCGCCAGGTCTATCTCCTCGGAAATCCCGCCATTTGGTGGCCCTCGACCCTGGCGATCTTGACCTATGTCATTTTCAAGGGCATTGCCATCCTCCGCTGGCAACGAAGCTGCAACGACTATTCCAACGTCAACTTCAAACGCTTCGACTACGAAATCGGTCAGACTGTTCTGGCATGGGGTTTTCACTACTTCCCTTTTTACCTGATGGCAAGACAGTTGTTCCTGCACCACTACTTTCCAGCCCTCTACTTTGCCATCATGGCTATGTGCCAGATCTTTGACTTTGTCGTCAACCGGATCTCTTCTCTGGGATTGAAGAAGTATCCCGAAATCGGGTGGAGTGTCGCCGTGTTGTTTGTGGCTTTTGCAATCGGCGTGTTTACTCTGTATGCCCCACTGATCTATGGCAATCCCTGGACACAGGACCAGTGCAGAGCGGTCAAACTGTTTGATACCTGGGATTTTGACTGCAACACCTTTTACACTGATGTAAGTCGAACGGAAACTGCTCGAAACGATGATGTCTGACTGGAAATATAGTATGCACAATACTCCACGCCACTTCCGTCCTTTGGAGACGGCGGAGCAACTCCCACTGTTCCCTCGATGCAAATCGACTCGGGAAGGAAAGACAACCCATCAGCAGTCACCCCTCAGGTCGGTGAAGGGAAGGTGATTGGACAAGAAGAGCGTGTGGAATATCGCGATCAGAATGGGAACCTCCTAGACGAAGCCCAGGTCCAAGCATTATTGGCAGAGGGCAAAGCGTCCTTCCAGACCAAGTACGAGACAAGAACAAGACTGGTCGACGAGGAAGGTAACGAGGTCAATTCATCGGGGGTTGCACCCGATCATCCGGATGTAGAGGGCCAGAATCCGTCAACAAAGGGTGTGCCAGAGGAGCAGGCCAACAAGTCGCCCGCAGATGCGCAGGCGGGCGGTTCGGTGAAGAAGGGAGATGACAGCAAAGCTAAACCGGCCAGCGATGCGAGCGAAGCAACGAAGTAAATGATTGTTGGATCGAGCCAAAGGTCAGAAGTGGGCAACAGATGCAATGAGAATCTCTCGAGTGTAATAACAATTAAAGATGAAATGGTTTCTTTCTGGGCGCCGTGGTGGCTTGAAGGTGAGGTGGAGCCAAATAATCTTCAGTGCTGGCTGTGGTGAGGCCACTACGCGTAGGCGCTCCTTTAACCGTTTGGTGGGGTTCCAACCGGCTAGCCCGAGTGGTTTAGTTAAGGAGCCACGGAAGCCACCAGGCGTGTTAGTGAAGCGGCAAGGGTTGATTACCTGGCTGCCTGGGTAGCTGGAGGTCGTGGTAGCGGTGGTTGCAGGCTGATGAACCCCTCGATCCCCGATCCCTGAAACCAAATGGACCCGCGTCACAGAGTCAATACCCCCGTCTGTCCTGCGCCGCAGCAACAATCACGGTCGCAATAAAAACATTTCCCTTCACTCTGTATCTTGCACACCCACAACACATTGCTCCCTTCCTCAGGCCGACCCCAAGGCACTGCATTTCACTCTTCGCTTCTAGTTTGCGCCGATTGATGTTATTTCCCTTTAGGCGTCTTGACACGAACCCTTTGTAACCCCCTGGCTCTGGTCAATTTACTCCCTTAATTCGTCTTCGAACTTTCTCTCCTCATACTTGCAGCCATGAGCGAATCAAGGTAATATTCCCGTCGCATGCCTGTTCCAGTTAGGGACTCAAGGCAGTGTGTATGGCGTTGCTAACTCGCATACAGGCAAGAATTACTGGCATGGCTGAACGGCTTGCTCCAACTCAACATCACAAAAGTCGAGCAATGCGGGACAGGGTAGGTTATAGACTCGGAAGACTTGAGGTCAGAAACTAATCCATCCATCGATAGGGCCGCGCTTTGCCAGCTATTTGACTCCATTTTCCGTATGTCGTCTCCTCCGATGCCCTTTCGTTCCCAGGGAACTTTGCGCTTGTGCTACGCAAGGGAGGACTGAATAAACGCTGATTGGTGACTCCAGTTGATATTCCTATGGCTCGGGTGAAATTCAACGTCAATACCGAATATGCCTACATACAGAACTTCAAGATCCTGCAAAGTATGTTCACTGGGGGAACAACGAGGTCTCCTTTCCTATCTACTGGCATCCAGCTGACCGCGATATTCCAGACTGCTTTACAAAACACGCCATTGACCGAACTGTGCCTGTCGAGCAACTTGTTAAATGTAAAATGCAGGACAACCTCGAATTTCTACAGTGGTCAAAACGGTTCTGGGACCAATACTTTCCGGGGCATGATTACGATGCGGTCGCAAGAAGGAAGAGTGCCGGTACCGGCCCAGCAGCATCGACCACCGTCCCTCCACGAACAAGCACCGGCACCAGCACCACACGGAAGACCGGGACAACGCCTGTGGGTCGACCTGCACCGCGCGCCATCGGTACAGGAGGCCCCAGTTCGTCTGCTCTGAAGGCGGAAAACGAATCGCTGAAAGAAGCTATCGCCGGATTGGAGAAAGAGCGGGACTTCTATTTCAGCAAATTGCGCGATATCGAGTTGCTCCTGCAGAACGCGGTCGAACAGGAACCCTCTCTCGAAACCGACGCAAATGGTCTTGTGAAGAACATCCAGACCATACTCTATAGCACAGAGGAGGGGTTCGAGATTCCGGACTTGGAAGCCAACGGAGCCGAGGAACCAGAAACATTCTAGGGGAAGAGAAACAAGCGAATGACGAGAGTGTTGCCCACCTCTCAGATGCGGTGTTCTGTTAGAGGAATGGCACGGGCGGCTACCAATATTGTGACGAGTGGATGAACAAAAAGGCATAACTAGTGCTTGAATAGACGCAGGCTCTTTGTGCACAACTTCAACATTGAAAAGGTTCCAGAACGAGATTTGCAAAGGGTGGCAGACACTTGTGTCTCATGGTGAAGCTACAGGTTTGTGTGAGGGTCACCGGGATACCCATGATACGCATTGGGGTTTTTGCTGCAAGCAACATGAGATGAGATATTGTTATTGAGAGAAGCATCAACTGGGAGTGAGTGACAACAACTCCAGATAGCGCCAAGTGGATTCTAGCCCAGAGAGGTTTAGGCGCCAGTTGCTGCTTTCGGCAATTGTTCGAGGCAGGGGGTCCTCAGCCTTGTCTGCCCATTCACTCATTCAACCCCCATTACTGAGTAACCCACACCCAAGACCCAATACCCAGTATTGAATGAAGAAGTTTACATCAAGCGTTGTTAACAGAAGCGCTCCTTGCTCGAAATGCGTCCGTGTGTCTAGCGTCTATTCTGCTGAAATTGGAAACATGTTGCCCGCCCACAAGACCCCTCACTCTCCTCTGTTGCGACGTTAAAGGCCTGCTGCTCCAGTGAAGTGTCACTCCAGCCTGATATATGTACACCCTCAAGCGTTTGCACAAGTTCTAGCCCTAGCTCCTCGATAGGCCCAAGTGTTGGAGGTGCGTGAATTCAGATCATCTCGACGCCACCGTCGTCCTTGTGGACCCAATATGCCGGTTTGGACCCCTGGTGCATCCCGCCCACGCGGTACGCGAGCTGCACCAAGCCGAGACTGTTGAGCTTCGTGGCTGCGGCGGCCGTCATCATCGTCGTCGCCGTCGTGGCAGGCGGAGTCGTCTCGGTGCCAATGCCGATCCACATCAACGGCCGCGTACTTTGATGGTGGCTGTGGCTGTGGCCGTGGCTGTAGTCGGGCTGGATGAAGGGCAAATCCGACGTGGTGACCAGGCACTTGACGTTGAGCTTGAGGAAGCCCCAGTTGTGCCACTCCTTGAGCACAAAGGGGAAGTAGGTGCCGCCGACGATGTCGAGTTCGTAGGCGGCATTCTGCGCCCGCGGCATCGTCACCTTGGATTTTCCCGTTTCGCGGTTCGTCCACGGGTAGATGGCCGCCGACAGGTGCTGCTGTGCTGCTCTTCCCCCGGTCGCGGCTCCGGAAAATTCAACCAGCAGGACTTGATGCACGACGCCTCGTCGTTGTCTTGGACGGGACCACGCACGCTGATCGTCAGGGCCTCGATGTCCCTGCGGGCGTGGTCGACGTGGAAGAATGGAGGTTGGGTCATTTTCTTGCTCTTTTTATTTTCTTAGCAGGGATATATAGGGATATGGAAATAGTGATCAAGGAGTAGTCAAAGCGGGAGGAAAGTATTTATTGCGTTTGGTCCGGTTCTGGTTCTGGTTCTTGTCTGCTTGTCTGGGCCAGGAATGGGTGTCTATTTATCGACCGACTATGAAATGAATATTCGAGTCCAGTGTCAATATCGTTGATATCCTTGAGCCGATGCGAAATTGCGCAGATGAAACCGAGGACTTTTATGGTACCTTTTGTGCGTTGTTCTCTTTTTGTTCCAGCGAGACTCATCTATTCCTATGCTTCTCGTCCGTTTGACAATGACTGCGTTAACAATAATGACGAATTGACTGCTGCTGCTGCTGCTTCTCCATGCAAACGGAGCAAGACTGCTGGATCCTGGGCTGATTGACTACCTGACGCACAGACTACTATCTGGTTGTCAAGGCTTTTACCTGTCGCCTGTCACTATCACCTTCACGACGACAATTCTATCAATCGACAAAAGCCACACAGATGGGATGGGGTCGGGTCGGGTCTGGTCAAAGTAGAATGATATTGACACAATAATTTCGTATCTCCGACAAGCATTCATTTGAGCATTGAGCAAGCAAGAAAGCAGGGAGGGCTCTTTGTTCTCTAACTCTTGATTCTCGAACTGTTTCTTCACCCTTGTCTTGTATATATGTATACTTCAATGTCCCAACCGTGGTTTATTTTTTTTCTTCTTTGGTGGGTCTCTGCTTTCTTTGACACAAAGTCCAAGGGTTCACTTACTGTAGATTGAAAGAGTGAGGATTACCGGGACGACTTAGTGCTATATAGACTGGCCTGACCGGGTAGTAAATAAGACATCAGGCTAGAACTAGTTAGTTAGCCAGTCACCTAGGTGGACGTATACGTGCTACAATACGCATGTCCTTTCTCTACTGGGGAGTCAGAGTCCAACCATGTAGTGAACAGAGGAGGTGTGTTCACCAAGGAAAAGGAAGGAGAAAAACAAAGATAAAAGGGGGCTTCGGTAGGCTTTGCTTGCTACTCACGACATCATTATTGAGTAGGGGGACATACTGTACGTATGTTAGGTACCTATGACCTGCACCTAGGTATGTAGATATGCAGCAGCCATTCCCTTGGACCCAACCACACATCCTCATGATCCCTAGCACCTCATACCCAGTACCTGCTACCTAGAAGCAAGAAGCTAGAAGTCAGAAGCTAGAACCTCACCACCTCCCCATCATCACATTTCACCTCCCACATCCCACATTCCTCCCGTCTTTGCTGACGTTCTTGTCGATGGTGTAGTTGTTGGCCAACTACCGCCCCAAAGCCAAAGATATTCTCAGGAAACTCGTCGACGCCGATCCAAATGGGACAGCCCTCTGTGCCGCCCTTGGGGGAGAATTCCTCGTTCGCCGCCGCGACGAGCGCTTTGACTCTGAGTCGGATGAAGCGTGCGTTTTCAACCTGTGCAGCGGTTCCACTATCGCCATCATCAAGGGCAGCAACGGCACCGTCAATAGCGAGGACTGAAAACTCAATCACCCGGCATCCCACGATGCGGATCATGTGCGCGGGCGTGTCGGTACTGGGGTCTGCAGGAAACGTGACGCTCCGCGGCGGTGGTAGTGGTCCTTTGCCATTGCTATTGTCGTCTTGACCGTCGTTGGAAACGTTGTTGCTGTCGTCGTCGCCTCTCCAGTGCCACCAACAATCCTCCTCGTCTCTCTCAAACGCCCGCACACACGTCCACGCCCCGCGCAAGAAGCCTTCTCGGACGATGACGCCTTTACCACGCGAGACACATGCAGGGAATTTCTTAGGCGCGACCTCGTGGCCCGTGTGTCCCAGGTGGAAATAGACGTGGGCGTCAGCCGTGCTGGATACAGACGCCGTAGGTCCGAACGTCGATGGGCTCGGGGTGGTGGTGGTGGCCGTATCTGTAGCGAGGGCGGATTGGTCGACTTTGTAGTATAGATCTTGATCGGCCTTGTAGTTGTACGACATTTTACTACTACTGTCGGAGACTTGTGGTGATGATGAATGGTTCGTAATGGACCGTGGCTGTGGTTGTGAGCGTGACCTCTCTCTCTCTCTCTCTTCTTGAGTCCTATCTCTAATTCTGTACGTTGTGTGGTTCGTCTCTTGGGTTTGGAGTTCGGCAATCTGTAGTCACGCAAGCGCCGAAAAACGAGGATTGAAGGGATTTGAAGAGATCGATCGATAGAAAGACGGGAGCTGGAACTGAAGGTATACGAGGTGAGGTATACAGAAAGAAAACCCCCTCAAACAACAACCACGACTCTCGAAGGGAGGGAAATATGTCATGGCGTGAGAACTCGTCACTTGCTCTTCGTCACCTCTCCGCCGAAACAAAGAAAGAAAAAAGAGTAACCGACTTGTGTTGTGGTGTGTAGTCGTCCTGTGTCATATGGCAAATGTGACTGTGACTGTGACAAACCCTCGTCACTGTAAGAGCAGAGTCACATCCCGAAGACAGACAAACAAAGAAAGAAACTGGATAGGTGAGCGAGCGAGTAAGTGGATCGAGCAAACCAGCTCGATTGCAAAAAGATATGACTTGATTTCAGAGGGTCACGCAACAAGCCCGTACATGTCAAGCCCATGTCTCGTACGTGCCCGTCCTTGCACCTTGCATCCTTCTCTGAAATCATTGGTCGCCCAATGTGGCAGATCAATTTCTGACAAAGAAACAAATGTCCCAAACGCCATGCATGATATGGATAGATCTTGCTATGGTGCATCCCAAAAAAACTCCGTGAAAAATGCTGCCTGCTGCCTCGTTATCCACAGTTTGATGGTGTCACGTCGCAAAAATGGCAAATGGCAAAAGTCGAGTTCAATGATCATACGCCGCACATCCCGATTCCGCCAGACCTCACACCTCTGACAAGATCTAGCAGACTGTTTGCAGCCTCTCCCTGGATCACGCTGCTAGCGAGACCAGCGACTGGCAGGGGGTTGCATCGACCGTCATCATCCTCTCCACGCGGACTAGGAGCTGGGCTAGACAATTGTAAAGGCGTGATCTGTTTGGCATCCAGATTTGCCTCGATAACAGAAGGCTCAGGAGTATGATCTGTTTGCGACAGAGGGGGACTGCTTGGGACCTGGGATGGTTGTATCAAGCTACTCTGACTCTCCTGGTGCGGGTCGACTTCACGATTCCACCTCGCTGAGAAAGCCGTCGGGACAATCTCTGGCATAGGCAAGCTGGAGAGCTGTTTAACGGCCGGCTTAGGCCCCATGGTCGCGCAAGCTCGAGCCACAGCAACACGTGCCTCCTGATCAACCGAGCTCTCTGGTGCCGGGGTCTGTCGCACAGTCGAGGAAGATTGTGGCGAAGAAGAAGAAGGCTTAGACAGCCGTGGTGGAGGGGACGTGATTCGGGGAACTTGAAGACGACTGAATGGTTTTGTGATCTGGTTGGTTTGTATCTTGTACAGCGCGAGTTGTAGTCGAGTCCGCAGAGTTTCAGCTTTCTATAACACGGGATTAGAGCAAGGGATGACAAAAAGTGGATAGTACCAACTACCTCGAGCATCATCTGCTTCCTGGCATCCTCCTCTGCCTTGGGCTTTTGGGCAAGTGTCTCGACTTCCTCAATCATTTGCATCTCATCGTCTTGCGACGAGCGGTTGGTGTCAAAGTCGATCAGGCTGGACATGCTCAAGCTGACTTGGGATGCTTCTTTGGCGAAACTGGGCCGCAGAGGCGGGACCAGTTGAGACGTGCTCTGCGTGAGTGTGACGGCGTGCTAACATGTATGACTTAGAATCCACACGGCCCGTCATGAAACCTAACGTACCATCTTGTCCAGGGCTTGCTGGCTCGGCTCATCGTGAATGTGAAACTCGCTCTCGATCAGAGACGACTCTTCCTGCGACCCGCGGAATGTGGTGAAGGCGGTGGCCAGAGTCGACCTGCTCTGAGCCATCGAGGTTTGCACATCATCATCATCATCTTCGGACCGCGTGTCACTCAGCAATCCTGTCGTTTGTGAGAGGAATGATGCTGCCACTGTTTCTTCGGACAGTGCTTGTCCCTCGCTGTGTACCTCTCCAATCTTCCGTTTCTGGCCGGTTCGAGGACTACTCGAGGGGAAGTGCTCCGGGGAACGAGGCCGCTTTGTAGAGCTCCGTTGTGCGACAGGACTGGCAAGTTGTGACACTCTACCTGGCACTTTGGAGGAGAGGTGTTGGATGGGCGCGTTGGGGTCCTTGTCACCAAGCACGCGTCTTGACGGGGACGCCATATTGCAATCTGAGGACGAGCAATGAGTTGCACTTTTCTCGAGAGTGGTGGCAGACTCGAGTAAGTATCCTGCCATGCATGTTAGCAAAGAAGTCTTCTATGAGAGGTGTCACAACCGACTCAACCCAACTCACCACAGCAAGTAAATAAACGGTCACTTTACTCGGGCCAGAAGAAACAACACAGGCCAGACAAACAGGATTCCCTGGAGATAGATATACCGTGGACTTTTTCGGCGATCTCTCTCTTTCAGTAGAGAACACGAGATCGGAGACGCGAATTACCACCCGGCCAAAACGTCCAAAAATTCGCGGGTGTCACGTCGAGGAAATGGGAATGGGCATTTAATGCACAACATGGAAAATGATGCACACGGTGCAATTTGGGGATCCCCCCCGAAGATCAACCAGCCAGAAATTCATGGGCCGAGGGTCCTTGCGCGTGGGGTGCCGGGTTGGCTAGCGAAGCTTCCGGAGGCGCGTCAACTGCTTTTAACTGGGGCGACTTGAAGCCTAAAGGGTCCGCGAGGGGGCCCTCGAATTCCAACTGTAGCCCGCCGCGTCTGGGTGGGTACAACTCGTTGCTTTGGCTGGAACTCTGGGGAAAGCCTCGTGAGCCTCGCGAAGCATAACAGTTGGAGCCTCACCTCTACTCGTACGGTCCTACATAAGTACCTAAATCTTGACACCTACTTACAGAGATACAGACATAAATACGTACATTGATACATGCTACATACATACATGGTGAATACAACAGGAATGCACCCTTGGGACAATCTCCAACGCCTCCATCTCAAACAGCTTCCCTAATGTCTCATCCATCATCATCGCATCATAGACATGCGCCGTTCGAAACGACTCCCGCACTTGCTCGAAGCTCGTAAACCCAAGTTTTCTCGCAAGTGGACCAAAATGTAAGGAGAACCAGCCTGTTTGCGGCGTCGTTGTTACGGCGTTGTTCTCTACTTGGTTCTTCTCTTCCTGTTGACCTGCAGGAATAGCAGTATTCGCTGTTGGCATCACCGTCAAATCGGTGGTCGGGCTTCGTCCTTGCTGTTTCCTGACCTCCTCTTCAAAGCATGCCCCAATGGCAACGATCCAGAGAAGATCCTGCTCCTGTGAATGCGCGGTCGGGTCGCTGTTCGCTAGCCTCTCCAGCGAGGGCACCTGCATCGTTGCTGTTGCGTCGAGATATTTCACCCTTTGCAGCAGTACCGTGTCCATTGCCTTGATCTGCTCCAACATTTCTGCATGTTGAGTTGGTGCCGAAAACCATGGTTGCCTGATGGGATGGGCTTCCAGGCTTAGATAGATGAATAGTTGCGCCGCGAGACACAGCGAGGAGTCTAGCGATCCGCGCGGTGTGTTTGGCGGAGGTGGTGTGTCGAGCTGGTCGGCGGGACTGTGCCAAAGGTTCCACAGCCTCATCTTGAGGGCGACTCTGCGCAAGAATGACCACCGGAATATCGGACTGAGGTGGTCTTCATCGGACCAAGTCCCACGCCTTTTCACTTCTTCAACAGCGACCAGTTCTCTCAGTGCGGCGAATATATCGGGCAAAGTCTGCGGGTCACCAGTCTGCCCAGCTCGTCCCCCGTTTCGGGTCTCATCAAACTGGGGAGGTATCGATACGTTGTATTGACCACTCCAGGGTCCAGGGTCCCACGACAAGGGATCAATTTCGGTGCGAACGCCCGTCACGACCGCAATCTTGGCGAAGAAATGCACAATCAATTCTCTGTAGACCAGGGGCAGCCTGTGAAGTCCTCCCAGGAGACGAATGAGTTTCTTCAAAGCGTCACGGTGCTGGGAGCACTTGTCGTCACCTGTTCGAACGGACTCGGAATATTCTGCACTTGCCAGCGGCCAGATGGTCTGCAAGATGAGAAGGAGTTGATCGTACGAGTAGTCCAGGTTGTCGATCAGCTCTCGCAAGCCTCTGAAACAGTGCACAGAATGTTGCATCGATATCTGGCGGTAGCAATTGGCCTTTTCTGGCTGCGCGATGGCCATCAGGTTGTAGACGTAGGACAGCAAGCCGCTCAAAGGAGCCGCGTGTTCGAAATACTTCCTGTACATGACGAGATGCATTCGGTTCAAACTCCCTCCCTCTCGGCACGCTTCAAGTTCGTCGGGCCAGTTGATTGCATAGGTAAACGATCGGACGTAGGTCAGGATGTCGTGGGAGTCAGTGGTGATGGGGACGGGCAAGCAGTCAAAGGGATCAGACGTTCCATTTCCCAAAAGTACATAGGGTTCGGGAGCAACGACAGGCGAAGCAGGCGAATCGCCTCGAGTGTTCCCAGCCGACGCCTCTTGGACAGAATCAGAACAGGATCGGGGTTTTTGAGAGGTTGTTCTTCGGTCCTTCTTCTTCCTCCTATTTGGGCGAGAAAAGGATGCTGCGCGGATCGCCAAAGCGCGCACTTCCTGGCGGTCTCGTTCTCGTGTCACCTGGAAATTGCCGGGTGTTTTGGTGCTCATGAACTGCACACCCTTGGAAGTCGCACTCTTCGTCACGGTCGACTGTTTCGCCATCCTCCCCATGTCATACAGGATTGCTCGGTGGAGAGACGGACCAAGTTGCCGTCATCCTTTTTCTGCTTTTCTGGAGCCAGTCTGAGCAGCGGCCCCTCTCGAACTCTCCCACTTTGCCCTGAGGCTATGAGACTGTCGTACCGAGTTCACCAATTCTTACCGCCTGTGTGCCGCCTGAAGGTCAACAGGTTAGTCATCCAAGTTGGCGAATCATGCTATTCCATCATGCAGACAGATTGGTCATGCTAATGTAGTCGAGGTGGCTAGCTCAGTGCAGATTCTGACCAGGAACAAAGTCAACCAGTCAGACTCGGCGACGAACTGGCCAGAAAACGTGTAAGTTTCTTACAGTGAGAATGGAACACTGGTGACGCTAGGTAGAGAGAAGTTTGGCGTTGTTGCTGACAGACTTACGGCCAAGCTTTGGTGGCTAGCACATCCAGGGACGAGGCTACGCAAGGCTGAGCCAGGCTGTCCAGTGCTAAGGCTAAGGCGAGAACACGAAGTATTACAGACGACGAGCAATTCAAGAGGGCAAACGCCACATCTCCGGACCTGAATATATATGTGATCGTGCTCATTCTTCATTCTTTGTTCCCAGTCGTGCGTCAAATTTCATAATCTCATAAACAGAGAAATCAGGCTCAGCCTTGTGAGCAAGCGGCATTCGACCAACCATCTGCTCTCAAAGCTGTCCTGATCCCCATCAAATCTGTCTTGTCTGTATGCATGTGTAGAATCGATAAAACCACCGCGAGACATCGTTACCCCATCTGAGTCGTCTGGTGGCAACCAATACTCCCACATGTGCTAGGGCAAGCTCCAATCGGTATCTTGAAACACTGATATCATCAAGCCTGTTGATCTTCATGCTGGCCCCAATGAGAACTTCCAAGGGCAAATAGCTTTTCTTCATCTCTCTGCTCATGCAAATCGCTGTGTTGATCAATCAAAAAAACACGCACAAGGCTCTCCCATGCAAGGTTCTCGCCAATAGCTCGTCCATTTTCTCCACTCCAGATTTTCAAATATGATTCGCTTTGAATCTGTCCTATCAACGCCGTGGCAAAAGAACTTGTACCAATGCATCCGGCACTGGGTTCACAAAACATACGCTCTCCTCGCAAAACCATCGTTGTTCAATGAAACATTATACTCGAAACGGATTCTCCATCAAGCAAACGGGTCATCCCTTGATCGCGGGTTGGCCATTTGTCGCGGAAAGTGGGGTGGATGAAAAGTATTAAACATTGCCAGTCGTTCTCCGATGCTCATCGCGTTGTGTCCGTGACTTGGTGTCGTCGCGAATGCGCTGGTGCTTATGAAAGGGTCGCTCAAACTCGGTACGTGTCGAGGGTTTTTGGACCGGTAGCTTCGCTTATTGGGATCCAGCTCGAATGGGCTTCCTAGTCGCTTCTGAGTCGAATCAGGTTCGGGCGGGGCAAGCCCACCGGAGCTCGGCCGAACATTGGACTTCGCCAATGCCGTCAACGCAGCTGGTAATGGTGGGACCGGCGGAATGCCATCAGCACTCGGAAACTGGGAGGTGGGTGGAGTAAAGAGGCGTTCGACGTGCTCTCGGTTGTTCACTGCGCCGAACGTTGCACCACGATTTCGCACTCGAATTCTTCGCTGATTGATGTCCCCTGCTCCGGTGAAAACCAGCTCAGGTCGGACCTGGGGTTCTGGCTCAAATGTGGTTGGGGCAGGGAGCCGGTTGAGGTCGACATTGAGCTTTTCGATGTTGCTCCCGCTAGGGCTTAGTTCGTCCTCCAAGTTATGCTGAGCTCGTCGTTTGTTGACATTAAGAGAGCTCTCCGGCTCTAGTTTGAATGGGGAGAGCAATCGCGTCCCAGTGGCGTGAACAGTATCAAAGTGCTGGTGGCTAATATGGCGTCGATGTTGAGTGTTGGAGTTACCTGACCCATTCCAAGTACTGTAATTAAAAGGCGAAGCCAAGCGTGGGATGCTGCCCGCAACCTGTAACTTGTCGGGCTCCGACTGGATACCTAAACCAGCTGGGGTAGAGAGCACCATGGTGTCGGACGAAGCGTTGATCGGGGTATTGAACCAGTCATCCGACATCTGCTGGGTCGGAGGCGAATCTCCCGTGACGAGCTGTGCAAGAGGAGCCGTTGCACCACTAGCGACGAGCGAGATGCCTAATTCCCGGGTGGCATAAGCGGTTGACACTTGTGAGTCTTGATTTGAACCCAAATGAGACAAACGAGAGGCTGGCCGACGGGTAAATTGTTCATGGAATGGCGAAGGGCTCCTGGATTCCCGCAACCGCTGGTAATGGGCGGTGATGGTGAACTTCTCTTTGCACAATTGTTTCAATCGCCGTCTCGTGGCAGACTCTGAAGGCCAAGCGCACCTGGTGTCGTTGTGGTCGGTCCGGAGAAAGTCGTTTGGTTCTGGCGTCTTGTCCCTAGTGATGTTTCGCGTCTCAATGACATTTCGCATCTTGTATCGTCGGATGAGAGGTTTGCTAACCCTGGAGGCCCTGGGCCACGTCTCCTTCGCTCTGCGCGCCACACGATGACAAACGCCTGTTGGAGGGATGCTGCCCGGCACTGTTTTGAACGGAGTGACCGTGGGGTCCGCCAGATACATTTGGTAGACGTTGAATAGATGATTGTCCATTTCAATGCTCCATTGCACATTCCCTTTAGACAACATGGTGTTGACCTTTAGCTTCTTGTTCTTCCTCGACGGCGTGTCGGGAATGATGTTGACCTTTGTCGGCGAGAAAGGATCTTGCGACTCGTTCTCAGGGCTCGTCGCGCTGCCGTCGAATGAGGTAGGTCGCGTGGTGAACGTGTCTTCGGATGATGTGAATGAGGAATCGGAACGAAACGAACATTCCGAGACAGACCTGTGCATGTCCCAAGCACCGCTCTTATACTCTGGCAGGACGATCTTGGTCTGGGCGATTGGGGTCCGTGGAAGTTGGGAATCTCTGAAGGTGGATAGCTTCAACCGCTCGCTTGGGGAGGGATCTGTGATGCTATGATTATAGATAGGTCTTCCCAAAGGATTGTGCAATTCAATCGACGGTAGAGCAATGTCGGCATCCACGAATTCAGTTTCCTTTGGTACCGAGGGAGGACTGGAGGGGATAGGGATCTCGGAAGCAAACAGAGTTGCCGGAAGAGCGTTGTTACGCGCCTGGAAGTTGTCCATTCGAATGCGCGACCGGCGCAAACGACAGGTGGAATGATGGGGCGGCGGAGGTAATTTCACCTCTGCAAATGTCTGATCTGGGGTTTTAGGGTCGTCACCGCCATCCAGACCCAAAGGCGCGAAGTTCCGAGGGAGGGTGATGGACATGTGTGGTTTGCGCAGTGCGGACAAGGACAACGGTGTCGGCGATGGTTCGCGGTCGGCCATGGGTTGTATGTGGTATGCGCGCGCACGCTGACTTTCTGCAATCAGGTGTTCGGCGTGATATATACAAGCAGGCGCGGAGACCCGACCGATGCAGCCCTGTCGAGGAGATTGAGAGAGAGTGTTTTTTTGCTTTTCAAGGGTTCATGCTGTGTACGCGCGTTGAGACGGACGGTTATGCGGTTAAGCGGTCGGTCACGCGGACGACAGTCGATCTGAAGGCGCCACGGCGGCTGCAGGCCAGAGGGTGTGAATTTTAGTCTGAGCAATGGATATACAGCGAAGGACAGGCGACTCGAGACAGTCGCGATGGATTGCGACGGCAGAAAAGCGTGTTGGACGCGCAACTTTCCAAGTCGGCAGACCGCAGACGGGGAAAACGTGGCAGTACGGGAGGTACAGGTCGGTAGCAGGTGGAAGTTGAGAAATGATGTGGCTGGGAAAAAGTCGTGAGAAATTGGCGAGACCGGGGTGTGTCGATGCGACCAGGGTGCAGAGACAGAGTCGAACGACGTGATGGACGTGTTAAATGGGAGGGATTGTATGTAGGTCTTGAAACAGAATATTTGTTTACACTTGTTGACGTGATGTTGATGGCGATATGGATTTGAGTCGAGTCGGGTTGTTGGGTGGTGGAAGGATTGGAATGTAAAGAAGCGGGCGGATGACTTTTTCTCTGGGAGGGTTGAAGGAAGGGAGGATCGGGGGGAGAGACAAGGAGAAGTGGACGAAGTGGACGAAAGCCACAAAAAAGGCTTGGGGGCGTCGGTGGTGGTTCAGGGTCTTCGTAGGCTTCACCTTCTGGGCTTCGGCCCCCCAAGGAAAGACCCAGTTCCCAGTGCAGTGGAGAGGACCACCAGAGGGAAGAAGGGGAGAAGGAGAGGTGTGGACTCGGGGGAGGGGGGCACCAGGGGAGAAAGAGAAGGGGGCAAGGCTCGTGCACACCCACACACGCCCTAGGGATTAGCCAACTAGGTACAGTGGGCACCCAGCTAGGAAATAATGGCTAAAGCTGCCCGCTGCCCAGGCTGCCACAACCCCCCCAGAAAGTAAAGCCGCACCACTAGGATGTAGTAGGTGGGAGGAAGAGAAAGATTAATGACAGAAACAGGAAAAAAAGGAAGAGGAAGAGGAATATGGTGATAGGAGAGAGGTCGAATTGCTCTTATTATGCCCTTTGACGGAGCCACTAACTGCGCAGAACAGAGACAATTACGTGTTGAAGGCGAGTTGAAGGACTAAAGACAAAGAGCCACCAGCCAGATGAGCAGCGCATGCAGTAGCAGCAGCAGTAGCTGTAGCAGTTACAGTAGCTCCAGCAGATGTTCACACGATAGTTCAGGGTTCTGCACCTTGATGGTCATATGTCTTGCCAGTAACGGGCTGCCCACGGGAGATGGTAAGACGAAGGAACAGCTCTACGCACTCTATACCGCCTACTGCAAAGCTACTCCCGATGCTCCTTCAATATCAACCACTCCCGCTACTTGGGCTCCTCTTGTCATTTGCTTGTCTCCTTACGAGTGCTCGCTTCACTTTGTTCGGTTATGCTTCAGGTGCAGCTATTTCTCCATCACGCTGCAAAAGCACAGACCCGCGTGTCCAGCGGTTCCCGTGCTCCTCCACTTTTGCCCACAACAACAATCGAGTGTACTTCTGGGTCGAAGAACCCCTTGAAAGGGTCCTGAGTCGGAACGGATGCTTTCCACGAAGGCGGATGAAAGAGGATGTGGTCGTGTGCCGTTTGCATTGTGTGTGTGCGTGTGTTGGTGTGTGTGGGTGAGCGAGAGTGCGGGCCGCAAGGGAACCAAACCAACCCACTCGACGCGTCTGGTTTCCAAGAGACGCGAGATCAACGCGTTGGTGACGCTAAATACGCGAGCCGAACCTATGTGGGTCTATTATGGCCAATAATACTTTACAACCACTGACCTCGTACTGTTACGAGGAAGTCGCTGACGCCACCACCACGACAACGCCAACGCCGGACTTCCACTCGGTTTGCCCAGCTCGCGACTGCCCATCCTCATTCTGTGCACTAGATGTTGATCTGTTGCTCAGAGTCCCAGTACTCGGTACACTCGTACTTGTACAAGCATGAATTTGTTACCCCTTTTCCAGGAACACCGAATACTTGTGCACGAGGATCTACCAACCAAGAACTCCACGTCTCGTCGAAATATGTACCTCTTAGGAGGTAAGTAAACAAACACGACCCCATCTGCCTGCCTAGGTAGGTACCCGAGGTATGTATGTGAAAGGTGGAGTTTATCAATCCCCTCCTCCACGATGGACCCAAGAGAAGAAAAAGAAAGCAAACAATACCCCTTTGTTTCAACTTGTCTCTCATGGCCCTTACATCGCTGGCCCTGACAACAATCAACGAAATGACCAAAGGACCAAGGACCCGGGGTAATTGTACAAGCATCCCTTGCATAAGAAGCCTGCCGAGCAAACAACCAGGCCGCCGCCATCTTCCCTCGTAATATCTTGACAGGTTACACAAGACAATTCGGAAAACCTTGGTTGACTATGGGCGGAGACTCAACGACGTCAGCATTCCCTGGAACAGATACTGGGGGATGGCATGGGAAGCGAGGTAAGGTATTCTTTTGCCATTGGGTTCTTTAACAAAGCAAAGCAAAAGGCCTTGCTGGATTCTTTTGCAAAAACGAGACACAACGCGTTGGGCAGGGCAAGAATGATCTGGCCTAGCCTAGCTGGCATGATATCCCGTCGCCAGGCTGGGATTCCGATCCCATGTTTCCCCCATCCAAGCCACAGTGAAACCATTTTCCTCGGTTGACGGAAAGGGATATCCGTGAACGCGAAGCAAGATCGATTTGATTTGATTTGATACCTTGTACCGACACGGGACACGAGGTATCTACATACAACCTACTTTGTACGGAGAATACACAGGCGACAGAGTTCACCCGTCCCGCTGAAAACCCAAACCCAAAGACAGCACGGACAGCTGGCTTGCTAGTCAGCTGGTGGGGTTTAGACTTCACCATCTGCGACACCAGATTAACGACTAAACCCGCGCCCCGTCATCATCATCACGTCTTTTCGTGTCTTCGTCTATCGGTTCCTTTGTACAAGTCGTCACATCCTTGGTTCATGTACAGGTAACTTGCTTACTCGATCTATCACATCCCTGGGACAGTGGTCCACTTGTGCTCCGGAAACCTTATGCCTTATGCCATCCCACATTTCCCCCCTTACTCGCAGGTATGCACGAATTACCCTTCAGACCGGTTTGTCTCAGGCTCTCCACGTTGATGATGCGACCCTACCAGCTTCCTCGGAATGTTGCTTGGTATACGAGAGGGCCTGAGTGCCCACCACCCTCCTCCCACCAGTCCCGTTCCGCCTGTACCCGTCCTCCCAACTGCCAATCAACGCGCGGATCGCCTCTTCAGCGACCATCACGCCGCGATTGATGTCCTCGACGCCGGTCCAGCCCGGCACGTGCAGGAAAGCCACTTTGCCAACGCGCTCTGTGGCCTCGTCTTCTGAGTCGGACCGCGACGGATCTGAAACAGAGGACGAGGAGGCGTTGTTGTTGCTCACCACCTCGGGTGAAGCTGACGAGGACACCGCGTCGGTTGCCTTCTTGTGGCTCGTGGCTTGCCAATCTCCTCGTCTCTGCCCCTCCAGCCATCTCCGACTCAAGCTCTCAAACAGGGCGTACTCGCAGAGGAACCGGCCGGCGTCGCAAGACAACTTGACCACGGCTTTTCTCCGATGCTCGTCCGCCTTGGTCGACGACACGGGCATGTTACTTGTCCCCCACATCAGATTCCTGGGCACGTTTGCTCGTCCGAGTCCGATGGGCGTGATCGGAACCGCTCGTGTGGCGCTGGTGGGCGTCTCAGCCTCGTTCACCCCCTTTCCAGAGTCCGCCAATGCCTTGTCCATCTCTCCCGTGCCCAAGAATCCTCGCTCTCTCAGTCCCCTCTCTACACCGTCCTCCCACCGACTAAGCACGTCGACCTCATCCCATGCGACATATAGCACCTCTGGGATCCCCTCGGTCCTCCACCGGTTCTCCCCCCAGGTGAAGCCATCGCAGTCGTCCACGTCCTTTATGCGGTAGTTGTCCCTGTGTCCGCGGATCTCGAGGGAGTAGCAGTCACGTCCGCCGGCCATACCAATGTGCAGGATGAAATCGGGATTATGGGTCGCGATGAGGGTGGGTACGGTGGTGGAGACGGTCGAGTACGAGACCCGGACGGCGGAGGGATGAACGATCAATTTGATCTTGTAGTCTGGTGATTTATGCGGAGTGTCGGTCGATGGTGAGGGATAAAGCTCCTCGGGCAGGGCCGAGGCGATTAACCACGAGGGATTTATCAGGAAAGATTTAAATGGCTAAAATGGACCGAGGATGATTATCAGCATGAGGCCTCCAAATAAAGGTACGACAAAAGGACATGGGTTGGGAAGCCCAGAATCCAGGGTCAAGACGCAAGGCCACGATCCAGGTAGCACAATCGCCTTGCACAACAGCTCGTGAGGGTATAGATCGATAGATCGACTCCATCAACGAGTGCCCTCCCTGCTCCAGGCAGCCGCATCGCCTCAATGAGCTTAAGGGACTCTTCCACGTCTTGCCTCCCGCCTCTCAGCCACATTCTCTGCTCTGCAGCATCAAATATGTACAAAGGTTGGAGCTCGGAGCCCGATATCGCGAAAGAAGAGATCTAAACAATCCCCTGATTGACCGATTGAGAGACAAAAGAGAGAAAAAGAACTTACGCCGAAACCTGTAACAAGAACCTTGACCTCCCTCAAGGGAGGCGCACCATCTGCTTCAACGCGACCATTGTCTCCAGCACTGCCGTCATGGTGGAGCGGGTCTGGCGTCAAAGGACCAGCGTCGCCCATTGTTCTTAACGTTGGGGGGGGGTTTTTTTTTTTTTTTTAAAAAAAAAAAGAAAGGTTGTTTAGAAAGGATGATAACAATATTTTGTCAATCTGTTCGTGTGTTCCTGTGTGTGCTTTTGAGTCCTCAAATCCTTATCGGACGGACCCCGCGTGTTCGGACGAGACTTGTGCTCGCTCGGCTCTTTCCTGCGACTGCGGGGACGCGAGATCTCTCGGATTATCTTCTCCGGTCAGTCGCAAAGTCAACGAGGTAGATGTGTGCGTAGATAGCGACGCTGCTAGAGGAGTCTGGAGGGGACAATCGGTAGGGGTTAGAGTGGGATTGATTTATCAAGAGGGAGGCGGGTCGGCGGGTGGTTTCCGACTTCGGGAGTTGATGAAGTGGTGAAACAAAAAAGTAACACGACAGCAGTCGTACGTCGAGTGGTATGTGTGTGTCGCTTGTCTGTCTCTCCCCGTGTGTGCGCGTATGTGTGTATGCGTTCTCTTTTCTCTCCCTCCTCTTTTACAAATCCGTCGCTGCGATCGAGTGAGTGAGTGGAGGAAGGGCACGCGCACCAGCCGGCCGGATATATCCGTTGGTCCCCAGCACTGGGTGGTGTGGTGTGGTGTTTTTCTGTTCCCCCTCTGGAACAGGTTTGAGGAGATACACCGATAAATAGAGAGAGATCAGGATCACCGCGAATCTTGTTTTGTTCGCTCAACTCAGTCAATGTCAGCAGGGTGAAGGCTGCATCGTGCGACCAAGTCTAGTCAGTGTGTGTCAGTCAATCGGTTTCAACGCTTGGAGTGAGTTTTGTCGTCCCGCGCGCGGCCGCCGGATGTGATAGGGATCAGAGAGGATAAGATCAGGAAGCCAAATACATCCACTTCGAGAGCTACGAGTAGCTATGTGATATGTATCAATAAGCAGGTAGGTAGGCAGGCAGGCAGGTAGGTAAGTTGTGTACGAGGTAGCCGGCACAGAGTACCGAGTACGGGAGAGAGTTAAATATATAAAAGATTCAGAGTCGGACGGTATCTACCAGATTATTATCTATCATCAAACAAACTCGGTTTCCCTCTTCGGGCTGCCTAAGGGCGAGAGAGAGGCGGGACATTTTTTCTTTCCTTCCCTTTTCGCAAGGCGGTTGTTGGAAACCTGTGGAGAAAACTGAAAGTTCAATGTCATCATCATGAGATCGGCGCAACGTGCGTGCCCTGGTGCGTTGGAGAAAAAGACAAACTCGGGGTCGATAATGCGGGTGGATGTTGCCTCCTCCACATCCGTTGGATCCTCTTCCTCCTGCTCCTGCGTGATCCCTCGTGTGCCTTTTAGCAGATACATACAGTATGTGCTTTTCTGTACTGTACGACGGCACACACTGTCTACTCGTACACGAGGCATTAACCAATCCCTCCGCATCTCCAAACGGTGGCCACGCGGACAACAAGCAGTCGAGTGCTCGATATCAACTACATCTACAATTGCTGCTTGGGACAAGATGAATTCTGGGATTATTTGCTTTCTCGGTGTCATTGTCATTATTCGCTCGCTAAAAAAGCGAGATAGTATGTTGGTCTCTGTGCCATGCGCCCTTTGCAAATCCATGTCTCTCGAGAAATACCACCCTGTTCGTGACTTTCCAACATGATCCCTTATCCAACATCGCACAAGCCCCCCAACGCCTCGCTCAGTTGTGATCCTCCCACATCTTCGAAGTCCATCTGAGGAATAAATGAAATCAAAACCAGGTCCATCACTTCGTGCAAACCAACCGTTCCATCCGTCTCAAGCTCGCTCTCAGATCCCGACCACCTCGCTCGCCCTCATCCACCAGCCACTTCTCCATCATTACCCTCACTCTTTTCAAATTCCCCTGAATCGGCATTTCTTCCCCATCGGCCACGCAGCCCAGGTTCAACAATGTCGCAAACACATCTCCCCAAATATCCTTCTCCCAGTATCGCTTGAGGTTCTCTTTCAATTTCCATTCCTTCTTTTGACCTGGACCTGCGAGCGTACTGCCTCCAGCTGGGATTGTCTCGATGTATTTACCGAACAACAACGAGTGGATCACCCCCGCTGCCCCGTGATAGTCAATTTGCCACTTCCAGGGTCGACATTCGCGGATTTCGGTACAGTCCTGAGGACAAGAAGGCCAGTCGGCGATGAACTGCGCGGTGGGCTTGAACATACGGGTATCGATGCCGCGGCCAAAGTCAATCAGTCTCAGGCCCCGAGATTGCCACCCGTGATGTCCCTCCGCATCGAATGGCGCTGTCAGATCCATGGTGGTATCGAAGCGTACGAGGCAATTGTCACCCTTCAAGTCGCCGTGGAGGATGCCCACACGATGGAGATCCTCCAGGGTCCGCAGAAGCTCGACACTGAACCACATAGCCACCACTTCGTCTAAACCCTCCGCAGGTTTACCGGCTTTGACATTTTCGCTCCGTGCCATATTGATCAGGTCGAGCAATGTCCCTTGCGGGCTGTAAGAGAGGACGAGGTACGCTTCATCGCGGTAGAGATGACATTCGTGAGCGAGGATGATGGACTGCATGCTTCGCGCGGCCGAACCGAGGCGCTGTTTGATCAAGCGGACGATGTGGAATTCCCAGACCAGTGTGCCCGGCGGGGACTCGGTCTTGAGAGCTTCAAGCGGTTGACGGGATGAATCAGTAAGCTGAGACGACGTTGGTGTCTTGTTCTCCTTGTCATGCTCGTCTGCGTCTTCATTTTCGGCAGGGTCGTAACTATCGACCAGATACACCGGCGCAAACGCCCCCTCGCCCAGTTCTCGCTTGACTGCGTAAACTCGGGTTGTCTCACCGAATTTGAGGATCGGGGGAACTGCTTTGGTTGGGGGTTTCTCGTTCTGACTCTTTCTGGGACTGAATTTCACTTTTGACTTTGCTTGTTTTTCAGCGTAAGACTTCAAGGCAGGATAGCGTCCAAGAGTGATGCTCGAATGATCATAATACCCCTTTTGGGTGGAGAGGGGCGGGTAGACAGAGGTAAGGATCTGGTTTCGGACAGCATCGTCGCACGGATTGCATTGTAGATCCGGGATGATTGGGCCTTTTTGAACCTTTGACAGGGGTGATCTGACAGTCGGTTTCGATGGCAAAGCTGGAGTCTTGAAGGTCTCCTCATTCGTCGTGGGCAAGGGAACAGGCGAGGAATATGGGTCCGTCGGCTTGCGTGGTCCTTTCTTCTGTGGTGAGGATGTGATGAGCTCATCCTCGGTCGCGCCAGTCTCACAGTATTTTCTTTTCGCCGCTGGGGAAGCAGACGTTGGCGTCGCAAGCTCCTGCTGCGGGCTGCTCAGGAACAGATCCTCAACCCCGATTCTCGACGGGCTCTCGTACTTGGACTTGCTAGGGGTCTTGGACTCGAAGTATCCGGGTGCGTTGAAAACAGTCGACGGGGCAAGTGAAGATTCGGTTCGCTCTGCGATTGGTGTCATGAACGGCATCTTGTTTTGTGCCAGCATCGCCGGGTCACGGTAAGGTCGAATCGGGGTCGGCTCATAGTCGATAGGAGGAATGGGGATAAAGCGAGGTTTGTGTGAGATCTCTTGATGTTCGGGGAACTCGATGTCAACTGGGGTGGCGAGGGCGACATCGTTGGCACCGGCATCATTGTTCAAAGCCTCGAGATCTTCCGCTCGCTCATCCATTATTGCGGCCTGGTCTGCAGACATGGCAACAGTGACATCTTGCACGACATGGATATCCCCAGCGTCTGCCGCACCCTCATCGATGTCACCCGCCATCATGGCAATGGCTTTGGTGTCCAGGTCGTCAAAGTTGCCCTCTGCAATGGCAGCAATCGCTTGGGTGTCAAACCCTCCAAACCCAGAAGTCTGCGTTTGGTTCTGGCTGGACGAGTCCATGTTCTCTGTCATGTCCTCTGAATGATCTCTGGTTTTGGCTCTCCTTTGATTCTTGGTCGAGCTCGCTTTGTCCTTGACACCGGAAACATGTGCTAAATCAAGATGTGGCACGTGTTTGCTGGCGGTGAAGTCGGACCAAGGAGAGACGCTTTCAGACTGACTTTGACTTTGTGAGGATTTTCTGATGGATGCTAATGTATCGTCACCAAATTCACTACTAGGAGCCGACACTCGACCGGTTCCTGTGCTCTCGGCATCACCTGTAGTGCTATACCCATCGTCTACTTCACCTTCAGTGAAATCGGTCTCATTGCCACTCTGACTATCCTCTCTGGTTGCTGCTGGTCTGCGGAGTGGCTGGTTAAACATGTCGTATATCTCGTTCGTGGCAGCCTTTGAGTGAAACGTCATCGTTGGCTCTTGCGAGGAATTTTTGCGCTTCAACTTCTTGCCGGTGGGTGATTCCAGTCGAGTCTTGACTGTCTGCGTCTCTTGTTTGACTTCTCTAATCTTCATCTTCCTCTCCTTCTGTTTCGACGGCTTGGATGTCGGCTGAGAATCTGACTGTGGCATACCGACCATAGATTGGGTCGACACATCGTGAACACTGAGGCTGGAGGTGGCACCGCTGTTCAGGTCGATCTTATCGGGGAACGAGTGTGTAAGATTCTCAATATCTTCTGGCTCTCGAGACTTGTTGATCTTCGACCTCACGTTCATCGAGGCATTGGCGCCAGTTGGTTTCAACGGAGTTCCTTCTTCTCGTGGTCTCCAGTCCTTCTGGGCCCAGCCTCGAGACATGGCTCGAAGCTCTTCGAAGCTGAATTCTTGGTCAGTGTCGGCCGGGTAGATAGCTTCAAGGTCTACGAAGACTCGTTCAGCTCGACCGGTGCGTGGATTGACGACTTGATGCGATTGCTGTGAGTCTTGGTTTGACAGCGACCGTGTGGATTGTCCCTGTGCTCGTGATGCCTAGGATTCCACGAAATCGGTCAGTCACTCTATCATCAAGAGGAAGAACAAGACCAAAGTCTTGATAGTAGTCCAAAAGTTCAGATTGTATTGATTGACACTAGACATGGAAAAAAAGGTCAATCATACCGGATCCTTGAATATTTCCATTTTTGGGACCGACCCTACTCTCCCTCCAGCCTTCAACTTCTCTCCCGCCCATGATCGAGCCTCGATAGTGTTCTCCTTCTTGCGATCCTTCATTGACCCGATGGTATCCCAACCTTTCGTGGTGTTTGCACTCAATTGCTGCTGTTGAGCATTATCGGCATCCGAGAAAATGGCCATTTTGGGCTTGCCGGAGCGCGACGTTGGTGCAGAGCTGGCACTTAGCCCATTCCTCTGCCGTGCTGCTTGTGGGTCGTCACCCCGGTGGGCAGAAGCAAACGGATCAACCTTGGCCGCGAGGGCTGGGCGAACAGTGGGCAGCGCAGGGGAGCTAGGCTCATCGTCTGCTTGCGGCCTGGTATCGAATCGCTGCTGGAACTGAGCGTATTTCCGCGTCAGTCTTTCCGTGGGTCTGGCTTCCCGCTCAATTCCCAGCTTATATACTTCATCTGCTTGCGCCCATCTCCCTGCGGTTTCCAGCCATGCCGCAAACTCTTCATAAAACAGCCCAAGTCCCTCACCGATACCGTGTCGAGCAAGGAACGCAAAGGTCTCTCTGGGTGTGTCCGAGAATAAGCGGATATAATACAGCCACAATTTCAAGTAGCGCGGGTCATTCTTGTAGTGGTTTGTGGTGAGGAAAGCCTTCGTGGCTCGCTCCAGCAGCGGCAGAAGCTGAGATTGAGGTGTTGATTGGGCTGATGGGTATGCGTTCAGCGTCCATTTGACATATCGGTCATAAATATCGAGAGGGTCGTCCGAATCCGCTATCGATTGGAGTTCGATTTCATATTCTTGTCGGATGGCGTCGTTGAGTGTTTTCGTCTCTTCCAAAGTCGGAGTTGCGCTTGCGCCTAAACCCCTGGAAGAGGAAAGAGGCGACAATATTGAGGCGAGCTGCTTGACTGATCGGCCGCCAGGGAGAGACTGGATGTTTTCCTTGTGGGTTTCTATAATGTCGAAATTAATGAGGTCGCTGTCTGCGGCGACAGATGCGGCCATTGCTGCTGTCGTAGTGTCTGCACTGTCTATCCTGTGTCCGTTAATATGCGGTCGTGCAAAGTCTGCTGTCGCCAACAAAGGGAAGTAATGCAGACGAGAAGAGATGCAGATGAAGTTAGTTGATTGGGCAACGTGCTGGCCATGTCAACAAACAAACCGCTAGAGTTGCTTCCGAACTTTAGCCGAAGCTTCCACATCCACTACATCCCCACGCCCGCACGAGTTGCAACTTCAACAGCTACTGGGCAAATGGAACGCCTGAAACAAGGTGAGCGTACAAGAGAAGCATCAGCTTGTTGCTTCATCTGCTCCATTACCTCTTGCTCTCTGTTGCTACCGTTTCTCTGACTACGTGCGCACTGGTATACAGCCAGACCATGGCTATCTCTGCACTTCCAGTCTGGCCGCTGGTCCTCTTTGGCATCTTGGAACCTGCGTCGCTGTACGATTCTTGCCCACTTTCGGGATCGACAGTGCTCTTTGCTGACATGTAGGTACGGAGGACAGGACGTGGGCCTATTTCATCACCCTTTTCCAGCCTCAACAGTACTATGCCGACCAAGCGCCCAACACTACCATAACGGATCTTCTCTTCACTCCAAATGCCCTCTCCCTGACTCTCCAGTTGGGCAATGTCTTTCTTCTCCTCGCGGCAGTGGCGGTCATCTGCTGCTTCACCACCCACGCTGAGATTGCAAGGAGGTACTTGATTGCGGTGGCTCTGGCCGACTTGGGTCACATATATTCTATATACTGCGCGCTTGGGGACAAGGTGTTCTGGGACCTGAACCAGTGGAACGTGATGATATATTCGAATATTGGAGTCAGTGCGTTCTTGCATGTGAACAGGTTGATGACTGTGACTGGGATGTTCGGGCGGCTAGGGACTCGCGAGAATGCTGCCAAAAAGAACGGATAGAAAGGAGGAATCAGAGCAGGAAAAGACGTTTAAGAGATCTTTTAGGTATCTTGGCATTGCCTTTTCAGCCATATGGGCCGAAGGTTCTCGGGCTATCTCTGCCCTGAGCCTACAGTGGCACGAATTTTGCGTTTGTGTTTTGCACAAAAGACATTTCTTCTCCAAGGATCCTCTCCTCCATGCCTCCCCAGAAGCCGTACGCCTGCTTCGAATGAGTAAAGACACTCTACACTCGAGGGTTGGCCAATTGGACAGCACGGCGGCGGTCTCTCTCTTCGGCAATGGACAACTGTAGAAGCACCGTAAGCATGAGTCAAGCGAGAAAGATATGCATGTGAGACTTACCTTGACACCCTTGCCCTTGGGCAGACTGATCCACGGCTTCTCCTTGCCAATGATGAAAACGTTGCTCTCTCGGGTTGCAAATGAGTTGTCAATTGCATCCTTGATGTGAACAATGTTGAAGCCACCGTCGTGTCTCTCACGGTGAGTGATGACACCAACACGGCCCATGTTACGACCACCAGTGACCATGGCGATCACACCAGTGTCGAATCGGATGAAGTCGGTAATTTTTCCAGAGGTGAGGTCAATCTTGACAGTGTCGTTGACCTTGATGGCCGGATCGGGGTATCGGATACTATTAATCCCATCAGCTTCTTGAAATATATTTTTTTTTCCAACCAAAGCTTGGCCCAACGGCTGATAGATGCAGGCGTGTGAACTTACGTGCGAGCATCATGCGTAACCAAGTATGGGATTCCTCCTTTGCCAACTTGTACTCTCTTGACCTTGCCGAGTTTGTATTCCGCCTCAGCTTGTTCGATGCGGTGGATGGCGAAGCGCCCTTTGGTATCGTAGACGAGACGGAAGTGCTCTCCAGTCTTCTCAATCGAGATGACATCCATGTAGCCCGCAGGGTAGGTGATGTCGGTGCGGACCTTGCCATCGACCTTGATGAGGCGCTGCATCAGAATGGCCATGGTCTCGCGATTGTTCAGGGAGTACTTGAGGCGGTTGCGGAGGAAGACGATCAAAGGAAGGCAGTCACGGCTTTTCTGTACATTTGTTTGTCCTCGTTAGCATTTCCAACAGTCAATGCGCAAAAGCCAGAAGATGCTTGGAGGGGGAAGACCAACGTGAGGCCCAGGGGATGCCTTGGGAGCATAGGCACCCGAGAGCTTGTCCAAAAGCCAGTGCGAGGGCGCACTGAGACGCTTCTGATGCTTCTTTGGACCGCGACCCATCTTGACTTGATTGTTGGATGTAGAGATTGAAAGGTGACAATCCGCGCAAGGTCTGTGAGTGTGGACGGTGGAAAAGAATAATTGGAATTTGGTTGTGGCCCTTGCCAAGATTTATCACGACTAGCCTGTTTTGGGACGTGATCTTGGAAAGACAGAGAATTGTGTCATTTGAAAACCTAATTCGCCGCCAAGCCATGTCAAGTACCGAGTAGGGTCCCGAATATAGGAGAAGATGCCACAGCTCAGGATCATGAACATCTATTGTGACAAGGTATCTATTAAGCCGGACTAAGTAATCTGATGACCTGCTTTGTCCCCCCGGAATTTCTCGACTATCTCGGTAGTGCGACAACAAGGTCAGCGACTACTTATGTACTTGGTCGCAAGTGAGATCCTTGGAAATGGCCATTCAACAGTTGTCTCTTTGATCCTGCAACTCGCGACTGTTTTTGCTTTGAGACAGCTATGGAGCATGTTCTTAGTGTTTGTGATGGACATTGATTTTGATTGCGTTTGAGGGCTTGTCTGACAGCACGTCGGCGGTGGCGCAACTGTAAAACAATTCGATAGCCTCTGAAACTTCTTTGTGGCGGTGTCTTGCAGATGATCCCGGCCGTACCATCTTGTGATGTTGCTCGCACTGCGTCGCGAGCGAGGACGGCACTCGACTGGTGGACAGTAGATTTGACTGTAAAGAAGCCTTGTGTCAGATGCTTCAATGGTCCCGGTTTCAGGCATAGACCGCCATGGGACCGCGGATGAACGACCCGCTCGACTGGAATTGATTATCCAGGCTTCTTTCCCCACACAAAGTGGAAATGGACATAAAGATGAAGCCTGGGGTTGACCAAATCCTGCTTGACTCGCTGAATCGTGACCAGGGCTTGGTCGATGCTGTAGCCCAAGATCCTAGTGAACATGGCCAATGTGAATGGCTCGACAGCGTCGACAAATTGCGCGCGGTAATATGTTCCAAGCTCCTTGTACCTCTTCCCTCTGGCCCAGGGACCAATGGGACACCTGTATACCTCCTCATGGATGTCGACAAATCCGGCTTCCTGCATGTAGTTCTTCAATTTGTTTGCAGTTTTCAGTTCCTTGCCGAATCGCTTGCTCCCTTCGTTCATCTCCTCGACCCAATTCTTCAGATAGATGGCCTGGTCAAGAGTATCATCATCGGAATACACGTGGCAGTGATACTCCTGCATCTCCATCCATCCACCAGGATTCAAGTGAGACAAAGCCTGGGTAAACAACCGGGGCCAGTCGGCAACGCTGCCGCAGAGTGACCGCCCATGAATATAATCGAAATGCTCCGAGGGAGGATACGCCCATTCGCTTTCGAAATCGTCAACATAAAACTTGCAATTGGGAGGCACCCAGCCGGGTTGAATCGGGCTGAGATCAGTACCAACGATGGTGGCGCCGGGAAAGTCATCAGCAAACTCGATGCACCAAAGACCGGTGCCACAGCCCATGTCGAGGACACGCTGGGGCTGGTTCAATGGGGCGCGAGATAAAGAGCCCCCCAGAATTAGTTTATAGATGTGGTGAAGCATGTCTAGCCGTGCTTGCTCATCTTCGTCGTTGGGTAAGATATACTGGCCTTCGCGATAGGCGTGGTACCGCCGGCCATTCTCATACCGGTAGTTGAGAACCGAGCTTGCTAACGAAGCTGACCAGGACCCTGCAACAGAGCCGCCGTAGCCTGAATCTCCATCACTGGGGTCAGACTAGACCTCTATTAGCACTACTTGGGATAGGGTTAGATGATAACGAACATCTGCTTCCAAATCTGGCTCGTGGTGCTGGTCGTCAGTGATTGTGTGGCACATTGCCGGACCGCCGGGAGTAGGTTGTGATCACGCAACTGGAGGCGCAACAGAAGGCGTTGGAGAGATAGTGGGCGAGGTGGAATATAGAGAGGTCAGGATAGAAACATGGGCTAAATGGGTGGAAGTATGAACATTCACGTTATTGATGTGGGAAAGGAATTGCGAAGCCAAAGTGAGGGGGTGTGTGCGAGGCTTACATTCCTGGCACCGCATCCAAAACTGTCTGGGCGGATTTGGAGACATCGGATATCATGAGGGCAGATGTTGTACGAAGTTCGAGAACCAATACCAACTCACACGACTCGTTTCTGACGGTTTGCTAATATCTGCTTTGGCGGTGTTGATGCATCCAGTGGCAGTCTGTGTTGGGTCCATTTGACGGCAAGTGCCGGGGGGTTCGGAATTCGGGCCGGCACGACGAGCTAGTAATGCACTAGTCCGAGCATAGATATTAGAGTCATATTTAGCGGAGTTGAACACAGGTGTTAGCAGTGACGGGGGACTCCGAACACGTACTTTCCTTCTCCAGATACTCTTCGTACCAATAATCGTACGAAGATATAAAAGATGGAGTCAACTAGAACTACACATACAGCGATAGATGAACGAAAGAGTCCAACGGAAAGGTGAGGTAGCCATCAACGATTCGTTTCTCTTCTGTCTACAAGGTACGGGTACTTCTTCGCTTCTCAACTCCTCCCTCCGTCACCTCCAACTGTCCCCCGTCACTGTCCCACATGCTTCTCAAGCTCCCCAATCTCTGCAATAGGTGCGTTGCATCAACTAGCGCACCATGATGCATCCCCAACCGACGCAGCATCGCCGGAGAAAGACATTCCTTGCCGCACTACTCAATGTATGCGGTTGTTCCTGACCTGGTGAAGAGATTGGTCGTCTCGGTCCTATTCGATCCCCACATGCTTGAAAGACATTGACTATTCCTCTGAAGGCGCAATCTCCATCATTCCTTCAGCTGTCAAACGTGCCATCGCCGGACAATAATCCAGCATGGATAACATCAAATTGATCCTCATCGCCCGCCCTTCTCTGGCGCTCTTGACCCTCGCTGTCGCTTCAGCCACCGTATACTGTCTTGCTCTCGCTATTTATCGTCTCTACTTTCATCCCATTGCTCATTTTCCAGGTCCTAAGCTTGCCGGCCTTACAAGATGGTATGAGTTCTACTACGAAATCGTCCAGAAAGGCCAGATGACCTTTCATATCCAGAATCTCCACAAGAAATATGGTGAGCATCCGCAAGTACGCCATGCTGTGAGCTAACTTCATGGTTCACAGGTCCCATCGTACGCGTCACTCCAAATGAATTGCACGTTCTCGACTCCGACTACTTCGAAGAGCTCTATGTCAAGTCTGGTAGGCTCGACAAGTATGCGCCGTTCTCTGCCAGGTTTGGTACCGACGATACTTTTTTCACCGCGCCACTTCAGGAAGACCACCGTCGCTTGCGCAATGCCGTAGCCCCCTTCTTCTCTAAGCGAAAAATCATGGACTTTCAGCCTGTGGTGCGGGCCAAATTGAGGAAACTATGCTCAAACGTCCAAGAATATGCGGGAACTGACCGTGTGTTCCCGCTTCACCGTGCCTGGACCGCTTATGCGGGAGATGTCGTGACCGAATTCTGTTTCGCAAAAGCCTACGACCATCTCGATTCTCCGGATTTCAAAGTGACCTTCCACGAAGCGATGCACGCCGCCTGCGAATCATCCAGCGTGCTGATGCAATTTCCGTGGTTGTGGCCTGTGATGAACAGCCTGCCAGATTGGTTGGTGCTGAGACTCGAGCCGAACATGTACATGCACATTCAAGTGCAACAGGTAAGTGACAGCACGCCACCCATTGAGTCGGTGGCCTGACCCGATGAACCAAGGACTTCCATCGGACCATCTCCGCACTCAAGGAGGACCACGACGAATCTAAGAAGATGGTTGACCATCCCACGCTGTTCCACGAGATGCTTCACAGTGACCTTTCCGAGAGGGAGAAGTCAGTCAACCGCATGGTCCAAGAGGCTCAAGTCATCATTGGGGCTGCCATCTTGACCACGTCCTGGGCCGCTGCGGTGGCCAGCTTCCACATCATTGACAAGCCCGACATCTTCAGGAAGTTACGTGCCGAGCTTGAAGAGGCCATTCCCGACCCATCCTCGCAGCTCGACTGGCAGAATCTTGAACAGTTACCCTACTTGACAGGGTGTATCAAAGAGGGTATCAGACTAGCATATGGGATCGCTTCGCGGCTGCCTCGGGTCGCCCGTCACGATTTGAAGTACAAAGACTGGGTGATCCCGGCAGGCACACCAGTCTCCATGACTATCGTCGACATGAATCATGACGAGGATATCTTCCCTCAATCACATTCGTTCATTCCAGAGAGGTGGCTGAACAACCCAACCACAAAGGACGGCCAACCGCTAGAGCGGTACTTTATTGGGTTTGGGAGAGGAACAAGGCAATGTATTGGGTTGAAGTGAGTTGTGACTGCTTTCTATCTCTCCACTCTTGGCCTTAGTATCATGCCACGCTGGAACGCTGCTGACATGTTGCAGTCTTGCTCAAGCTGAGCTGTACATGGGGCTTGCATCGATCTTTAGGAGGTTCTCCTTTGAGCTGTACGAGACTGACGTGTCGGATACGGTGTTAGCCCACGATTATTTCGTGCCAACTGTCAAGCTCGACACCAAAGGGATCCGAGTCAAGGTGAAATCGGTGGAAAAGTAGTCTTATTTTTCTCAGAATAGTCGATTGTTGCCAGTGGATGGGCCTAATTTTGTAGTCCGCCGCGTCGGGTGGTTCTGTGTTGTAATTCCGATGCTGAATCTCCGGATCGTCTTGAAAGTCAGGTACACATCTAGGCAGGAGGCAGAAATGATGCATAAAGTCCCGCTTGAACCAAAGCATAGATGACCATCCACCGAATAACCACGGAAGCTCGCTTCGGTTCCGTCTGAAGCTTGATCGCCAGCCAGATATACCACAGCGGATAGCCAGAGGACAGCCTCGTGATGATTTGTACGTGGTAACTCGTGAGTGCAAGCACGGCGAGAATGAGTTGCGGCAGGGCCAGGCTCAACAGCGCTCGTTTGCCAGTTGATACGGTTGTGGACAACGATGCTGTCGAGTCTCGGATAACAAGTTGAGGGCGCCGTAGGACATCCACGGCGGAGTAGATCAAGATCGAGAGGGTCGGTGCGGCCAAGAGAAACAGCGGGAGATTCGATATGGTCCAGTAGCGAAAGAGACCGACGTTCCTGGTCGAAGTACTTTGTTAGCGGTGGGCCATACATGGCGACTCGTGGACTCCCTCACCAGTAATGAGATTGGACAAAGGTGAAGATGGACGGGAGTGTCTGATTGCACCAGGGTCTCCTGTCGCGGGGGTCGCGGCCGTGGCAGTATTCCCAATATGCCAGGGCTTGCGGATACGCCATGCCAAAGGCCACCAGGAGACCGCCAACCACGGCCGAGGCCAGCCAAGTAACCCGCGAAGCCGAGATGCCCCCGGAGAACATAGCAAGGAACATGGTAAGCGCTTCGACAAGGAACGGTATTCCAGCCAATACGCCATTGCTCCGAACGATCGTAGCAGTACTAAAGGACATCGCTGTGGAGATCATCGTGGTACAGGCGGCGAATACTTGACCTCTGTGGAAATGCTGGGTCGCGTGAATATATCCCAAAAAGCCAGACATGGACAGAAACGCAAAAACGCTTTCGGAAGAAGGGGCAGAGAGAAACACGCCCGCAGGAGAAATGATATGGAGTGCAGCGGCGGAGAATGGGACCGGAGACTTGGTGGGTTTGTCGGTTCCGGTTAGAGATTCTGTCAATGCCCATAGCTGGATAACTGACAGCCAATGGGCTATGTGCGATAAAATGATTCCGGCCAAGGATGATGATGGCCCTCCGGCGATTCCCAGCTGGGAGAGGTCTGGGATATCGTCAATAAGTGAGCTCCGAACGCATCAAAGGGGGGAATGAAAGATACATGTGCTGGTCCATGATATTGCGGTCGACAGACCAATGCCAAACGCCCATTCCTGCTCAAAAACATGTCCTTGGTCCGATAGGTGCGTGTAATATATAGCATCCCATCGAACAAGCTTCATCCACCAGTTTGACATGTCGTCTGGGGTGTCTGATATGGTTTGCTGACCTCCATCTTCCCAGTCCAGGAGGCTTGTGGACGTGTCGTATCCGACGCCAGGGGCGGCCAAGGTGATGAGGATTATCACCGACTTCCAAGCGACAAAGAGCACAAACAGGGTGAGAATGGGATGGCCCTGTCTGTAGCTTGACCAGAGCGAAGGCGTCATTCTGCCCTCGCCGTGCTGTGCTGTTTGTGAGTAAATCATTGGGCCCCTGAGTTGTGAATGGCGAAATCTTGAGTTTCTTGTCTTGCGCAGCGCAAAAGATCCACCGTAGACACAGCCGCAGTTCCGCCATAGCTGGCAGCCGTCACCTTGGCGTCAACAACTCCACCGTAGCAGCCAAATCTCAACCGGCTGCCAATCTACACCTCGTACGGGATATATACACATTGGAAGAGCTGGTTCGTCACAATGAAGCATTTGTGATCTGGCTTAGCTTAGCGGATATCCCACTAAGCGGTGCTTTGCTTCACACTTGTCGTCCTACCTCCTCGACGTCTCAAGGATGAAATCATCTACACGAACCTGGCTTACGAGGTGTTCACTTAGGAGAGTTTGCGTAAACGATTGAGGCGGCAAAGCTTCCTACTGGGATGGTACGGGGGTCTTCCAATGTCAGTTTGTGTATTCACGGATCTATCCATCTGGGGACCTTCTAGCATCAGAGAGTCCGCCGGACAACAGACCTTCGAAAAATCATGTGATAAAACCGCTCCCATGGAAGATTGACGAGGTGTACTCTAAGCGTAGGAAAGTTCATCTCCATGCCTTGGGCATGCCAAGAGCGCTGGAGCCGGTCAGTATTCCATCTGTTGCTTTGTGGAGGAAGTGCCATGACCTTGGACGCCATTTGCTAACAAACACCAAGGCTCCAACGGAATCTATTGGCTGAGCTCTTATATGGCTTCTTCATTCTTCACTAGCATGATTCCAAAGGTTGAACCTCCGCATCAAGTCGGACAAGGTCCCTGGTTGTCGAAAGGCGTAGTGCCTCCAAGGGCACTCACTGTCCCTGCTAGAAGCTTGTTGAGGAGATGTGTTAGCGAGAAGGAGAGAGTTTCGTTATGGTATCCGCGTGATTTGTGTCAACACTCGACAATCAGTGTGGGATTCTGGGTCACAAGCAGCCATTGAGCATACCAAGAGCACCACTTTTGCGATGGGCGGGCGGGTGTGCGTCGGTTAGAACAGATTCCGTTCTTTGACATGTGCACCATGTGCATGGCCTGGGACCATGAGTGATACTGATTTTTGCTTTTGCACTCAAGACACGACTTGTACCCCTTTTGATCGGACAACTCCTAGTCTCTTTGGCTGGTGCTGGGTGGATCATGGTAGTGCTCCAGCCAACTCATTCTTTACCCAATTTTGGGTGGCTGAGTGTGTTTGGTTGAGGAAAGTCCCTGCAGGTTTTCCATGACTTTGGGTGATGGGAAGCAATTCCGGGTTCTATGCCTCTCCCAGCCCGTCAACTCTCGTGTGCAACTTGTGGTATGCAGCTTTATACGGAGTCCTCACCTCAGGCGTAGTGCAGGATGCCTATGCTAAGCGAACGAAGTGGGCAAAGATCGAATCCCCGTGGGAGGGACACGTGCGTCATGTGGGATAGTGTACACTGTATTAAATGCCGTATCGCCATCGTAAAGCCGGCATTGGCGACAAGTCGCGATACCTCTGGATTCAGCAGACGACAGCTTGATGACATAGTCAAGGAAGGAGCTGGAAGAATGTCCTAACTTTAGCCACAGGGCCAAAACAATGTCAGGAGACTATTAACTCGGCCTTTGTGGATTAGCTCAAAGAAAACCTAGTGAGAATCTTGGTCGATAGGAGTGCGACCCCTGTAGGCCCTGGAGACTCAACTTTGATAAGCCTTGGGGTGAGTGTGTAAATGGCTCTCAATCAGCACGGATTGTTGGTTTTGGGGCAGTTATTTCTCTTGGAAATGTTTGTGGCTTGCATAGTCACAGCAAAACTACCTCGTGCTGGCTGAAACAATGGGTGGGTAGACAAATAAATCCATTCGGCGCGATAAGTCGCATACGGGAGTAGCACGAGTACCACTGACGCAATGACATATCCGAAGCGAGGTGCGCTATCACTTGATGTGGCTAACGGTTTTACCAGAGAGTCTCAACCCTACGTTCGGGAAGTGGTACGCCTTACATACTGGAGGAGGTTACCGTAAAGTCTTCTGGGGCGAGTCAGTTAGTTGGAGGACTTTGGGAGGCGCCGGATGATTGCAACTTTCAGCTGAAGAGAAATGGAGCAACCTCGTCGGAAGAGCGGCGTCCAGTTACCAACTGATCATACCGAGGGTTGATGGCACAGCGCTGTGGTTTGTGCAGGAAGGCCACGAGATCACCACGTGGACCACCCTTGCAGCCACGTGTACGTCGTGCTGCTCAACTTGTTTTCCCGGGGATGTAGTGTGCAGAAGGCAATGGAGCTCCAGCCTGTTTGTGGCAATAGCTTCGTGCAGATTCTGATGTGGACACAGACCGGCGACCATCAAGGGCATGAAGGGGCATGAAGGGACCTGAATCGTGGTTCCTATTGGTAGCTGCATGGGACATCGACGGCTGAGGGGACCCAGTCTGCACCATTCACTGCATGGCAGGGAAGTGCATGGTATCCAGATCGGGATCAATGGAAGTGGGCGTCGACCAGAAAGGGATGGTGACCGATTGGCATCTCACCAAAAAGGGAGGTCCCAATAATATGCGTGGGACAAGGCTCCAACCTCGGCGCTCCGTTTGGATCGCGAAAGGTCTCGAGGGACAATTTGTCCTGGAAACATGCAGGTGGTCGACTCGGTCGCCTCGACGAGTGCAGAGCCAGGCCGCCAAAGCATAGGAGAGTCGATGTCGAGAAGAGGGTTTTCGTAGTTCGAAATCCTTCTGACCCCCATGCCACCACGAAATCGTGCTTCCTCAGAAAACGTGGCGCGTACACACGACGATCTGGAGCGGTCCATTCTGCCGGGGTTATGTCAGAGGCTGACCAGGCTGCATGGCCTGGACCCTCGTAAGCATCTAGAACCACTATTCGTAGAGACAGACCCCTTGCACCCACATGCATATTCCTGAATAACCGATGCGCAAACTTCGACGAGCAATATCCATCAACGACAACAAGCCCAGCGCCCATTGGAGGGGTGGTCCGTCCCGTGTGGTAAAAAAGCGGCGCCACATGGATGCTCCCAGCCCTGATCTCGGACCGTGCTGTTTGCGTGAATTCGAATTCCCTGACATGAAAAGAGGATCCCTCACATCGGCGCTGGAAGTCGTCTCTGGCGGCGGTCGAGCTGCTCCATTTACTCCTTCGCATAACTCGATGGCGAACTGTGCTGTCACATTTTGTTCGAGGCGGCATTTAATTGCCATGGTCTACATTACAACACCCTCCCCTCGGGGACAGAAGTGGGTATGTGCCTGACCGAGATGCTACCCACCGCAACACGGGTAAATCGGCTCGTGTGCCCTGGCAACCAAAGGAGAGTGATGTTGCATGCAAGCGAGGTTGCTCGTGCGCCGTGTGTAGTGAAAAACTGCTTTAGAAACAGCTCTCTGAGGATGAAAAACAGCCAATCGTCGAGCTTCGTCTCAACCAGGGGTAACCATCCTTAGTCAACCGTCATATTGAGACCATTTGACTTGAAATAGATTCGCCACTTTCTCGCTGTAATTGAAAGTGGCCAAGGCTCTGCGGGGAGTTTGGCGACATCTTTTCGTGATTGCTTCCTTGCCAGCTTCTCGCTTGAGCGATCCGAGCTTAACGGGAAAGCCGTAGTTAGTTTGCGTTAGACCGTATGGTATCGCATTGCGCCACTTGCCCCGCAAAGACTGGGGATTGGTTTGTCGATGTCCCCCTGTGCATCGTGATCAATGCTGGATATTGTTTTTCTTGTGAGCCACCACCGACATTGTGGACTATTGAGGACACAGCGTCGAATACACTCGTGAGGCTCCAGATGGCGGTGCAGGCGTGGGTGGTGGAATGACTTCCCAATGGCCAATAGATGCTGGAGCCGTCCTTGCCACGAGAGTCGTTCCCACTGAACATGAGATCCCTTCACAACCACTGTGAAACCACACAGGTAGTTGGCCACATGGGATGTTGACGTTGTGTTTGAGTGTCATTTCCATCAAGTTCTCAGCTCCGGCAGAGTCAATTTGCTTTGTGATTGGGCCCTCAGAGCCCTGATTGATATCGGCATCCCACGCAGATGGGTCCAGTAATGCGGATGACAGCAATGCAACGCAAAGTTCCTGTGGGTGGGGGCCATCTGCACAGACACGCAGACATGGGTAAAACAGCTTTATGTGACGGGCACAAGACCATCGTTCTCTGGACTAGCGGCGGCGTCTCTCCTTTGTCTGGTAAGAACCCTGTGCAGCCTCTTACGTGCCCTCACCTATGCCTTCTTGGCCAGAAAAATATCCCCTGCTTCCCTTTTTTGACTCGTCCCTGGTTCAATTGGCCATGAGGCTTGCTTCGTTGGTGAAGCGGGCATAAGCCAATTTGGCCATCGTCGTATCACGGGGGCCGCCGTGAATCACTGAGCCTTTATCGGGTGGGCCAATTTGCGGACCTGGAGGACTCAGCTTGTCAATTCTTCTCGACGGTCCTAGCCGTTTCCAAGCTCCAAGCGCCCTAAACCTGCATCAAAACCTATGCCGCACTATTGAGTCATGATGTTGATATGTTCCTTGCCTGACTGGAGGCATCCGAACCACAACAGTAGCAACAGCAGCAGCAATCCAATCAAAGACCCTCTCGCTTGCGTAGCCGCTAGCATCCGTGTTGGTCGTTTTTCTTTGCTTTCCATGTGCTAGGTTCCTCAGGTTGGGTCTTCAACTCTCAGCAAGCCTGTGGGCTGCTAGGCCGGCTCTTCTTTCCCTTTGCACAAGACCATTCAGCAAAGGACCAGCTGCAACTATCGACGCTTGGGATGCAAGATCTCGGTTCAGGGGGGGATGAGCTCATCCATTTGACACGGTTCTGATTCGTGCTACCGAAGGACGAGGATACACGGGTTAATAGCTCAGAGCGGCGTCGATTGCTGTGGGAGGGTAGGGCTGATCATGTGTACAGACACGTTGTGACTTGCGTGGAGACGAGCTGTCAATTCATATGATTGACCCTGCGTTGACCGCACTTGAGGCGGCGACGAGTGTATAATAAGACAAGGAGGAGCGGAGTGGAGGAAAATTGTAGATTTTTCAGGCTGCGCAGTCATTTCTGTGCGTGCACTTACAGTCTCCTGCTGCTCGTTACTTCAGACAACATTACGTCGTAAACAACAGCAGAGAACTACAGCCTCGAACCTCATTCGTTTCACATCAAAAGCCAGGAGTCTGAGGACAAGAGGCCTCTGTGACGGCATTACCACCTCACACCCCTATTCCCTGCCCTTGTAGACACCACATATCGAGGTCTCTCTGAATATTCCCTTCTAACACCCCACCTCGACTCAGCGCCAGCATCCGTCGTCTCCCTCTCGTCGCACTGCTGTTCGAGTTTGACCATTTACGAACATCCTCAGTCCTGTGCGTTGTCTCCAAGCCACAGCCTCGACCCTTTCGTCCCTGCGCGCGAGAGACAGCATCGATGCTTTCCCGTTCAAGAACCTCATTGACACAAGATCCTCAATTTTCAGCGTCGTTATCTGTGTCTCAACGCCTTTCCAACTTCGAGTCACTGTTCACCTCAAGAGTCTGCACGGTTGTGACGCCTCGCAAAGTGCCAGCGATCATTTTACCTAACAGTTTCTTCTGGGTTCTTTGAGGACCTTTGAGAGTCAATCTGTGCATCACTTGCGGCGCGGTATTGCGCAGTTAGAGGTTGTTTGAGATCAGGCCTTCTCATCCTTCACTGTATTAATTGATCCCCAAGTGCCGACAGACGAGACTATCGGAATTTGAGCAAAGGCGCGCTGGTAGAGTGCGAAACAAATTTTCACACAATCACTCGCTTCCGCAGAACACTGCCAGGACCAATATGCTCTCTCAGCCGCTCACTGCAAGCTCTTAAAAGGTTGATCAACTTTACAACCAACCCTAGCCTCGCCCGTACTGTCATTACCAGGAAATGATACCTATGCTAAGCCCGCGAACCTGTCGGACCTTGAATGGAGTGTCCTCAACAAATTTCAGCAGATTTGTCTGTCAGAGTTTTGTCGGGCTCATTTGCTGCGTCGCGAACCATTGTGCTGGGTCCTGGAACAGCTGGAGCAGCATGCTGATTGTGTGATGCTGGCAACTAACGAAAGCATCCCAGCAAACTTGCTTCACGTTCCCAGTCTTACTTTTGACTTGTTTAAGAAAAGGTCCTCCGAACGACCCCTAAGCCATCATATCGCTGTCTGAGACAACCTTAGCAGCGGACGTGATCATCCATAACCGGGACGAAAATCCATCAAACCTTCCCTTCCGCAAATCATCGACCAGAGCAGGTCCTCTCTACCCGGGAATCGACCGCACATTTAATCCTGTCCTCAGGGCAGGCGTGGTTTCCTTCTCCAGACTCTGTCCGATACACAAACTCGACCCTCCTGCTCCATCTTCCAAGTGTCTATATTCCACTTGTCCTTCATCATCTTCACCATCTCTTGGATATATTCTTCCAGCATCCCTCCTGGACACAGTCCTATCCAGCAACATTCTTCCCTTCTTACAACCATCTCGTCATCTCTTATCCAGCACATATGCTGAACCAAGCGCCCCGTTTCCCTGGAAGCCGGAGATCCCAAGTTCAAGCTCCGACCAAAGCCCTTATGCGCGGGCCACCCGCCCTTGTCCACGCCTCTCTCACTGAACGTGTCCAGTCTAGGCTCCACCTCGCCAGGTCTGTTGCTGGCAAAGGCTGGATTCTAAAATGCAGCAAGAACATGCTTGGGGAGCTGCAGAGCTGACAAAACCGGTGGCCAACAGAGATATGTATCGGATGACGGTCAAGCAGCAGCCGAGTGAGGGCCAAGTGTTGTCTATTTCAAAGCGTACTAGTGGTCAGTCAGCTCGTCTTCCATATATACACAGGTACTGATCGTCACACCAGTCAAGAAACCACAGAACGACAAGGTCGCCCTCGACCCTCCTGTAGTGATCGAACTTTTGGTCTTCGACGATGATCCAACCAGATCCTGGCTCCACAGTCCATATCTGTTCTGTACGGCCGAGCTTGTGAATCTGGATGACAAGCAAACCAGGTCCGACACGCTTTCTGGAACGTTGACATCGTCACTCCATGTGGTTAAAATGGGTGACGGAAAACGTGTGTTCTCTTAACACTGCAATGTCTTTGTCGCAGCTAACAGATTCACAGTCCATGGATACTTCGTATTCGGTGAACTCACTCCGACCAGCCCAGGAAAATTTTTCCTTCGCTTCTCGCTCTTCGAAATGCGCCGCAGGTACATCGGATAGATCCTGTGACGCCCTCACTGTTGCTGACCAGTCACAAAGCCAAGATGCCATGTTTGCGCAAATGCTCAACTGCGTCGCTGGTATGACATTCGAAGGTGAGCAATTTGGAAGCTGTATTTGCAACTGAGAAGATACTCACTTGCTGTCAGTCTATTCCCGAAACAAGTTCGCTCCTCTGGCCCAGTCTACCGAATTGACGAGATTGTTGAGTGAAGGAGGTGTGAAAATCAGAGTTCGAAAAGAGCCGACGTACGTTCCCGTCCTTTTACTTGGCACTGGCGACAGTTGCGTCCTCTTTACCAGATATTCGTCCTGCTTACCGTCGTATCGAAACTGACTCCTCTATCCAGGCGTCGATTACAAAGAAACAGAGCCAACTGGGGATTCCAAGGATTCTTCGGAGGTTATGGCCAAGCTGTACCAGCCTCAGTGTATGGACAACCTCAACCATATGCGCAACCTGGCGTGCAGCAGTGGGGTCAGCACGGGAACACGACTTATAACACGAATAATGCGGTCGATATTAGAGATCGCTTGAGTGTTCAACACAACAGTATGACGGCGCCATGGCAAGGTGGCCTGCCGCAGCACGCTCCACTGCCCATGACCCCGCCCATACCACAACAACAACAGCAGCAGGAGCCTCAACCTCTGCATCGACTTCAGCATACGGCATTCTTGCACGACATGCAACAGCAGCCAGTGAGCCAGCCTCTCCCACCTTCGCAAAGCTCGTTGTTGTTGCAAGAGACACAGCAAATGTTCATGCTACCGCCGCCGCCACAGAATCAGCACCAACAACAGCAGCCGAGTTCTTTCTCGCCTCTCCCGCAGATTCTGCCACAAAATTTCAGTAACCTTCCACTAGCAGGTTATACTGTGAGAGATGCTGGGGAAAGTCGCGCGGGATATTCTACTGCTGCACAAAGCCAACAGTATTATGCCACAAGCTCGGCCAATACGATGCCACAGTTCACAGTGGCGGGTGATCAGATGGCTTATACATCCTCGTCCGACGGGCAGTTGATGTATTCCACCACGCTAAATAACCAGATGGTACCCACGACTTCGCCGGGGACCGAATCGAGTCAAGGCGCATCTTCAAATGGCGTGGGCCAACAACAATATCAATATCGTGTCCCGGATTTCGACACTTTGCAAGATCCATTTGATCCAAGCTCTTCACTGGGAGGATTCCTCTAGGGGTCGCATCGTCTTGTGAGAGCGGAACTTAACACCCGGGGTGCGGTGAGAAGTCGTTGACTCTGGGGGACCGGGTGTGATTGTGTTATGGACGGGAGTATTCTCTCAGACTCGAAGAGACAGGGATGATGAAGGCTAACGTATGACTTTGCTATTGCTCTTGCATGATGTTTCTCGCTTGGGTCTTGTTATTTGTTGGATTTTGGTTAAAAGGAGATGGCAGGCCTAGAGAAAGAAATGGATAGGACGGGTTATCGGAACTGGATTGGAAGGAAAAGTGATTTTTTTAATAGTGGTTATAATTGTTTTCTGTTACTCAGTCAATTGTTAAACGGGAATGCAATAGAAGGAGCTGTACTCACACAGCTATCATCCATCGAGGACGCATACCCTTTCCCTCTTCCTTGTTCTTCCCCCTACGCTGTTCGTTGCTTGCGAGTCCAATCAAGGCCATCGGTGAGAAGACATGAAACTGCGGTCAGTCTCGCACCATGGCAAAGGCCACCACGCGCTTCACATCCTCGACTAAAGGTCGGTGTGTCCATGAAGGACACAGAGAGAAGATCTGTGAAATGAGAAAAGGGCGTCTGTTATATACGTTGGTAACAAGGAGATTGCGATGGGGGGAATTTTGTTGAAGTGAAGGAGAGGCACTAAGGACCCTGACCCGGTGGTGTAGCATCAACTAGGCCAGCTCAGACTCCTGATACTCAGCTCGAGTGCACGGCCAGATTTCGCCGATGCTTCAATGGAGGAAAAGTTCTGTCAGAGTGGTGGTAGCGAACGAGGTGTGCAAACCTAATGAAGATTGCAACAAAGAATTCACCATGAGGCAATTTAGTACACGATCCACGGATTTCCATCGCGCCAACAGCGGCCACATCACCAAGAGGAAACCTTGTATGGTTGTCCAGAGAATCCTCGAAGAACTCGCTACGGCATTAATTTCCAGGACGATATGCCGATCAGATTTCTCTCCCCCCACTAGCATTGTGACAGAACAGCAAGTGAGTACCTCCTAAGGTTGTATACCCAATGATGCCTCAGCTCCCACTCATACAGCTTGCAGCCTCTAACACGATCGAATTCTTTGTCCTTGAGGCATCCTCTCGCACATGTCCGCTCGAATACGGTTCATATGACCCATCATCATTACACTGCAGGATGCAAATCAGGGATTGAGCTGGAGAAGGCTTAGCATCCACACCATGATTGGCTCTATCCCCAGTCTCTCTGATTTCGCAGTCACGAAAGCGACGTGGCCTTCCACTCGTTTCCTCGGCAAGGACAAACGATAATTTCACTTCGAGCGATACGTCCGGGGATGGAGGTCGAGCCCAGCCACCAAGCACAAAGTCATTCGAGCCGCCGGAAGCAGACAGATATCCACCAAAGCGGCACCAGCTGAGGAATTCTGAAACTCTTAGAGCAGAAGGTAAATCAGCACCGCTACGGTTACGTTCGGATTGACTGGCTAACCTACTATGTTCGGCAGCAAATGTGCTCAATGCCATGCCTGATCTACACTTCTCTTAGTGCGGACTCATTTGGGGATAAAGGGAATCGCGAACAAAGAGACCAGACACAAATTCAAGCTGAGTTAGATGTCTGCTGGTCTTAATAAATTGCGCTCCAATGAGCTATTGACATATGGGTGCTTATTACTCGCTTTCAAACTCGTTTCTTGGTCCAGATCAAATGAAAGCACAGACCCGGACTAGGCTCTCCACAAGTGATGGTCTGGCAGACGTGGCCTGGAACATCGAATCAGACCATTCAACCATCAGAAACACAACAATGACCCCGGGGTCACCGGAAGATCCTGTGGTTACATCGGCTTCGTGCCATGGACGATAACATGGCTCCCTACGGCATTTTCCAAACCAAGTGCCAGATGGCCCCTTCCGTTAGAAGGTTATGATGACTTCGATGGCCTCCTTCCACAGAGTTCTCTCATTGCATTTTTTTGTCGCGGCACCTACGACTGTTCTTAACAACAAGCTAAATAGTGTCATTTTCCAGGTCAGTGTGCCCCTATCTACAGTACTAAAGTTTCATTCTGTTGAGCTACATATTGTCATAGTTGCCTACGGACCTGTCTCGGCGACACACGGCCTTACGCTACTGCAAAGCAATTTGATATCATCCACGTTAGAACCGACACGCAAATCCAAGAGCAGTGCTGGTTGGTACGCACAAGGATCTCCTCACCGATGCTTCATAGCTGAGCCAGGCCAACCGACAGTGTGCCTTCCTCACGGTGTTCTCGTGCCAGAAAAAACATTGGCAGTTCGCAGTCGTAGCAAGGCCGCTTGTCGCCTTCGATGACTCGTTGACTTCTTTGTTGGCTAGGGGATATAGCAAGAACCTACAAGCGTCTGGTCTCTGGAAGGATCGTTTTCATCCTGCAAGTGCGTTTCAATCTCCTTCTGACATGGGGAAGATGCGAAGAAGCTAAAATATATTCCTCGCAAAGGAGGTGAGCTGATCAGAGCAAACAACAACGATATGAATCCTACGACGGAAAAATCGCCTTCCGCAATTCTTCATCCACACAGTCATCCTTCGAACTAGGACCCTCCTTTCTCCAAGACAGCCAGTCTCTCGCCATCGCTCCATTCTGACTTCTCAAGACACCTACTGACACGTCGACCACTTCTGGCCGATTGTTGTTCCAATAGAATACAGTTGCGCCACATCTTCCACAGAAGCTCCTGCATGCATCCTTGCTAGACCAAATATGCCTCAAGGTGGTGACCTGATTTGAGCCTTCTTCGTCAGTCTCTCGACCAAACTTCACAGTAGCCCCTGTGTCGGCATGCCGTATATTGGAGGGGGGAATGTACACCCAGGGCTGGAAAGAGACTCCAAGGGCCAACCTGCATGAGCGACAGGCACAGAGGCCCGCAACATAGTGGGTCTTCTCTTCGGGAATATACCTCTGTGGAAGTTGCAACGATTGAAGATCTGGACGGGTGATTTGGATGTGGACTCCTCCGCAGTGACATTTGGCATCCAAGGTCTCGCTCTCGATGGCTGGTGCGCGTTCGGCGAGCAGGGTGAGTTCCCGCAACTCGACCTCGCTGACCCGTCTGCTGGTGTGAGGACGTCCCTCCCAGCATTCGACCTCCCGTCCTTCGAGTTTGACCATTTGCGGTGCCAAAGCGCCATCTCCTGTGTCGGTGACGAAGATGTGGTGAATGGGTCGAGTAGTGTTCTTTGCGTGGGACTCAGACCCCGTCTGCTCGAGCACACCGCCCATAACCCACCATCTGCTTGCATCGTCTCCTGTTTCCTGAATCAACATGTGCGACCCGCATTTGCCGCAGAACCACCTGCGACGTGTGCCCGAGCTGTCGTAGGGGACCGTGCGCTCCAACACACCCTGAGGGGGAGGCTGTGGTAGCTCAGGAGACGATAGGTACAACGCCCCAGTCGCGTATCGGCAATCGGAGCAGTGACAGAAATCACTATCCATGGGCAGCTGCTGATCGCTTGGGAGAGCGTACGAGATGGCTCCACACAGACATGTCGCCGTGACGCGTGGTGAACCAGGCTTCTGTGTCGTGGCCATACGTGCAGAGCTGTGCCCTTTGGTAACACAAAAATCTCAGTTTAGTGGGATGTTTCTGGTATGTGGGATTTGAGCCTTGATGCGTTGAGTTCAGTTGAGTTGAGTGCGTTGTGTGTTGGGTGGTTGATCGTCATTACCTACACGACGTCTTATGTCATTTTTCAGGCCACAGTCCTTGTGGGTGGGTGCCTTGTCCCGGTAGCCGTATTTCGTTAGGCCGAACTCCACCTCGTGTAACCGATGCTAACCTCGCGCAGTGTTTCGCCGTTTTCCTCTGGATCCACTTGGTGCCACGTCCACCTCCACATCGTCACCTCCGCATTTTTACCAAGACCCCTTCGATCCTCTGTGCCGACACAAGGCTGAGGCCCCTTAAGTTTGGAGCTGCCGGAGACAACTTGTGACTCACTATGTACCACGCGGAATGCTAGTGAGCGCTTGAAGATAGAAATGTCACGAGAAGAAGAAAAATGAAATGTAAAGAACAAAAATTTGAAGAGAGAGCAGGCGTACTTGAGATACGCCGGAGTGCATGGGCAAACTTATCGACTTCGTTGTTGATCGTCAACTACCACTAAGATGTACCAAACTTTCTTGAAGCTGCGATCGAAGGGACAGGGTGCAACGATGAAGAAACCAGCCTGACCCTCCACCCAAGATATGCATTATATGGACTTTGGTAGGTTTGCAAGACAGCTTTGAAACGGAGTGAGAAGAGAATTATTGCACCTCGTACATAAGAATTATATCCGCATCCACATTCAACGTTTCCTGACAACTTCGTACCCACTTATTCTCCCCGGCGTAAACTCCACCCCGTCGCTCGAAAAAGAAATCTGAAACCAGCTGGTGGTGCTTCTTCTTCTTCTTCTTCTTCTTTTTCATCGGCCCGTTCTAAATTGTGCTGCTTTGCTTGTGAGTGGCGTTAATGTGACTGGTATTCCCAGAGGATGTTTTTTTCTCTTTTGGTTAACCTTCAGGACTAGATGGGTAGGTATCGAAGGGGCGATTCGTGGGTCTCTAGGTAGAGACGCTAGACCAGAACCACACGATGTTGATCAAATCCTTGTCTCGGCCCAAAGCGACAACTGTGGCAACGAATCACCGCATGAGCCGCGGTCATGCACGAGGACGTCTCAACTCTGATCAATCTACGAGTCTCTTGCGGGTTTTAAGGTGGCGACTTGATAGCAAATCGTGTATTTGTCATCCCTTGCGCACCCAGAAAGACAGCAATAGGTTCGCCATGTGATATTTGTATTTGCTGACACTGTGACCTGCATTAGGTACATACATCCACTGCTCGCCTGCGCGGCAGCACGCACGTGAGTCTCGCTCAATACTACAGAGGGTCGCACGTCAATGTATGTCTGTGGTACTAAGTGTCTGTTGTCTAGGCTGGACATCATCCAAACCATACGTCGCTTCTCTGCGACTAAGCCTCTCAAATCTCAGACACGGTGCCCTGGACCTCGCCACTAAACCTTCTCAACACGCTGCGGGATGGTGGTAACGGCCACCTCCTCGAGCTGTTGGACGTGCTGCACCTTCTCCTCAACAACGTCCAGATCGACGTGGGCAACCTCAGCGTCCTCGCCGTCGAAGATCTTGGCCACCTCTTCAAGCGTCACGCCGCGCGTTTCGATGAACAGGAAAGCCACGAAGATGACCTCAAAAAGGAGCCAGCCCTGCACAAAGCAGCCAAGCGTCAGCAAAACGTATCCCAGCAATCAATTGCATGCTCGATCACAAAGAGGTGGACTTACACAGTAGATTGAGTAGAACCTCCAACGTGGTTGGAGATGCGCGAGGCCGATCGGGTTGATGTACCTAAATTACAATCAGAAAAACTGGGATCTCTTTTCATTGGCCGAGTTGACTTACTGGTTAAACACGAGAGCGGCTTGAACGAAAAAGTTCATGAGCATGAGACCCTACCGGGCCACCGTCAGTACAAGTCGTTCCCCAGAAAGGTCGTCTCTGGACGGTCTCTCACCTTTGCACGCAGTTTGTACGGCATAATCTCGACTGTGTACCCCACCAGCAAACCGGACCAAGCAATGTTGTAGAAGACACCGTGAAGGAAGATGAAGAAGATGACCGTCTTGCCTGCCGCGAGGTTGCCGTCGAGGTCATATAGAGCCGAGCAGGCCGTCCAGAGGACGAAGCTCACAAACATACCTGTTACGGAGAATTAGCACAAGACAAGATAGCTAGAGTCTCAAAGTTACTGACCCGCAGTCGCAGTCAAGAATAGTGGACGTCTGCCGAACCGGTCAACGACTGCTGCGGCGATGAGTCCGACAATGAGCTACGAGCAGGTCAGCGATCCAGCCACCTTCGAATCGAAAGTGACCTACTGAGAGAATGGTCTTGGATCCGTTGATCTCAAACTGCTCGTTTTTATCTGTGACACCAATGCTCTTCATCACAATGGCAAAGTAATAGCTGGTCAACCCATTGCCGCTCCATTGGGAGAAGAGACCGAGGGCGACGACAAGCAGCAGTCGATAACGGTTGCCCTTGGTCCGCAGGAAATCCAAGAAGCTGCTCGACTTCTTCGACTCGAATTCAAGGCGAAGAGTCTCCCTGATTTCGCGGTACTCGAACTGGACTGTGAGGTCCATCTCGTCCCCATTCGAATGGTACTTTGCCAGTGTTGTCAGGGCTTCCGCATGGCGATCCTTCGAGATCAGCCAACGGGGTGACTCTGGGATGATCCAGATGAAGCAAAAGAGGATGAGGGTTGGGAAAGCTTGAAAGATCGACGGGATGCGCCACGACCAGTTGTTCTTGATGGTAAAAGTGCCAAAGGTGATCCACGTCGCTGCAATGGAGCCAATGTCCCAAAGCTGATTGTAGACTGTCGTCACTCTCCCGCGATGTTGCGGGTGGCAGAGTTCAGTCAGAAGGAGAGGAGCCGAGTTGGAGCACATGCTGTTGCCGAATCCAACAAAGAAGCGGCCGGCGATGAACATGGAAAAGTTTTGGGAGGCACTTTGAATAGCGACGCCGGCGAAAAGGAAAAGGCAGCCAGCCATGATGGCGATGCGTCGGCCATAGATGTCGCACAGATATGGCCTGACGGTGTGATCAGCGGCGGTCTTCGTTCAAGAGAGGTCAACCTACGCAAACGGGAGCCCTGCGAGACTTCCAATGCTATATATCGACCCAAAGAGACCGAGAATCGATCCAGTGGGATGGTTGAAGTAGTCTTGCCAGACGTCGAGAATTTGGAGGCCGTTCAGCATCGACCTGGCGAGTGTGAGCAGTGAGACAGAAAGCCTGGATGGGAGACAGACCCGTCATATCCTGTCGTCGCCGAGGCAAAGAACAGCGCAATGGCCAGGCCATAGAGCTTCCTCAGACCTGGGTCCTTGTACCAAATGACCCGTCGAAGCGCAGGAGCCTCAGCAATGGCCACCTGTCGCTCCGTCTTGTGGATAGGCTGCACGACCGCGATACCGACCATTCTGAAAGATATGCCCTTTGTGGAGTCTGGAATACTTCAGCAATGGAGTAGAAGACTGCCCGGGTTCCCAGATGTCTGGGGGTCACTTCCACGCCAGCATATATGTCCTCCGTTCGCCATATCGAAAAGTACTGCCGAGGGCCTTGGTATAGGCGGGTAGCAAGCAGCACCATGCCGTTCGGCTGTATTATTCGCGACGCCTTTGTCGAATCAGGAGATGGCCAAACTCCATATGCCGGGGGGGGGATATTGAAAGAGCTGCAGGTACCTCAATTCAGCCTTCTTTAGGCTAATAGGAGAACGCCCTGTCCCAGGTTCGACCATCTCCAACCCGTCGATCACTCCATGGAGTCGTTGCGGGATAGTTTATTACCCCAAACTGGATCCTGGGGTCTGAAGTCAAGCACGCCTCATTCGCTCGTCAACCCAGGCTTGTAACAGCTTCGGGGGCCAGGCGGTAAGCACAGCGCAGATAGTTGTGTTAATTGCGGTGGAGCTAGTGGCGGAAGATATTGATCCTACCCTGTTGCCATTTTACACGGTCTGATGGTGCAAGGCATATGTTGATACGAGTCAGTCGCGGGCGAGCTACTGTGAAGACTTTGATTCCGATGTAGCCCCGACGAGATGATTTGGTGAGTTGCTTTGAACATTGACTGTCTATTACCCAAATGGGAAACTGAATTGCCAGATCCAGGGTCCATTTCTTCCTTTGCAATAATTCGCAGTTGCAAGACGTGCTGCCTGGTGCCTTGGGAGTATGACTGGTTGTTTGCTCTCGATGACCTCCGCCAGACTCAAAAGGGAACTTCCAACACATTTTCTTGGGAGTTCAGCTCCTCTGGCCTCCCACGAGCATATCAAGAGACCCCGCAACAGATATGTCGTGTCAAAATTGCCACAAATGCCCCGCTGCCGGGTATGTCCTCGCACCCGTGGGCCAAACCCGTTGGCCCCATATCTCGCTGTGAGCCAACAAGGAAAAGAGAGGAGAGCGGCATTTCTTCTACAACTCCCCGGGTGACTGTCCGCTCGGTGTTCTGATCCTAGTAGCCCGTGCTATCATCTGAGGTTTGGTAGGGAACATTCCGGCTAAATACAATCTCATGTCATTGGTGAAAGACATTAGGGTTGCAAGATCCCGTGTCGCGGTCGTCCTTTGGTATTTCCGCTGCTTATAACGTCGAAAGTCGAGTATTAAGGCTGAACAGGGCTCAAGATTTTGATATCTCAAGAGAGGCACCTACGTTTTTATAGAATTGACTGACTCGAAAGTAACAATGGAAGGCAGAAAGTTCCGGCATCTGACTTCTGAGCAAGTCGACTGTTTCATGAAGTATGGTTATCTTCGCATTCCAGGCTGTTTCACTCGCGAAGCTGCTGAGGAATGGACAAAGGATGTCTGGGTGAGGCTGGGCTTTGACCCTAAAAACCCCGACACCTGGACGACTGAAAGGACCAACATGCCGGGTCACGGAGAAGTATTGGTCAAGGATTTCGCGCCCAAAGCATACAACGCCATCTGCGAGCTTGTTGGAGGGGAAGAACGCATCACAGAGGAATCCAAGTCGTGGAGGGACAGTTTCATCGTCAACCTGGGAACAAAAGAGCACGAGGGAAAGGAAGCACATCCCAAAGAGTTACCCGGGTGGCATGTGGATGGAGACTTCTTTGTCCATTTCCTAGATTCTCCAGAGCAGGGTCTGCTTGTCATCCCTCTGTTCACAGATATTCTGCCCAACGGCGGCGGAACCTGGATTTGCTCCGAAGGGATCCCCAAGATAGGGAAGTGGCTGTATGACCATCCCAAGGGCGTCCTTCCACGAATGACGCCAATCGGAGCGACGGAGAATTTCGAAGACGGTCTGCAATTCTACAACAATCTCGTACAGGGCTGCGATGACGCCTCTTTCCACGAGATGACAGGTTCGGTTGGCGATGTCATCCTGCTGCATCCCCTGATGCTACACTCGGCTTCAAAGAACGGACGCCGCTTACCCCGGATCATCACCAACCCGCCGGTCTCGCTGGTCCAGCCCTTCGAGTTCGACCGCGAGGACGAGAGCCAATACAGTCTTGTCGAGCTCAAGACGATCAAGGAGCTCGGAGGACAAGACATGCTGCGAGGGTGGAAAATTCAAGGGAAGAGGGACGCTGTCGTGCCAGAGCGAGTGAGGCGTCAAGCCAGGATGCTGGAGGAAGAGAAGAGAAGACTCAAAGAGCGCGAATTGCAGAGTCAGACACCACAGGCCGTTGCTGTTGCATAGAATTAATATCTGTATTCCTTTGGTGGCTGGGCAGTAGAAATATACGGACGCAGATGTTCGAGGAGCCCATTTGTGGCCATCATTTCGTCCATACCTGTGTCAGATCTATTTCATCTTGCAGATGTTTCGTCGTTGGCCATGGAGAATGGGGCTGCTGCCGCTCGAGATTACCAGCGCGGGAAAAGATGTCCGTTGATCCACTCGTTCGCCGTGGAGACGTTGTCTAGTCCATGCGTGACTCGCTCCGCAGTCCGCATCTCCAACATTTCACTTCTGATATCGACCAGCAGCCACATCTCACAACCCCTGGCCGGCCCAAGTCTCAGAACCTCTTCTGCCATGCACCAACCTTCATAGAGCGGCTTGATTGTACAGCATGCCCGCACTGGGCCGCCACGGCAGAAACGCATCTGCACCGCCGCCCATATGTCCCTAAAACCACCCCTCCTCGCCGTCCCGTCACGACACCAGCAACAACCACGAGACGACCAGCAGCAGCAGCAGCAGCAGGAAGACTACGACTTTGAGATCACGATCCGCTTCTCTGCGTCCCTGCCGGACCTGCTCCTGTCGATTCCCGCCTCCCTCAATGCCAACACGGCCACGCTGAAGCAGCTGATCCGGTCGCGCATCTCTGACGCCTACGCCAAACACCGCATCCGGCTGATCCACGCGGGCAAGGCCCTCGTCGACGATGTCCCGCTTACGGCGTCGCTGAAGAGGAACGTCTCCAGGCCGCCGAGTCGGATCGGCACGCCGGGTCCGTACGATGAGAGATCTAACGGCTCTGCCACGGCCGGGAATTCTGGGGGTGACAGGAGACTGGAACTTGGAAACAAGGGCAAGCAACCCGTGCGGGATCCGCCGGCGCAGGCGAGAATCTACATACACTGCTCGATAGGCGACATTGTCCTCTCCGCTGCGGAGTTGGCAGCCGAAGCGGCGATTGCGGCATCCGCCAAAGCGAGCGAGGACCAAGATGAGGACGCCAAAGCGGCCACAGACCCAGCGCAGCAGCAGCAGACGACAACGACGCCCGCGCCCCGCGGCTTCGACCGTCTCCTCAACGCCGGCTTCAGCGCCACCGAGGTACAGTCCCTCCGGCTCCAGTTCCTCGCGATCCAGGCGCACACGCACACGCCCGACACGATGCCGTCGCCCAACACGCTGCGGAACATGGAAGACCGGTGGCTCGACAACTCCACGACGGGCGCGAACGCCGACCTGGGCACCGACACCGCAGCAGGCTCCGTCGCCGGCATCGTCGGCGGCGACGACGACATCCAGGCCGGCGCCCTCGACGACATCATCTGGGGCACCGCCATGGGCTTCTTCTGGCCCGTCGGCTGTCTGGTGTGGGGGGTGCGTGAGGAGGGCATCTGGAGCCAGCGCCGCAAAATGGCCGTCATCGTGGGGTTTTTGTTGAACATTGGACTGGGCATAATCAGGTATACTGGTTAAAATTTTCATCTTGTTTTTTTGCAGGGTCGAGGCGGATTTCATGTATCACGAAAAGATCGACGTGTTTAGACATCTTGTCACCCTGGTAGAGCATACTGTATAATTTGTGGAAACCCTAAATGACACCCCCGTTCGAGACTTTCCTCTGATCTGATACAACGGGCTTCTATAACAAAGCGGCCCATCCCAAACAGGAAACACCTTCTGAACGCCTGCAACATCAATTCGTATGCACGACAGTCCGGATAAAGCCCCATCCAGACTGTCCATTATCCACGGTTCGACTTCGTCCAGTCGCTCAACAAGCTCAACCGCTCACTTGAACTTGCTGTATATTACACCAATGATAAGCAGCACTAGCACTGTAATGATCGCGATGGTAATCACGCGGTTTGTAGCCATTCTGTTGGGTTTCACCAAAATCAAAGCACATAATGTCAGCTCACACTCGGCTTGATCTGCGTCGTCAAAAATGGGGAGAGATTCTTACCTGCGCGCCATCCCGCGAAGCGTCTTCACACTTCGATCCACGTAGCCCTCGCTCTGCAATAGATTTCGGTGTGTGTTTTCAATCACATTCCTCTGTTGGTGTAGATCTGCCAGTGTAGACGCTCCAATCTGCTCCGTCTCGAGCGCTATCCGTTGCGACTCTCTTAACCGGTCGGAACTCCGTCCTAGTCGCTCTGTGCCCGAGAGGAGCTGCTGGCGCTGTTCAAGCTGCGCATCTCTTGGGCCCCCTTCTGGGTCGTCTGTGTACCTGTCGCCGAAGAGTTGTTTCCGCTCGGATTCGGCGAGCGATTTCAGTTTTCGTGCCAGGGTATCGATATCGGACTGGTGGTTGCGGAAGCGCGAGTTCACTTTGCTCCGCTGGGAGGTCGGGATGTTGGATTTCTCCAGGTTCATCTGGTCAAGCTACATTCGCAAGGACGTCAGAAGAGTCCAGCCCGTATCACTTTCCACAATAGCGGAAGGAGCGAAACCTACCAACTCCTTGGCCTCATCAAGAGCCCTCTCCGCGGCTCGTATCGCAACCTTTCTCTCCTCCCCCGTGAGTTCGGGGATTTGGTCCAACTTCTGATTCACGTCTGCCTGGACGAGTTTCAACTCGGCTTCGTAGGTGCTAAAAAGCTCGGAGCCCGCATCGGTGTCGAGTGGGTTCGCCATTGTTGCGAGTTGCCGGCGAGGACCTGGAAACGAGTTGCAGTCCGAGGGTATAACTCAGGGACTAGTTGCAGGACTTTGTCAGAGGAGGCGGGTTGGAAGAGAGGGGATGGGCGAGGTTGGAAAATCGGCGTGAGAGGGAGGCCGTCCGCAGGCACGAGAGTAGTGTTCTGTCTTTTGGTGCCAGAGGTGAGAAGGATAATCCGGTGAGGCGGCGATATCAGAACGTGAGTGAAGTTGAGGACGTTACGGTAGTGCCTTGGGATGTGTCCGCAGTTGACGTCGACAGAAGGACAGGCGCTCACAGCCCGGTCCTGTTTCGGAAATTCCCAACGCCGCTTTTGGCGCCCAGATTCCTCGACTCATTGCTCCCGCCTTGCCGAAGGCTGACGACAAGGGGCTTGGACTTGCACCCTGTGCCTCCGCTAGCTTCCCTTATCTCGGCTCGCTAGGAAGGAAGTCAGGAACTTGCACCCCCCAGGCAACAGCCTAACTTGAATCTGTCCTCAGCTTCTCTATCTAATCCATGCTCCTTGGACAGCTTCTCTTGCGCAATACTTTGATACAATGTCAATCTTCAACTCTCTTGTCACTGGGGAGTCACTGCGAAATTTCATCCTCATACGTGATGATCGCATCCTCATATGCTCAGACGCCAGTTGAATACCTCGTACTCTTTGAGTCCTCGCGGGCCAGGACTGCCCCGGTCAACGTTACCGTTTGCGGGCTATCATCAGGGGCTACAGCATTGTCAACAGCCACTGTTTCAACTCCCTGAGGCGCAGAAAGTTTACTTCGCATATTCTGAGGGACGCTACTGCAGTGCTAGCTTGGAAAATGACATGTATACTAGGTATACCATGTAGAATTAGAATCACTGCCAAACCAACAACGTTTTATCGTACGAGGTACTCGGTACATAATGCAACCTAGGACTTGCCCAGCAGGGTTCAATTGGGGCAAAAGCGCTTCACATTTGTGGTAGCGAGACGCCACAATCAGGTCGAGCGCAAGTACAGCGCTTATCTCAAACAATGGCGTGTATGATCGGCCAACTCTTGGGGATGACGGGGTGAGTATTTGGTGTGTACCTGGGTGCTGACATGCAGTCTTTCGTGTGAGGTGTTAAATAGATCAATCGTGTCTTCGAATCTTTCGGTACTCATCAGTCGCTGCACCTTCACTACTCTGCCACAAGAAACATGCCAAAGGCCGGCTTCAGCAGAGATGGTCGCCCCCTGGATGTTGCTGCAGCGAGAGATGAGATCCATAGAATCCGCAGAGATCGGGGTATTATCGACGACTACGACGAAAGCCAAATTCTCAAGACAGATTCGAGCTTTCAAGAGGACTACCGTCGAAGAGCTGCCGAGCACAGAGCCTTATACGCCCGATATACTAGAACGTCGGTTTCTTCCCTCTGTTCAAAATCCTGGTTGCTAATAGCAGCAGCGTCGCCGAGCAGCTGTACTCTTCCAGATTCAGGCTTATTTACGAATTGCTCCAAAATGGAGACGACTCCTGTTACGCGAATGATGTCGAGCCCTCTATCACATTTCGGATCAAGCCCTCCGAGCTGATCATCGAGTCTAATGAGCAGGGTTTCACACTCGAGAATGTTGAATCTATTTGCGATACTGGTAAAAGCTCCAAAGCCAGAAATGCCGATACTACGGGGGAGAAAGGCCTGGGTTTCAAATCGGTCTTTGGCATTGCTGACTACGTCCACATCCAATCTGGGCTCTGGTCTTTCAGGTTTGAGCATAGCCAAGGCGAAGAGGGCGTAGGAATGATCACTCCAGTGTGGACTGATGTTACGTCGCGTCTACCTTCAAATGTCGGGACGAGGTTGACACTTCGGTACTCTGACCAGCGCAACCTCTTCGCCAAACGCCTCGTGTCTGAGTTTGAAGAACTACCCAGAACAATCATGTTTGCGCTACGCAAGCTGAAGAAGCTGGTTGTCGTCGTGGATGGCGTTACTGGACGATCAGATCAAATAACTTTCGAGAAAGATGGAGATTTGAGATCCGATGAAATACGCATCAACACCACCGTGACCGGGAAATTTGGTGCCCATAAGTCAGCAACAACATGGCTCAAGCTGTTTCAACACACAGTCACCGACCTGCCTTCTGACACACATCGTACAAGTTCTGAGAGCGATGTGACCGTCGCATTTGAGGTGGATTCAAATGGCCTGCCCGTCATTCCCGCCAACGGGCAGCATGTATTCGCTTATCTTCCAGTACAGCGGATTATACAGCTCCCTGTATGTGTCTTTGACACCTTTCGCTGTACGAAGCTAACTGATCCAGTTTCTTATAAACGCGGATTTTGTCCTCACGGCTAATCGTGAGAGTGTTCCTGATACGGACTGGAATTATGCATTGCGAGACGGTGTCTCTTCGGCCTTTATCGGTTTGGTGAACAAAATTGTTACTTCTGGCGACCCTCTGGAGTTTACGTGGATGCGCTATCTCCCCGAAAGCCCCATGCAAGGCCTCTGGGAAGTTTTGGAGGAAGCCATTAAGTTCGGGCTCTGGTCTGATGAGATACGCATTATCCGGTCACGACGGAATAACCTTCGCAGCATCAAACGCATAAGAGTTCTTCCATACTGGTTCATCCACGACAACGAGCCAATCGTGGCGGACACGGACCATGATATCTACTTATCAGATGATTATGAAACAAACGATGTAAGAATCCTGCACCAATTCGGGGCAGCGCAAATCTCGTCCAAACAAATTTTGGTGAGAATACAACTTGGTCTTTCACAAAGCGCGGAACGCCCAATACATGACATACCACTGGATGACTCGTGGCATACAGCCTTTGCTGCTCTCATACTACGGCTCCTTTGGAGAGACAAAATCAAGAATATTGTCGAGGAGTTAAGAATCATCCCATTGGATGACAATGACTGGGTTTCACCCTTGTCCTTGCTTGTGGATCCTGTGTATCTACCATATCTGGTCGACGAAGACTCGGTGTCGATAAAGGTACCTGATGGTCTTGGGTTTAAGAAACTTCACGAGACGGCCACTGCAGATGGATATCGTGCGAGCTTCTACAACAGTCTCGGAATTACCTCGTGCGACCCTGATGCTGTAATAGCGAGGATCCTTGATACACACCAGTCAGGAACAAGAACCGGAACGGTGTTCACGTTCAAAACGGATCTCGAAATCCTCTTCTGGTTCGGAAAGCGACTATCCCTGTCAATGTCGAGTCAGAGTCGTCTGATACTTGTGAGCGATAAAAACAAGCCACTTCCCGGATCTTGCTTATTCTTTCCTTCGGAAGACAACTATCACGCAGAGAAACTACTTGCTGCAACTCCGGAGGAGGATTTGCATAAATGTCGTTACGGAATTCTTGCTAAACAATACCTGGAATCTCAAGTTTCCAATCACATCCGCCATGGTTTAGACTGGAGATCCTACCTTCAGAGATCGGGGGTCAAATACTTCCCTGACCTGGCGGGCAAAGTGCCCGTTGGATGGGAGCTTCATTCTTTGATGAGGCTGATCGCTCGAGACAACCCCAACAGCTTTGTCGCAAATCTCAAAGCACATTGGTCTGATTACCGTGTTGATGCATCCAGAATCAAGAACAACCTGAAGAATGTTTGGGTACCATGTCTGAATGACTCCACACAGAGGCTTTGCGACACTATTCTACCTACGCAAGAATTGATGGATAGAAGCCGAGATACCAACCTAATCAATCTCTTACCATTCCTGAAACTACCTGGAGATTTTGATACCCAACAATCCGAGGCTTGGTTCTTTTTGAAGGAATTTGGAGTGATCTGTGAAGTCAATACTAATTTTTACTTGAGAGCTATATCCCTATTAGCTGGTCTTGGAGAGGGCCAACTACTACCGACGTGTGAGAAGATATACAGCGGTATTGCGCAAACAACGGCAGTCGGAGACGCCAAAGCTGTACAGGTATGTCTTGTACTCATGCAGAGATATCTATTGACTCGGAGCAGCAAGAATTTGCGACGCGACCTTTGATCCGCTCGAAGACAACCGAGGAAGCCTGGTACAGATCAACTGACTGCATTTGGGAAGGCCCAAGCTTTCTCCAGGCGAAGCAGGCATTGAGTCCGTTGTACGAAGCCAATCAGTCTGCTTCCAGTTTCTTCAAAACTATTCTGGAAATGCGGGATGTTAGCTATAACGACTTGATCGACGAACTCAAGATGTTATCAACGAAAGTAACAACTGAATCACGCCTAACCGAAAGCGAGGCGCCAAAAGTCTATGCAGCTCTAGATGCAATGGCAAGCTCTGAGCCCGTGATCGAGGCCATTCGGTAAGGTTGTCTCTCCAAAAGAGACTGATTTCTCTGACAGCAGTCCTAGGCAAGAGTTTAATGGCAACGGTCTGATTTATGTTGGTCAAAAATGGCTGAAGCCTTCAGAGTGCTTGTGGAACTGTACTGTCACCATCTCCGGGCGTCTGCCACTGGACCACGTATACCCTGGGCTTAAAAAATTCTTTGTCGACAAGATGAAAGTCAGGACTATGAACATCAACGTTCTTTTACAGGAGCTCGGAAAAGGGGCGAAGAAGACTTCCCCCAACGTTGACGAGATCAAGCGTATCATACATACTATTGGCGAACTGCTTTCCTCAGATCCTGAGGTAGAGGTCAACGAGGAGCAGTTGAGAACTTTGGAGAAAACGGCCTTTCTACCTGTCCGTGGCCCCGACGGGCTGAAACTATTTTCCGTGGATCAAGCATTCACCATCAACGACCATCAGAGATATGGCCAGCTCTTCGAAAACAAAGCAAAGATCCTTGACTTTGGTCACGAAGAGATGACCTCGTTGTATCCGTTGTTCGGATTGCTGGATCTGGAGGATCGCTTTCTCTCGAGCCTAGCGAAGTCCAAAACAACTGTGGGCAAGTCAACTGCCCATCAAGGTCTTGAACACTATATCAGAGACCGAGCATACGCCTTGTCATGGTGAGTTTTCAATGCCTTACGATCGGAAAAAAAAGAATTTCCTGACTGTTCATCAGCTGTGCCAACAACTACAATAGCTCGGAATATTACAACCGTAAAACGACGATGCATAATTCACTGCTGGCTGCCGAAGTATTCGTCTGCGAAGAGATGTGGACAGAGCTCGTGCTACCGGAGAAATATGGCTCAGTCATTGTTCAGAGTGATCGAGCGGTAGTCGATATCCGCTTCCTTGACGGAAAGCTGACGATCTATGTCCCAAGCGACTATGATAGCCTTTATTCTTGCTTCCACACAGAGCTTCCTCAAGAACTTGCCAAGGTACTTTCCATCGATAATGAACGGGCGGTCAAGGTCATCTATCGTATCTTGAATGATACCAAGAAGGATTTGGATACCATCATGAAGGATGAGGACCTACCGGAGTACCCCTGGTTTGAAAAGCCTGCGTCATCGCTACAGACAGTGCCATTTCCAGCGCTCGGTGGTACAGAACCTAACAGCAGCAGTATGCCAACGCCTGCATCGCCCACGGAGGCATCCTCTGACCAGGACGACGATGACGATGGCAGCGGCGACGACAACGATGTGGTCGTGACCCGGGTCGATCAAAGGAGTACAGCACCATATTCTCAAGTTGAGAGCAGCATTCGTCCTTCAGTCCACGCTCAGTCGACTGATTCTCAGCATACAATTTGGGAGGAGGTGGCACGAGATCAACAGTACAAAAGACTCTTGCGAGAAGTGATCCGCCAGGCAAGGCGAGGGGGGCGATCTCATCAAAGGAGAGGAGAATCACTATCGCTAGATGAAATTGACGAAGCTCTAGATGAACTTGGCTACCCACCAGCTGACTACGCAGCGTTCTACCGAACATTTGGTGATACGGGCAACGGTAGATTTGAAGACAATGCACGGGTGGGCGCGGCGGGAGAACTATATGTAAGTCTGGGGAAGTATCCCTACATATGAACGGTAGCTGACTTGGACTGAATCAGGTGTTTGAACTCCTCAAGGCCTGCGGAGTCACAAATTTCAGCATCGACAATTGGCAGAGCTCAATTCGTCACTACGTGAACATTCTCCCCGAATACGCGGATGAACCAGCATGGCACGGCCGCGAAATCTCGGATGTAATGTACGAAGGCAACTGTCCGCGGCTGATGGAGTTTCTGGGAGACAACACGACATTCCCCTATCCCGCCTGGCTTGGGCATGAGTCTGGCGGGACGTCGATGTCGAGACCGGTGGTGAATTATCACATCGAAGTCAAGACCACGTCCGGGCCCTGCAGCACTCCGTTCTTCATGAGCAGCAATCAGTACAGGCTCATGCGAGACAAAGCCTGTCCAAATGACTCGACGACGGCCCCGCGAGATCTGTACCTGATCATGAGAGTGTTCAACCTGTTCTCCAGCAGGATTGGATTGCAGGTGTATGTTAACCCGTGGCATCTGCGAGAGACAGCCCTGGAATTCGTGGCGGATCCGTGGAAGGTCGTTCCTATGTGACGCTTGTGACCTTGATTCGATGGAATTGAGGGCTAGAGATGCCTGTGTATCATAGTTGAATGTACAATACTTGGTATTGGTATGCTTTATGGAGCGACATGTACAGCGTGGTCCCATTTCGGAAATCCTTGACGCCGCTTTTGTACCTCAGATGCATGCACGTAATACCTCGTACATTCCTCGTACTCGGTACATGGACCCCCCAACCACGACTTGGATTTGACTTTGACAGAGGCTGAAAGACTCAGCTACTACATAGTGACGACCCCTGACGCTCAAGCTATCGATGTCACAGACACATGAACGTTGAGCGTCGACATCACAGGATTTGCTGGGATGCTGGACGGTTGAACCATGAACTAACTATGCGAAGCAGTCAGGCCACACGCCACACGCCGAACGCCGACATCTTACAAAGGACCATTGCACTGAGACTTCTTGTATCTCACAGGCCATGAGTAAGCGTGTCGCCATCGTGGGCAGCGGCTGCGCAGGCCTGGGCGCTTTGTGGGCGCTCAACACCAGCACAAGTCATGAAGTCCATCTCTTCGAAGCCACGTCGCGACTAGGCGGACATACGAAGTGCATTTCCTACGAAGGACCCAACGGTCAGACGATCCAGGTTGATGCCGGCTTGCTTGTCATCAACAACAACAACAACGCCACCTCCCCTAACTTTATCCGATTCCTCCAGGAGTTGGGTGTTCCGTTGAAGAAGACCGCCGTGACTTTTGGCGTCTCCCGCGATCAAGGCGCCTTCGAGTGGTCATGGACTTCGTGGTTGTCCGTCTTTGCCCAGAGGAGGAATGTCTTCAGACTTGACATGTGGAAGTTGGTGTTTGAGGTCATCCGATTCAAAGAGTTCGCACTCGATCTTCTCAAAGATGACGATGGCGAGGATGACCCCATCACCCAGGAAATCCAGCAAAAAAGGATCCAACATCGGTCCCACGAAAGGATTGGTGAATATCTCGACCGCGAGAATTACTCTCAAGAGTTCCGTGATAACTATCTCATTCCAATGGTGGCTGCCATATTGGGCACGAACCTCGTTCGTTGTATATTGGACCTCCCCGCAGTCACGGTGGTTCGATCCATGTACAACCAACACATGCTGAATATGACTCCCAAATCCTCAGATTGGTGGACCATCCCTGGTGGAAGTGGGCGGTATATCGAAGCAGTGGTGAAAGATGTCCCGGACAATCGGATCCATCTCGACTCGAAAGTCACCTCACTGACGCCAGGTGAAAATGGCATTGTCGGGTTGAGGGCAAATGGGAAAGACCATGCATTCGACCACGTGATAGTCGCGACGCAGTGTGAACAGGCCCTGGAAATATTGCAGCCGATCATATCCAGGGAAGAGTCTGACATCTTGAAGGGTTTCCGGACAGATAGGGTCGTTGCCGTATTGCACTCGGATCTCACGCTGATGCCAAAGAGACAACAAGCATGGTCATCGCTGAACTTTATCTCCGAGTCCCCATTCCCGCCTACCAGAAGCAAGAACGTTTCCAGAGGCTGTCTGACATACTGGATGAATGTACTCCAAGAACTACCAGAGAGTCAGTTGGGCCCTATTCTAATCACACTAAATCCCTTACACATGCCCGATCCTCGACTGGCCCAGGGGATATGGGAATATTCGCTTCCCTTGTTTGATGCGGCTGCAATCAAGTCGCAGAAACTGTTGTCCAAGATTCAAAACACCAAGGGCATTAGTTACTGCGGCGCATGGACCAAGTCTGGCTTCCATGAAGACGGCTTCAGTAGCGGCTTGTCTGTCGCCATCGGTCATCTGGGAGCAAATCTGCCTTTCGACTGCGTGGATCCAAGATTGTCCGGGGCTAAGAAACCCATGCTGACCTTGAAGAATTATTTGCTCAGGCTGGTCATTCTCCTCGTGCAGATAATGGTGTTGCTGGCAGAAAGAGCCTGTTTGAGGATGGCCGCAGAGATCGACAAACGGATTGCCTCAAGACGGAAAACCGCCTGAGTCTCAACCAGCAGAGATAACAAGTCCGGCAGTCTGCCTCATCAATGTCGTACTTCCCTCTTCTTCCTCGATGCCCACCTCGATGGTAGTGTGCGGTCGGCTCTTGTTAAGCCCTTCCAGCAGAGAGCAAGCCTTGCAAATCTGTTGGCTGGATAGATAACCACATCTCTCACATTGACCCATGACTTGTTTGACCACTTTCCGACGTCCTCGCCGTTTCTTGTCGTGAATACTTGGCTGCACTCCTTGCTGGGGGAGTCGAATCTCTGTTTCACGTTCTGCAGCGGCTTCGTTCGCGGTCAGATCCTTCTCCAATCGGACCATGGAGTCGCTGGTCTGGTTTTGATTGCCACAGCCATTTGCCTGCTCATCGCCTTCAGCAGCACAAGACGTAGAACTTGCCAGTTCAGGGGGCACCAGCGATGCCATGTCCTCTCCGCTCCTAACAATATCCAGTATGCTACTGGGTCGAATCTTCTCCAAGTCTTTGATCAAGGTCCTCGCGCTCCCTCTAAAGGCCTCTGGTGAGTAAATGCACTCGGTGCTGAAGTAATCCAATTTCTTGTGGTAAGCGTAGAGAACAATTTCCTTCTCATAGGCATACTTTAGCGGCTTGCTCCTTTTGATCTCACTCGCGGAGGAGGATGTCATAATAGAAGTTGCTCTCGCAAGTCGAGGAAGGTCGCCACGAAGTAGATTCATCATGACGGTTTCAGCAACATCGTCAGCGTTGTGACCGGTTACGACGTGTTTGATGCCCAACTTTGCGGCCCCTCGATCCAGGGCTTGTCTGCGAAATACACCGCAGTAGGTGCAGTTCCCCTTCTTGCCTACCTGGGCCACGACTTGGTCCATCGTCCATCCATACAGCTGGTCATATCCAACAATTTCGAGGGGCATTTCGTACTGCACGGCATTCCGCTTGACCGTCTCAAGGCTGTCATCTCGGTAACCCTTGATACCTTCGTCGATGGACAAGAGGACGAGATCAACGCCGTAGTCGTAACGTTCATTCAGAGTCTTTAGCACCGAAGCGAGAACTGTCGAGTCCTTGCCACCAGATGCGCCGATGGCAACACGTTCGCCACGACGGAACAGTTTGTTGCTCACGATGGTGTCGTGAACTTCGGCCTCGAATACGGACAGAAAACATTGTTTGCAGATCTTCTGGGAGTTCTTTGGTCGGATGACTGCTGCTCGCGAGGTTTCACAGATCTCACATATAGTCGGCGCCATCCTTGTATTCTAGAGGAATACAGAAGACTCAGACTTTGTTTGCCACAGAAATAAGAGCCAAAAATATCCGGCGGAGTAGACGAGTGACTTCGTGCAAATACGGCGGAGTATTGAACTCGTCCGGACCTGTCGCCATAATTTGAATGTTTTCAACGGTCAATTCTCCCTTGCCCTCGTGGTATGCCCCTTCTCGTCACTCGCTCGAATGCATTCTACTCTCCAGGCGGAACTACGGTTCACGCGGATCATTTGCTCAAGTTGTCGAAACTGCGCCCAGCGCCAATCACGGAGAGCAAACCGCTCGTTTTGCACTGCGCCTCGCGTTCGGACTGCTCAAAAACCGACAAACAGCTTTGGCTCTCTCAGCAGTCGCGGGATCAGTGATGACTCAAAGAGCCATGGAGCTGCTCGAGTGGAGGTAGCAAGAGATTGTGACGCTGTCGAGGAGGACTCAGACCCCACCCATCAACGTCAATCAGGCCCTCATGAGAGCCGCACCTCCCAAACTGCGGACGATGCTCGAGCGAAAGACTTCTACGGCTCACCCGCGAAAAGAAGGCTGCGGAATCGCATGAACAAAGATGGAGAGGCCGAATACCAAGCTCCGGAATGGTTTATGGACAGCAACGTGGCCCTCTTCGGGTCAGGGTTCCTCGCACCTGGCACTCCCTCGAGGATTAAAACGGTGGCCGCAGATCTGCTGACCGGCGAGCCTCTTGAACAAACTTCCTCACCGGACTCTGGCAGTGACCCTTCACATGGCTCAGGGGGTAAAGGAAGCGACCCCAGTTCTACTCAAAACTCGCATGCGGCTCCCTCACAGACAGAGGATAGATTGGAGCAACCCGACACCACATCCCCTGCGCAATCTACGTCGAGCTCCTCGATATCTTCGAGGTACTATGTGGTGGATGAACAATACGAAGAGGTTATGCGAACTGCAAGAGGTCTCATGCAAATATCACAAACAAAGAATCCGCCAAATAGCGCCGAGTCCTACAGAGATCATCTCCATCTACAATATGCTGGCAAGGACGGCGATCTGCTCCTTGACCATCTTGTCCAGGATGTTGCACGCCAACTCGGCTGTGATTTGATGGTCGTGGACGCGCAGGATATCGCAGACCTCCTTCACCGGAATCATACAAACCCAGCCACAGCAAAGGCGGGCCGAATGCTTAGCTACGACGTGCTTGCACACGCATTTCCAGACCTCTCTGAACATAGTGCTTCCCACGAGGCGCAAGACGTAGACGACGACGATGGAGACATCGACGACATGATGGACGACCTTGAATCCACACCTTCTTCTCCTCAGATAGGTATGCCCATGTTTATTGGAAGGCCTACCGCTATCTTGAAGACTATTATCGGACAGCTTCCAGATTTTGGAGATGGCATGCGCTCAGATATGCCGCGAGGGACGCTGAGAATGTGGCCAGATTTTGCTGACTCTCAGAAGCCACGGGATGAGCAAGGTGCGCTGTCTGGACTCGTATACAAACTACTAAAGAGCTTGACGGATCGGCGGGCCGCCACGGGTACTCCTGGGAGAGAGCAGGGTGATGATCTGGAACGGCAACGAGAAACTACAGCGAAACGAAGTGGTGTCCCCAAGAATGGCGCGATTGTTCACGTCAGAGACTTTAGAGCCATCCAGAGTTTAGATTTGGGTCGCTCGTTTCTGAACTGTCTTCACAGGCTACTAGCTCAGCGTCGAAGCAAAGGTGAATGCGTTTTACTCATTGGCACCGATTCGGCGCGTGAGGATCAGGAGCCGTTCACCCGGGAACGCATTCACGAATCCCAAAACGGCGGGCAAGATGGGAAATCACAAAATATCGTCCTGACTCCGGTCTTGCCCAACACGACGTCCAAGCTTGCACTTCTTCACGACAGGAAGCAACGCATTGCCACAGTTAATATGAGACACCTCTGGGAAACATTGAGGATTTGGAAGCCGTCCGTTTTTGCCCACCTAGAGCCAGGCTTCTGGCGCGGTGATTTCTTCGACCGCATCACTCGCAGTGACAGATCGTGTTTGGAAGGACAAGTGTGGAATCACCAACATGTGCAACGATTGGCCACCTATATCGCAGGAGCTGTTCCCTCGAACTCGGAGGGTGAAGCCAATACCCCTGTAAACCAAGACCAACCACAGCCCATCATTAGCGCGGCAACATCCCATTTGAATCACAGTGACAAGACTAAAATCCGGTGGGCAGAGAAGCAATCAAAGGAAGCAAAGAAGGAAGTTCCAGAACGACATATGAGTAAGGACGACCGACTCGCCAGAATCCGTGCCTCGGCTTCCAAGTACGAGAAACGGTTGATGGGAGGTATAATCGAATCCAAGAATATCAACACGACCTTCAATGATGTCCACATGCCAGTTGAAACCATCGACACCCTCCAAACGCTGACCACACTATCGCTCATTCGGCCCGAGGCCTTTAAATATGGTGTCCTCGCATCCGACAAAATCCCTGGTCTTTTGCTCTATGGTCCACCAGGCACAGGTAAAACTCTGGCCGCTAAAGCGGTAGCCAAAGAGTCCGGCGCAACGATGCTTGAGGTCAGCGCGGCAGACATCAACGATATGTATGTCGGTGAAGGGGAAAAGAATGTGAAAGCTCTGTTCAGCCTGGCCAGGAAACTATCACCTTGTGTTGTCTTTCTAGACGAGGCAGACGCTATGTTTAGTGCGAGGAGTAACCAGGGTCGACGTGTCAGTCACCGCGAACTTCTCAACCAGTTTCTGAAAGAATGGGACGGTATGAGCAATGACTCGGGCAGCGCCTTCATCATGGTTGCGACAAACCGGCCTATGGACCTCGATGATGCTGTTCTCCGCCGCTTACCGCGGCGGTTACTAGTTGATCTGCCTACGGAGCCTGATAGGTTCGAGATCCTCAAGATACACCTGCGCAACGAGAAACTCGGCGAGGATGTCAATTTACAAGATCTCGCCAAAAAGACACCCTTCTATTCGGGCTCCGACCTGAAGAACGTCGCTGTTGCAGCGGCATTAAATTGTGTCCGGGAGGAGAACGAACTGGCCAAACAACACAAGGGCGAGGAACCATATCAGCATCCCGAACGACGTACACTCACAAAGAAGCACTTCGACAAAGCCCTAGAAGAGATTTCGGCAAGTATCTCGGAGGACATGTCGAGCTTGAGGGACATTAAGAAGTTCGACGAACAATTTGGAGACAAGCGTGGAAAGAAGAAGAAGGCACCTAGGCTAGGATTTCCAACAGAGAAGGAGAATGAAAAGGTCAGAGATACGGTTAAGGTACGCGACTGAGGCTCTTGTCGATCGAGGTGATCTCGAAAAAGGCCGAAGAGGATATCTTGGGGCTTGTGTCTGGAAAACCCAAAAAGCCAGAGGGCTCAGTTTCCCACTTCCTCTTTATTAGACAATAGATCGTTCGATGGGTGAGGCCGCACGCTATGCCGTTGTCGCTCGCCTCTTATCTATAATGCTAAAGGTCGACATTGATCAGGAGATTTCGTCTTCCCTTTCTTACGTCTGGATTCTCTCCTGAATGACTTCCTCCACCTTCTGAACACCCCAGTCCAACACCTCCTTCATGCTCCACTCGCCCGCGCCGGGACAGACGCTCACGCCCTGGCGCGCGCAGCTCTCCTCGTCAAAGACGTCCCCGTCGACGTTGCCGCCCTTGTACATCCACCCGTGGTAGCGGATGTAGTTGGGCCAGACAACGTCTTCGACGTAGCCCGGCGGGTCGACCCAGAAGCCCTCGAGGGTGACGTAGCCGGAGCGGGCGGCACGGCGGGACAGTGTCTGGGCGCGCGTCGACGGGAGGAATAGTAGCGGATGGAGCAGCGTGTGGATGAGGCGGTGGAGGTGGTCGACTCCCGCGGCTGAGTGAGGATATTCGGACGACGAGTCTAAGCGAGTCGACGACGATGGTTGTGGGTAGAGCAGGAACCCCTCGACGATGTAGACGCGGATCTCTTTGCCTGTGCTTCCGTCGTCACCACCACCACTGGTCCTCTGACCCTCTCGTCCCCTGACCAGCTCGTCTATCCGCGTCCTAACCCTCTCTCTATGCTCGGCCACCTCGTCGGGAGACACGCCGCTGTGGCCGACGCTGTTCTGGTCTTCCTTGGACACGCTGTCCGGCGGCAGATGGCCGTGGTCGCGCAGGTGTGTGAGCGTGTGCTCGAACAACGAGAGGTCCAGGGAGTCGATGCAGTCCCAGTCCTGGAGCTCGCGGGTGCCGAATTCCTCGGACGAGACGGTGACCTTGGGAATGCTTTTTGCGTGTTGCAGGTTAGCCCGAGAGCAGCAGCTGGATAGTCTTCTACCTGGGTGTAGTATGCCACCCAATAAAAAAAATGGGTTGAAGACGGAGGGACCGACTGATCCGGTAGATGCAGCAAAAGCGAAAAAAGGGAGAGACTGGGAGTAGAGAACATAGAGGGAAGAAAAACATACTCCTGGTCCGTCTTATAAAAGTCGTCCTGGTGCAGGATGAACAGGGTGATTTTCCACCCCTCGGTGTCGAGGTTGAAGATCTCGCGCAGCAGCCTCGCCAACGTCGTCTTGCCGCTCGACGACGGGCCCGAGAGGCCGATCAGGACCGTCTCGATGCGGGGATCTGGCTTGGAGTCCTCTGCTTCCTGGTCCTCTTTATCCATCTCGACATATGCCTCTTTCCGGCGTCTCGAAGACGATGACACCATTGCCAGACGGAGAGCGGCAGGTGTCTACCGCTGCACCAACGGACTTCAAAAGGATATCCGTCGACTCCCGACAGAAAGGCTTTTGGTTATCAGGAAGGGTTTCTTCGATGACAGTCGGCAATGGGAAAGGGTCGAATGCTGGGAGGTGAGTCTTGAGATTTATATTTTTGGCTGGTGTGGTCGGTGATATCAGATTCACTTCTCACTTCAATATTTCTCCAACTCTGACCAGCGCCACTACTCCCACTCTACACTTCCGAACTCAGCTTCAATTTTATGAGGCGGAGACCCCCCGAATACACAGTAAGGACACATACGGCGAGCACCTCTACGCATCCCGAACTATCCGAGCTGCTACTCTGCCCGCGCTCTACACCAAGCCTCGCCGGATGTATCTTGTTCCAAAGGACCAGCCAGCCCTTCCGAGACTACCGACATGCTCTCCCGGCCCAGATGTACCACGAGGCTCTGGACTTGGTCGGTTAGGATATCGCAAACCAAGAGATGGAAGTACTCCCAGAGACAGACATCTCAGTTTCTATTAGCAAGCAGCGGCGATACTTGATTGACAGAATCCCTTATCCTCCATATCCAATCCGACGCCCACCCGCTGTACCACTCCTTCTTGCTTGTCTGGCACCACCAGTGTGTCCAACGCGCCGATACCAGAATGTCCATCCACACATGCACCACCTTTTCTCGTCCCTTGTCGGTCGGCTTCGTTCCAGGTTCAGCCTGCCAGGGCATGTCGGCATCTCCCTCCTCTCTTGACACGCTCGTATGCCCATGTCGCGTTCGAGCATTACATATCCAGAACATCAGAGGCCGGCAAGCTCCAACCAAGCTGCAAGATTCTTCCCTGTGATAAATATAGAAAGTCAAAATAATGATACAAAATCGCGTCAAAGCTGCCCAGCCGCCCATTTTCTCCGTGTGCAAGCCTCTTTGTCGCAAGCTTCCCAAAGAAAAGTCGTCGCAGCTTGTCTAGACAGCAGCCATGTCTGTTCAACGGCACACTTGGAGCCCTGTACCGCAATGAGGCCGAGAAATTCTTTCCGTTCCCCGACTCTCAACACCGACACCGAACCCCTTCGGAGGTAATCCACACAAGGGGGTATATGCAAATCAAGAAAAAACCAAAAAACGAACAACGACACCAAGAGACTGCCCACTCAAATCACGCCATCAGCGCATGTCGACCGACGTAGATACTCCAGGCCAGATACCTTCTACACCTTTTCACAGGTTAGCAGAACGGACTTGGTTTCTGTCGATGAGATGCTCTGTTTGAGACATGGGATGACCGTAGGGCCGGCTCAATGCTCATGCAGATCCCTTCTGCCTCTTGCCGCCGAGTTTGGGACTTGGCTTGACTTTGTTCGCTCCGTTCACCTCTCCCTGTGCATTTTCTTCTTCTATTTTAACCACGCTCGCTCGTCGCCTCTTGTTGGAAACGTTCGGGCTGGTGTTTGTGCTTGGACCTTGACTCCCGCTAAGATTGGATCCCTGGGCACTCATCTGGTGCATCATGGCGACCCCTCCCGCAGTGGGATTCTGGGCAGGACTTGGTGTATGCACTGGGCCTCCCATCATGGGTGACCCTTGAGCTTGGGGAACGTTAAGATGTCCCATTGCAGGTGAGTTCATCATATTTGGTCCATTCATGCCGGGGTTCATCTGGTTTGGGAACACCACTTGGCCGTTGGCGGCCCTGGCCATTTGGTTCAGCCGCGTGTTGTTCGCGTGGGCCATGTTTTGTGCATTTTCTTGCGTTACTCGCAGTAACGTGTCTTTGGGAGAGATACCGGGATGGTGCTGGTAATACTCCATCAGAGGGCCCATGGCCGTCATCACCTCGGCAATCTAAAAATGCGTTAGTGTTTGTCTAGCCACACCAAAAGATCATACATGCCTCTAAAAATTGGGAGATGTGATGGGGTACGCCCCATTCGCCCACACCTGAGGTAGGAATCACTGGCCCTGCTCCTGATACATTTGCCTTGCCTTGTGTGCGTTTGAGGTTCTTGTTCGTGATCTTGGGACTCTGCTTCATTTCTGGCGACATGGGCTGCATCAACACATTGCGTGGAATGTACTCCTGCCATCCCGTCGAGCTGATGTTCAGGTGCTCAATGGTTTGAACGTCGTCAAACAGAACGCGCAGCTGTCCGTTGGTGGTCACTCGAATATCGTTGCCAAAGACATATGTCAAGCTCGCACTGCTACTCGTGATATGGACGCCACCGTTGGCTGTCTTGGTTTGCGTATGTTCAAAAGACTGGAGCAGGATTTGCTTGACTCCGCTTGCAAAATAAGAATGGTAGTAACGCGCGAGAGAGGGAAATTGGAGCTGGAAAGATTTGTCCCCGCCGGACCTGTTGTTGAAAAACTGTTGTCTCAATGATCCGATCGGCGAAAAGAATCTAGTGATCAATGCCTCCCAGTAGTCCAAATCATTTGGTCGTTCCGGGTGGGCGAGAAGATCCTGGTACTCGATCAATTTCAAAATGCATTGGCCTCCGATCATGTCTTGTTTGGGTAATTCGGACAGAATCATGTTCGCGGCGGCTTCTTGTTGCTGCTTAATACGAGGCTCCTCTTCGGGCTCCGTCGTCTTGACTGGCTGGTTGGCCGGTTGATTTTGTGGTTGGTTGTTTACGGGTTGTGGTTGTGGTGGTTGGGGCTTTGGCTGAGCGGGTTGAGCTTGGGGTTGAGAAGTCGGAGGAGGTTGCTGAGGAGGTTGTGTTTGGGGAGCGGGCGTGGGTTGTGATTGTGGAGGTTGAGTAGTTTGCTCTTGCGATCGTGACATTTGCATTTGTTGAGCTACTGCCCTTTGATTCTGCGCAGCGGCTGCCATCTGCGCTGCATGCTGTTGCGCCTGAGCCTGGGCCTGTTGAGCTCGGATTAACTGCTGCTGGTTGTGTTGGTGTTGTTGTAGGCTCTGCATTTGAGGATGGTTGGGATTCATCTGCATTTGCGGATGCATGCCCATACCCATCTTCATCTGCGCCAGCTGAGCCTGATTGAAGCCCGGCGCATTAGGTATCCCCATAGGCATGCCTTGTGCTTGAGCCTGAGACATCTGCTGCATCATGCGCTGGCGAGCCATGAACTGCTGTTGCTGTGGAGTCATCATCCCTTGGCCATAATTCATTTGCGGGTTATGCTGCTGAAAGATGGCCTGCTGGGGATTCATATGAGCCATGGCCATACCGTTGTGCATTGGTCCTGGAGCTGGAGTTCCAGCACCAGGTGGCATACCAGTAACCATGGGTCCTTGGGTGACTTGGGGCGCAGATACTCCTGGATGCATGCCCTGCATCATTCCGGGCCCAGGTTGACCTCCCATGTGAGCGGCACCAGGATGCTGCATCCCCATGGGATGACCTGGAGGAATTCCAGGATGCCCTGGAGCAATACCCGCATGGTGCGGGAAGCTTTGGGCCATCATCTTCAAGAGTGCTTATGTAGGAATATATCGAGTCGCAATTCCGGCGTGACGGTATACGAAGTAGTTCTGGTTACTTCTGTTGGGTATCTGGTCCTTCTCTTTTTTCCCACCTCCAGTCCCTCTGGCCCCACTTTTTTGGCGGAAAGACGCTGTAGTTGTTCGGCACGGAGCGAAATGTTGTCACATTTGTATGATCGGGAGGTTTCATGCAAGCGGATAGATATGAGGGACGATGTATTTTCCTGCAGGTGGTCGGCGCAACGTGGATATATTGCAAGAGATCCTGCGATGTTTCGCCGTGTGAAGGTCGTCTTACGGGGCTAGATCAGTGTCGCGACAACGACGATAATCGAATCATCGGGCGGTGGCGGCAGTGATGGAAGCGCGCAGAGGCTTCATGACCATTTCATCCTCTCGTGGATCGCAGAGGAGCAGCTAGAGCGATTAACCTGGCGAGGCAGATGATCCGAGTGTTGTGAGAGTGGCCGTTGCGATGTTATCGGGTTGGTACACTGCGGTGGTACTCGTGATCTGATGACCCCGGCCCAGTGTGGACGAGAACCGGTCGGAAATTGGGAGCCAGGCTCCAAAAGCAGAGTCAAGGGCGATGAGGAAGGGAAAAGAGCGACAAGACAGCGAGAGCGCCAGTTGAGACTGAATAGCAGACACTGTCCCAGCCTGGGTGGTGAAGACTGAAGATCAGGTTCCAAGTCGCAGGTGCAACTTCAGGATCTGCAGGTGTGCAGGGAGAGACACTTACAGACCACGGAAGATGCTGGGGGGGTGGGTGGTGTGGCCATCGGGGCCCAACTTGAAACCCAGCGACTTGCCAGGCCCGGCCAACATCCCCCAATCATCCGCCAAGCAATCGTGCAGCACGCGCTTGACCCGATACAGCACTAGCGGCTCGCCGTTTCAGAAAATAAATTCGGCACCTCTTTTCCCTCTGTGCTTGTATTCTTCACCTGTGTTCTTCTGCATTCTGTCTCTACTCCCACACAGCAAATTCCTGGATTCCATTTCATGTCCTGAGGAGTGCAGGCTCGGTACTATATCCTGTAACTTGGAGACATGGTAAGCACACTCTCCACGAATTCTCCTGCCTCTTAAAACGCGGCTTGCAAGATGACAACCAAACCTCTTCTTCTTTCTATCCTGAGTCGCCCTTGAAGAAACATTCGGACTGTCATCGCTGAACAGTCTGTTACTAGCCAGTATTTAATGTCTGACTATCACACGCTTCTACAACATCTGCTGTGTTTCTTTCTCTGTGTGGTCTGATGCTGACTCGAAGTCTAGGATTGCGATGGAGAAGTAGAGTTTCTCTAAGGCATGTGTTGCTGTAAGATTCTTTGAGGTACGTTTTTGCAGATGCCCTACCCCGTCTCACATCGCCTTGTGTCTACTTTCCCTTGGTTCCTATGATGAAAACCTTTTCCACATTCGCAGTTTCCACGCTAGCCCTGGCATATGAACCTATTTTAAGTCCAGGTGTCGTTGAGCGGCAAATCTTCCTTGGATGTCTGATTGGATCTTTACCTGAGACTCTTGCTATTTTCCATGTACCTGTCTATATCATGCGCTGACCGGTATCTTGTGCAGATAGTTGTCCACGATCCGCTCCCCCCGTTTGTCCCCTAGAGATGTACTCTCATAGTTGCAGCGTGTGTCTGGTTGACGAGAAGGAAAGAGGAGGAGGATAGATTCTGGATAGGCAATTCGGCGAACACGGGGAATATTATGCTTGCGTATTTCAGTCACGCAATTTTCAATTTTTAGCCAATGACTTCCTGCGCAGAAAATATTCCCAATCCAATTTAACTTGGAAACTCATTACTGTTCAAATACTGGATGTTTTACATGATTCGCGTGCCCGTGCGATTCACCACACCAAATTTCGTCTCTTCGTGGTTCTGGCTTTGATTTCGCAGCAACCTTTCCAGGTTCGTGGGAGGTGATGGGTCCTCTACGCCTTTTCTAGCCTGAATAGCGTCGCGTAGGCTAGCCATGAAGCCACTTCCCAAAGTTCCTCTGTTGGAAGCTCGATATTATGTCTGGAGCAGTCTCTGTCAAGCCGGGGACTGCTAGGCTTCACTTGCGCACCTCCTTCTCTGCATGCCAGCCTCTTCAAGCTGATTGGTGAGCGGGTATAATAGCTGACTGGTGGGATTCGTGATCTTGCTGCCCTCAACTAATGAAGGAAGTTCCTGCTTGCTCCACGACCTTGGCGCTTCTTCTCGCATCGATGAACAGATCTTCGCACTCTGCCACATCCTCGACACCAATCTCCTGCCTGCCATTGACCTTTGCAAGAATGCTACTGGGAGTCAATAGCTGTAGGGCGTATCGCAGACTAACATTGGTGCCATGTTGCGCGACCTTCTCCAGTGCAGATTCGGATATTGAGAGACCCTCAGTCTTCGCGCGTAGACGGATGATGGTCTGAACTTCGGACGCGTTGTATGGGTGTGTGGGGATGATGAGCAAGCGGGCAAGTAGATCAGGAGGGACGCCGTGGGCACCTGTGATGTCCTGTGTACCGCGAATGAGAGTGTTGCCCCGATTTGAGGCGAGGATGACGATGGGTGAGATGGGGGATTCAAGGGCGCGGTTGAGATAGGTGAAGCATTCAATGTCGAGCATATGAACCTGGCAAAGACCGGTTAAGAACATTTCGCAAAGTGCTGAATATCAATGTACTCACCTCATCAATAAAGAGGACACCAGGGACCAACTCCGCAACACCCTGATCAATATACCTACTCACCACCTTGTTGATCTCTGCCCTCAATTTGTCCGTGATCTCGGTCTTTTTTGGCTTCATCAGTTGGCCCATCATGCTCATAACATCCTGGCCCCCCTGAGGTCTCGCGTTGGCGATATCCAAATCATGTAATGTGACGTCCTGGACAACCTCTTTCTTTTTGTGGACTTCTCCTTTGGGTACGGGCACGTATTCTTCTGCCTCGAGGTCGAATTCGGTCGCGTAGGCGTCTGAGCGACCCACCCGCTTGCATGCCCCGGTGTTGGCTTCTATATAGATGACATCGCCAACCGTCACTCGCTCCTTCTGGATAGCTTCATATATGCTAGGGTCGAGGCGGAGCTTTTTCGTGCCTCTTGCGGATTTCAAGGTAATGATCAAGTGGGAGATGGTGCGGCCAAAACCGCCGAGGGGGTTCTCTGCTTCTTCGGGGATGAGCTCGGTCACTTCGCCCTCATACACCTCTTTCGTTTCGCGCACGCGGAGACCTGTTGTGGTCAGTACCAGCTCATTAAGGGACATGAAAGGGTTCAGCTTACCGATTGCTCTTCTGAAATTCTCCATCAAGGCTTCTGTCTTCTTGACCTCCGCGGAATAGATTTCGCTGCCGACAATTGGACAAAACGGCACTTTTGTCCCCAGCTCTTGTGATACTGCCAGTGCCAAAGCTGTCTTGCCGGTGCCAGGTCCTCCCGCTAATAGCACTGCTCTTCCTGACATCTTTTTGGCCTTGATCAGGTCTACAACGACTCCGCAGGCCTAATATTTGTCAAAAGAGCGAATAGATTCTGCTTGGACATGGGAAACGTACCTCACGCGCGGCAGCCTGCCCGACGAATCCATTGCTATTGGGTTCAGCAGTGCCGTCTGATCGCAAGCCCAATCCCTTGATATGCGTATGCGCCGCAGTCCTGTTCTCGCGCGCATTGCCCTTGACTTCGCTGATGTTGACCATGGTCGCTAGTTCTTTGGAAATAAAGCTAGAAGAGCCACGATGTTGATCGCGTTCTGACACAGAAGATAAAAGAAGGACAAATTGTGATTTTGGTGGTCAAATGGCGGTTGTCACTGGCAGTCCCCAGAATTTGGGAATTGCGCGCTAAAATCCACCAAGGTTTATACTTCTCAATTGTGCTACTTTATTTTCCTACTCGATGCACCCAGCAACAGCACCGCTTTGCACAGACTGCCACACGCGGGTGCTTTTTGTGCGCTCCTCGACCTCTATTACTCCCCTTTATCTTGGTCCTTTTCTTCAATTCCACCCCGTAGTGTTACTTTCACCATGGCGGCTCCCACAACGATCACGAAGCTCCCCGAGGTGCTCCGCAGTCCTACCTCTCTCCAATATCTCTCCTACAGACACCCGGTCAAACACTCAAACCCGTACTTCAAGCCCAGATTCACCTTTAAGCTCGAAGATAGGAAACATACCTTGCTGGACGTCTACCGGTTGCGACACACAGACCCTTTGATGCCCGTGTACCCTTACGGCGAGAATAAACAATTTCCAGAAGCAAATTTCGGTCTCTATGGTGGCGCTACGGTACAATCTGGGAGCAAGATATCCAAGGGCAGAAATAAGGGCAAGACATTGCGACATTGGTTCCCTAATGTCCGGGTTGAGACTGTGAGGAGCGAAGCGTTGAATAGGGAGCTCAAGATCCCTATTACTGCCCGAGTCATGAGAACCATCAGCAAATGTGGCGGTATAGATCAATATGTCACTGGAATGAAGCCTGCCAGAATAAAGGAGCTGGGTATGCTGGGCTGGAAACTGCGATGGCTGGTCATGACATCTCCGAAGTACCGGTCAGCGCACGCCGAACAGTTGCGAAAATACAACCTGCCTACGCACTACTCCTTATCAAGCTCCTTTGAAGACGCGTGGAATGATGAAAACGTCCGGGCGAAGATGATCGAGCAGCAAGAAGCGGCCTGGCGTGATCTACGAGAGGCGGCCGACCGATTCGAAAAGCATGTGCAGAGGAATTGGATCGAGAGCGGGGAGAAAGAAGTTTACCAAATCCCGAAACTGGAGACGCTCAACCGCAGTAGCCCGCTCTCATTGGGCCTGCCGGAACATTTGGAAGAGCCGGATGTCGTTGACAAGAGTTACAGAGGTCTCAGGACCTTCAAGAAGTCTGCTGGAGACAGTCTGCAAGAAATCTCATCAGGAGTTACCTCTGTTGAAGACAGCGACAAGGTCATCAGCGGTGATGAAAAGTTGGTGGCGACAGCAACGATGGGAACCAGCTCCGGAGACATCGAAAGACACATCGAGGGAAACGCTTCAGAAGACCACACGTCGCCGAGTGATCCTCAACTTAATGTGGCTAGCAGCGAGGCAGCACTACCGGACTCTCAGCAGTCGAAGACAAGGACGGAACGGGAAGGTTGAGGGGTTACAATGTGGAACTGTGAGGATTGGCTTACACAGGGTTGGCGGATAGCTGCCTCAATCGAATCCCAGGACGGCGACTAAGCAGTCCGCCCTCGATCCTTCAGGTCGGCCGAAAGCCATTCGGTGGAAACAAGCTCTCAATGAGAAGCCACCGAGTTAAAACCAAGATACTGGCGTCAACCACACATGGTGATTCGCAGAGTCACAGCAACAGATCAGGTGGCCGGCCATAAAGTATTGTAAATCATTGTCAAATGGACATGTTGTATTCCCAACACAAATGGCCAAAAGATGAGGGCAATTCTTGAACATTATGTACTATACAGCCAAATCATACTTTCAAAAGTGTGTGCTGTTTTGAGGCAATCAGGCAAAGATATATATATTCACCTTCTATGGACAAGTCATAGTGGGCTTCACTGGTCTGGCTGCCATCGATCCGCGTCGCGCTACTGGGATTGTGATGTTGTTTCCTTGGCGACAGTGACATTATCTTCACTCCATGAGGCGCGCAGAATCATATTTCTCATCCTTGGATGGATCTCTCGCTCCAACCACTCCGACTTCATGCTCACAAGCAGCCATTTCCTGCAGAAGTCTTCGCGCCGGCATCACCTGTGGGCACTTGTCCCTTGGCCTCCAACTCCTTCCACCTGAGGAACAATTTCTGGAAGGCTAGGGGATCCTGCGCGCCAGATACCTCCCACATATCGTTGATCTCGTAGAAGGGCACACCCGAGATGCCCTTCAGATGCGCCTCTTCTGCTTCTTTGTCCACCAACTCCCCGTCCTTGCCAGAAGTCAGATACTCGGTAATCTCCTCCTTGGTGCCCAGCCCAGCTTCCAATCCCACATCCACTAAATTGTCCAGAGTGGTGATATCAACTTCCTCTTCGAAATAGCGCCTCCAGAGACCCATCATAACCTTGTTCTGGGAGTCCTCGCCTCCTTTCCCCTGTGCCCAGTGGACAAGTCGGTGTCCGTTCCTCGAGGGCCCAGTCATACCGCCGAATTTGAAGTTGAACCCTTCAGCACGGGCGGTCTGGGTCATCATGGCTTCCATTTGCTTGGCGCGCTCAGGTCCAAATTTTGCAGCGTACATTTCACGCCTTGGGCGCGACGGTGCTGGAAAAGGTGGAGGCGCTGGACCCCTCCCACTGGTCAGCTGCGGCGGTGGGTTGAGATAAAAAGGCAAGTATTTCAGGTGAAAGCTATCATTGGGATACGTCTTCTTGTGTTCTGCAATGGCGCGAGACAGACGCGCATGACCTATGAGGCACCATGGACATACGACGTCACTGGTAATGGTGATATTATAGTTCGTCATTCTAAGCAGGGAGTTTCGTGTTTGGATAAAGAGCATCAAAACTGGCGGTTTATAGGTGGGATAGGGGAGAGAAAGAGGTCTTTCGAATTGAAGATATTTTGTCAACGAACAGTGAAGATTGTGAAGAGTTGGATATAGCCGGAAGACACAAGGGTGGCTTCCGAGGTTGTCATGGTTGTCTATATCTAAGGAAGTCGAGGTTGGATTTGTCAGCCACTTTGAGCGATTGGCTTCGCTTTTCCGAACAACCGGCGAATGGGTCGAGATGCCACGACCGCATTTCTCCTTCTTCTTAGACTTGTGTGTTCTATCGATTCTGGTTTGGCACACTCATCAAGGATATGAGGTTTCCTGTGCAAATCACTAGGCGAGGTGTCGGAGGTATATTATGAGCAAACTTGGACAATCATAAGCGGGGTAAAGAACTTTGTTGAAATTCCATCATTCTCTCTCCCTCTACTCGGTATAGTAGGAAGTGAGTTCTCGGAGATGTAGCCTTGCCATGGCACATGATGTCGCAGGTATCAAGGAGGCTGGACTCGTAGACTTCCCCTGACTTACTGCTAGGCTGTAGTGCAATATTCAGCCTTCCCAGAAAATCCCACTGTCTGACATAATCTTAAAAGCTAATGTGGCCCGCAGTTCTGCAAACCTTCTGTCAGACACAAATATAAACTCATCCTACTAGCTCCCACACGATTCCAACTCTATTCAAGTTCAAGGCACCGACTCAGCCTACATCAACTTGTCCACGAGACTTCTGTTCGACTATCACTGTCATGTCCCAATCACATTCTCGTGCACTTTCGAGTCACGGCGGCGATAGTGAAGAGGATGACGAAGACCAATTCTTTGATACGGATCAGTTCTTCGTCGCCTCCTCGACAACTGAGAGTTCCGCCTCACATGTGGAGTCAAACTTCATGGTAGACATGCCCTTTCGTACATCATGCTGCTCTCAAGGTCAAGCTGATGGTGTTTAGGACTCTGAAAAAGGTATGATGGCGTCCCACTGGACTGCCGGCACTGTGGACTCAACTGGCCACAACCCGAGTCGACTAGGCGCTGAGACCACGCCTTTCACTGACGATTATGTCGCGCTTGGATCTGTTCGCCTTATCCGCACTGCTGAAAATGCGCTCAGTGATAGCTGGAGAATGGTTGGACCCGCGGGAGAAGCTACACATCCTCACCCTTTGCTGAAATTAGGCGAGAAGCGGCTATGGATCAAAACTCTCCTGCTTCCCCATGTCACCCGTCCTGATTGTGCCTCGTTGAGGGTCCATGCACTGCCAGAGGATGTCAACCGAAGTACTAGAGGCTCGATCAAGGATCTTAGAAAGGTTCTGAAACTGCTCATTGACTTCATTGACATTTCTCGGGACGCGTGGGATGGTAAATACGACCCGGCTTTGCCCTTGCAGACGTACAAGCAACCAGATGACTTCCAGCAGGAATCCCTCTTTTACATCTTTAATACCTTGTCCTCGCCACAAACTTCCCTTGATGATGCGGGCTCTTGTGTGCACAGTCAGAGGTCCATGCGTGGCATATTTGACAACCAGATCAACGGCCTCCAAACCTCATTATATCCCTACCAGAGGCGGTCGGTGGCCGCGATGCTCCAGAGGGAAATAAATCCTTCCAAGTTTCTCGACCCACGAAAGCAGGCCCTCCGAGATCTCAATGGCACAATATTCTATCTAGATGTCTATGAAGGCGTTCTTCTCCGTCATTCTCATCTCTATAGTGAATCTCGTGGTGGCATCCTCGCCGAAACCATGGGCTACGGCAAGACGCTGATATGCATTGCCCTGATCCTAGCAACTAGGGGCCATTATCCTACAATCCCGGAGGGTAGAGTGAACGCAACTACTGCGGAGCTCAATGCACGAACACCTAGTTTGCTGGACCTGGCAGCAAGAGCGATCAAACAGAATGGTGTGCCGTGGAAAGCCCATTTTGCATGTCTCAAGAAAGAGGGATACCACTTTGACAGCTGCACGGACGCTCTGGCCAAGTATGATGGTGAGTTTGTTGAACCCATCTTCCACCCGACGACGCCGGATCGACGAGGGAAGAAAAGAGAAGATCTCCGAGTGCTACGCCTTGCATGTACAACACTGTTGATTGTCCCACCTAATCTTCTTGTCCAATGGCAACATGAGATAGAAATGCATACACAAGAAAAGGCGCTTGACGTTTTGGTTTTGGACTCGACCACCAAGGATATACCTCACTGGAGGGAATTGATAAGACATGACATTGTGCTAATCACCAAGTCACGCTTTGAACAAGAATATAGAGATGATGATCTCAACCAAGGGAGACGGTTCAAGGGTCAGGAGAGATTTCGGTCCCAACTAACAGAAGTTCGATGGTTGCGCGTCATTTGCGACGAGGGGCATGGCTTCGCTGGCTCAAGCTATCGAACACATGCAATGGCGATGTTGGACAAGATGTCCATCGAACGCCGGTGGGTCGTGTCTGGCACACCATCCCACTCGCTTCACGGTGTTGAGGTTAATCTCGCACTCGACGAAACCAACCACGGCACGGAAGCTTTACGGAGACAATCCATTGAGATAGCCTTGGAACGGAGAAAAGCCACAGATACATCGACGGAAGAACTCAAAGATATGGAACGATTACGCGCCATTGTTGTCAGGTTTCTCAAGGTACAACCCTGGGCAAACCAAAAAGGTTCTGACTACGCCGACTGGAAAAGATATCTCTCTCCTTTCGATGCATCTGGCAAACGTCGTTTTGCACCAGCTCTGCGAACAATGCTCCAGTCCCTCATCATCCGCCATCGGATTGAGGATATCGATGTCGATCTCTGCCTACCTCCATTGCACAACACCACAGTCTATCTGGACCCGAGCTTCTACGACAAACTCAGCATGAACCTTTTCCGGTTGGTTCTGACCTCCAATGCAGTTACTTCGGAAAGGATAGACGAGGACTATATGTTTCATCCCAAGAACCGCAAATCCCTTGATGAGCTGATCGTGAACCTCCGCCGATCCAGCTTCCACTGGGTTGGATTCAGTAAACATGATGTGGTCGAGACCTTGAGGGTCAGTCACAAATACCTGGACGAACACCTTGGCCAGATTTCTGGCGAAGACGGTGCGTTGCTGAGCGAGGCAATATTGAATGGCAAACGAGCCCTGAGTGATTCGGGTTGGCGTGCTTTCTCGGTCTACCATGAAATCGGCGTATATATCGAAGACTTCCCCGACCATGCTGCCAAATCTTGGGCCTTGGATGGCCAACTATCAAACCCTCTCCTCCTTGGAACTGTCCAAGCTCGAGAAGTCCAGCAGTATGTGCTGAGCCATCTTAGCTCAGAGGGACCCTTGATGGGTCTTGTTGGAGCAGGACTTCGAGCAATGCGAATGGCTCGTGAACGAGCCACGGAAGAGCAACAAGCCAGAGATAAAGTCCGTTCGAGCTCGAATGGAAAGAAACCTCCCACAGCGGGCGCAATAGAGGAACCCAAGGTCAAAAACCAATCGGCTACTCCGTCTCCTGTCCGCTCTTCAGTGGGAGACATTGCTCCCGAACTTTTCCAATCACCAAGAAAGCGACTATTCCTGCCAGATAATCACGTCCTTCCAGCAGCACTGGCTAAATCACGTATTGTCGGGTTCACATCTGCGAAACTCAACTACCTCTGCTCACGAATCTTGACACTCCAGTCAACGGAGAAAATTATCATCTTCTACGACTCGAACAACATCGCTTTCTGGATAGCTGAGGCTCTTGAATTGCTATCGGTCAAATTCCTCATTTATGCAAACACTCTCTCGGTGACGCGCCGCGCAGCATACCTCGCGACCTTCAACCAATCAGAGGTGTTCCGCGTTCTGCTCATGGATCTCAAGCAAGCCTCTCATGGCCTCCACGTGGCAGCCGCCAGCCGGATCTTCATTGTCTCCCCCATCTGGCAGCCCGACGTCGAGTCGCAAGCAATCAAGCGGGCGCATCGCATCGGCCAAACACGCCCTGTCTACGTCGAGACCCTCGTTCTGAGAGGCACCCTGGAGGAGAAGATTCTCAAGCGGCGTCGACAAATGAGCAATGCGGAGCTGGTCAAGGCAGAGAAAAGCCTCCTGGACGACGGCATGATGAACGGGATCATTCGAGGCGAAGGATTTTTGAAGATTGCGGATGACGAAAAAGAGCAGATGAGAGGGGGAAAACTAGACGCGCCTGTCCCGTTGTTCGCGAGACGGGACGATGGCCTTGTCAACACCGACGATGCAGAGGACATTGACCTCATCCTGGGCTTGGAGGACGAACGTCCCTCGAAGAAGCAGAAAAAGCAAAAAGACATTAAAGGCAAGACGGTGGCTTTTGGACCGAATCCCGTTTCCCCCTCGCCATGGCGGCCTGTGCCTGCGCCTGCACTTTCGCCGCGAGCAGGACAACAAAGCCCAGTCTCGATCTTCGGTGCCGGGTCGCAGCAGAACTGTGAAAAGCCAAAGAAGTCGGTGCGCATCGTGGTGGACCTCTCATCACCACCATCCGCATCCGGTGTCGGTGTTGGTGTCGGTGGCTCTGCAGAGTGTTGAGTCTTGCCGAGGGCTGGCTTCTTGCTATGGGTAGGTAGGTGTCGGGAACAATGTCCTACCATTCCTTGGCATAACGTACGAAAAGTAACACGGTAGGACGTGCGGGCTTGTTGGAACTGGGGAAATTTCCCCTTGTTTTGCATAGAGAGAGAGAGAGAGAGAGAGAGAGAGAGAGAGTGAGAGAGAGAGAGAGAGAGAGAGAGAGAGAGAGAGAGAGACACACAAGGTCGACCACACAAACATACACGAAACAACGAACAAAGACGAGATGACGTTCAACCTCTCTCTACAGAAAAAAGAGAGACTAACGATCATAGCATACATCACAA